CAGGCTAATGATCTAGGACCTAAGTTCTAAGGTTCTACAGGACGTGGACCAGTGGCCGCTGAACGTGGACAGGTCCGGTGCAGGACCAAAGCACTCCCAGGCGGGTCGGGCGGGGCAGTCCGCAGGTGCAGATGGAGGAGGCCAGGCTCAGAGATCCCGTCATCGTACCATGAAACAGACAATGGGACAACGGGTGAATAGCAATGAACAAACTACAGTCAGAATCCTAAAAGTGCTAAACAGATAAAGTAGATAAAGTAGGAAGGAGGAGAGGATAGTGCTCAAGTTACCATACTTCTCCCAGCAAACTGACTCCCTATGCAGCTTGACTGACACTCTGAGGAGTTTAGCCTTCCCTGAGTCTTACCTTCCTAACCATATGCTAAAATAAAGAGGACTGTTTTAAACCTAGCCTTGAATAAAGAGATTCATGGATTGCACACCAGGTGTGCCAACCGATCCAAGCAAACCTAATTATATATTATATATCATATACATCATATATACCATACATACCATATATATCATAAATAATACACAACATAACATACAGCATAATATATAACATAATATACAACATAACACAATACATTATTGTATAATATATAACATAATATATAACATAATACAGCATACATATATAATATATACACCATATATAATATATTACCTAATTATATGCTAAATTAAAGTAAAGTGCTTTAAGCCTGGCCTTGAATGTGGAGACCGTATCTGCTTCCTTAACATAAATGGGAAGCTGATTCCACAGTAAAGGAGCTTGGTAGCTAAATGCTCTGCCACCAACAGTGATTTTTGAGACCTTAGGGACCACTAGACGTCTGGCGTTTTGTGAGCGCAACGCTCGACTTGGTTGATACGACACTAACGTGTCTTGGAGATAAGAAGGAGCCAAGCCATTTATGGCTTTATATGTTAAGAGAAGGATTTTAAACTTTATTCTGTACTCCACAGGGAGCCAGTGGAGTGATTTTAACACCGGAGTTATGTGCTCCCTCCTTTTGGTACCTGTTAAGATCCTAGCTGCTGTATTCTGAACGAGCTGGAAGCTCTTCAAAGACGCTTTAGGGCACGCTGCCAATAAAGCGTTACAGTAGTCGAGCCTTGAGGTGACAAACGCGTGAATGAGTTTTTCCGCGTCACTTTTAGGAAGGAAATTCCTAATTTTAGCGATGTTCCGTAGGTGGAAGTACGCCGTTTTAGTTGCTTGGCTTATATAAGCCTTGAAGGAGAGCTCTTGGTCAAAAATGACTCCAAGATTCCTCACAGTGTCACTGGGTACAATACTGACACCATCGAGAGTAATTATCTGGTTGGCGAGGGAGTCACACAGGCGCTTCGGACCGAGTAGGATCACTTCTGTCTTCTCCGGGTTGAGAAGTAGGAAGTTAAGAGTCATCCACATTTTAAGGTCCTTTATGCAGGCACTGAGCTTTTCCAGCTGATCTGTCTGATTTGGCTTCATCGACAGATAAAGCTGTGTGTCATCTGCATAGCAGTGGAAATTAATTCCATGCTTTTTAATAATGTTTCCTAATGGCAGCATGTAGAGAGTAAAAAGAATCGGTCCGAGTACCAAACCCTGGGGCACACCGAATTCTACTCCAGAATAAGGTGACGAGTTCTGATTTACGTTGACGAAGTGATACCGATCTGATAAATAGGATTTAAACCAGCCAAGGGCTGTTCCTCTAAGACCTATATCACATTCTAGCCTCTGCAGTAGAATGCTGTGGTCTATTGTGTCAAATGCAGCACTAAGGTCCAGTAGGACCAGCACTGACACTTGTCCATTATCAGCAGCTAGTAGTAAGTCATTTGTGACTTTGACTAGTGCCGTTTCAGTGCTATGATGAGCTCTGAATCCTGATTGAAAGATTTCAAACATATTATTTTCCTGCAGGTGGCAGCGAAGCTGCTCAGCTATAAGTTTTTCCAGGATTTTAGATATAAAAGTGAGGTTTGAGATCGGTCTGTAGTTTGTAAGTATTTTGTTTTCTTCAGAAGGGGTTTGATAACCGCAGTTTTAAAAGCTTGTGGGACATAGCCACATTGTATGGATGCGTTTATTATATTTACGATAGGCTCAATTATCAAAGGAAGTATGTCTTTGAAGAGCCATGTCGGGACTGCGTCTAACATGCAAGTTGAGGCTTTTGAGGATGTGACCACAGAGATCACCTCTGCTTGGCTCACAGCCATGAATTTATCGAGGCCCACTGAAGAGTCTAAGTGGGAAGTCACGTATGCCGCTTCAGCCTGTCCACTACCAACAGCAGGAGTAACCTCCTCCAGTTTGTCACGGATGGATGTAATTTTTAAGTGGAGAAAGTCGACACTGCTCAGTGAGCTTGGAATTTTAGGCTCGATTGCGCTATGGCAGTTTGTGAGTTTAGCGACGGTGCTAAACAAAAATCTACTGTTATTTTTATTTGCTTCTATTAAAGTTGAATAGTATTGAGTTCGAGCCCTGCGAAGGGCATTCTTATAGTTTCGGAGACCTGCTTTCCACTCCCTGTGGACAGGCTCCGAGTGAGAGTGGCGATATAGCCTCTCCAATTTTCTGACGTCCTGTTTTAAAGTGTGGAGTTGAACACTGTACCAGGGCGACGATGATCTAATCCTAATAGTTTTCTGTTTTAAAGGAGCTGCTGCATTTAATGCAGATTTTAAAGACTCCATAATGTTGTCCACCGTTTGGTCAATGACTGAGGGACTGCAGCAGCTGTGAACAGGTTCACCTGCAGCAGTATTCAACATAGGCTGTATTAGTTCTTTGAACCTTGTGATAGATTTATCATTTAAGGTTCTTTTCATTATGGTTTTATCTTGCGGGACAGGAAAGTCCTCCAAATCGAGATCAAACGTGATCAAGAAATGGTCAGACAGCAACGAGCTTTGACGCTGGATGTCAACATTGGAGACATCACAGCCGTAGGTCAGGACAAGGTCCAAGGTGTGGTTATGAATGTGAGTAGGTTCCTCAACATTCTGAGTAAAACCAACACCATCTAGTACGGCGCTGAAAGCTTTGTTTAAGCTGTCAGTGCTGTCGTCAACATGTTTATTGAAGTCTCCAGTTATAACTGTGTTTTCCCATTCCTAAACTAGGTTTGAAATGAAGTCCGAGAATTCTGTTAGGAACTCGCTGTAAGGACCAGGAGGTCGGTATAAAACTATAAATAGCACCGCTTTTTGCTTTCTCCACCCAGGACAGGTGATTGAAAGTGTTAAGTTTTCAAACGAGTGAAAAGCATTGTTGGTTTTGGGACTAAGAAGTAAGTTGGTGTGTGATATAATCGCAACACCACCGCCGCGACCTGTAGTTCTCGCTTTCTGGTAGTTAACATGCGTCGGAGGAGTGCACTCATTCAATCTAACGTAGTCGTCCTGTTGGAGCCAAGTCTCCGAGAGCGCAAACAAATCCAAGCCCTTGTCTATAATAAGTTCGTTTATGAGAAGCGATTTAGACGAGATTGATCTGACGTTCATTAAACCACATTTATGAATGTTTGAACATTCATAAATGTTGAACATTCATAAATGTTTGAACCAGTTGGAACTTGGATGAAAAAAACGTTTTGAACCTTGAATATCCTGATGAGTCTAGACCACGTTTCCGTTGTGTTAGCATATTGTGTTGCCGACTAGAAATGCATTTGTAATCCTTGTTGATTACACATACACATAAGTGTATTTATGATTTCTGATGTTTAGTGTTATTTACCATACTGTAATTTTAGTCTTGCCGATTATTTGAAGCAAAATCCTTTGTGAAACAAATGTACAATTTTAGTTTTAATATTTGTGTAGTCTTAAGTTTATTTTATTATTATTTTTTTGTAGTAGTGCCCACTGAAAGATCAAGGCTATGCTCACACTCAGAGAGCAGCCATCCTCCTGTGGACTCACCACCTGCAGAGGATCAGTGAGGGGCTGGTGCTATGAGACTTGGGTGGCATCTCTGATTGCCACCCCCCTGACCCAGAAATGGATTAAAGGGTAGAAAATGGATGGATGGATATTTTTGTAGTCGTATTGAGAAATGGACAATAGTATTGTAAATTACTTTTCTGTATTCACAGCGTTATTCTATGCTTTTATTTTGAAAGGAAAAAGACCGGAAATGAGTTGACCTATTGTTTTCCGTACTGAGTTGCATTTTTGAGACGGAGCTGTGGAGATGAATAAATTACCTCCAACGATCTGGCTTCAACCCTAGGTTACATTGGTGGCAGCGGTGGGATTCCTCCAGTGCAGGAGTCCATTGTCCTAAGGTGAAAAGTATACCTCCGTGAGGCTGACTTGCACGAGGGCAGCTAGTGTTAGCCACTGCAAACTAGCGGGGTTTTTTTCTTTTCTTTTTGCGGCGTTATAACAAGAGGCTGCTAACATGTGGACAAGGAACGAAGACCCTTTGGACTTTAAAGTGCAGAGAGGGAGTTTTGGCAACAGTAATATTAAAATTGATCTTCCGCCACTATTTTCTAGCTCAGACAATGAGAGCTTCTCGTGTTGGTCCCGCCAATATGAGGTGGCTGTGAGGGCGCTAGTTTTAGGCACTGGTGGTGACTTTGAGTATGAACTGGCCAGGATACTTCCTACAAGGCTCTCCAAGGCTGCTTTTCTTCTGTGGGACAGTCTTCCAGCAGCCGTCCAGGCAGATTACCGTGCAGTGAAAGAAAGGCTGCAGGATGCTTTCAGACAAAGACATTTCCTGGACTGTTTTAAAGCAAACCTCTCGGCCCGAAAGCGCTCCCCTGGTGAAAGCCTAGATGTTTATGCCGCTGACATTGGAAAGCTCGCACAAGAGGCTTTCCCAAATTATGGTCCAGCAGCTCAAAGGGAAGAAAAGTTTCGTAGATTTTTAGCTGGACTTGACTCATGTCTGCGAGCAAAATGTCAGGAACAAGGAGCCACAGATTTGGATGATGCCCTTGTGATTGCAGGGCGCTGTGATATGGCCCGGGAAACTCTCAGGAATGACTATGTACCCCATAGACAGTGGAAACATTAAACCAACCACTGCCCTGGTACAGTCCATCTCAGAGGGGGCTAGTTGGCAACGCACGATCGACAGATTGGCCGAAGATATGAAAGAAATGAGAGCGGATGTTCGAAAGCTCTCGGAGGAAAATGAGAGACTCAGACAGGGTGCTTGAGATGGCTCCTCTACCACGCCTCAACGTTGTCAATGTCGGTGTGGGGCTATAGGCTGCCAGTCCCTGCGTTCCTGGAGTGAGCCAAGAGGCCGCCCTCTTGGCTCACTCCAGGAACTCACCTGAGGCCGGTTGGCAGCAGCGGCGTGGGGAGAAGTATTCCGGTCCAGAGCGGCGCTCGCCTTCACCCTACAACCGCCGTTCATCATCGCCGTACAATTCCCGCTCTGACTCTCCAGGGAGGCAGAACCTGAAGCCCACCGGGGACGTCGTCTTCAACGCCCCGGAGCAACGTCGTGGAGTGCGGTTCCTTTCCCCAGACCACCACCAACAGGGAAACGGGATGTAGCTGTCGTCGCGGGCCAGACCCCAGCTACAACACCTGTGCTGCCCCATGTGAATGATTAATTTCAGCCCTTTGCCAGTCATGTCACAGCACAGTTCCCTAATACGGTACAACTCTCCTCATATGTAAGGTGGGTTATTGAAGGTACAGAGCTGGATATCTTAATTGACTCTGGTTCTACTGTATCCTTCATAAGTGCAGATTTTTGTCAATCAATTCCTGCTCTTCGCAAGCGGCATTTAGGCACAGATCTTATTGCCGCTTGTGCTGTGAACGGGGAGCTATTGGACACATTAGGTACAGTGACCGTTACCTTACGCTTAGGCAGTCAGTCGATGCAGCATGTTTTCCATGTGCTCCGGAAATCTACTCAAACCGCACTTCTCGGCCTGGACTTCCTTATCTCACAGCATGCACTGTTAGACTTCCCTCGTGCTAAGTTGCAGCTGTGGGGCACAGAGATTTCCTTGCTGAGTAGTGCGGATTTGATCCCAGGGTGTTGTAACGTGTCTCTCCTTACTAGTCTTACATTGCCCCCACTTTGTGAGATCCAGGTGCCCGTCCGCGTGTCCTCCTCTAGGCCCACAGATCGTCTCCCTGACTTTGTTGGTTACCTTGAGCCTAACCCCCAGAGTAGTAGTGAGTGTGTTGTTGCGCACACCGTCTCCTCAGTTAACAAGGGTATGACTGTAGCCCGACTTTTAAACCCCACCAAGGAGAACCTAGTGATACGAAGGGGTACACATTTGGGGGAATTTTTCTCTGTGGGGGATGGTGACCTGGTGCTGCCTCCTACACGAGGTAGTGGCACTGTAGCTGCTGTAGGGTCTGATGCAGTGCCCCCGGTGTCTTTGGCTGGGTCGCCTGCCAGTTCAGACCAGGTCACGCAGTTGAAAGCGCTAATGGCAGAGTACATAGACATATTTAGTACTAGTAAGGCGGTAACTTGTAAATGTACTCTGGTCAAGCACCACATTAACACTGTTTGTTTGTTTATTAATTTATTTCAACAGGGACAATGTGCAAATACATTAATTAAAGATGCTTTGCACCAGATTTAGCTTGAGCTAGTTTCCATCTGCAGTCCCTGAGCAGGTGATTCACAACAGTATTCCGTGAGGTATTCTGGTGACCACCCACCTCAGAGACAACGTGCTTATCGCACTTCCCCTGAGAAGAAGGAGGTGATTGACCGCCAGGTGAAAGCCCTGTTGGTTGATGGGGTAATAGAGGAGAGCTGCAGCCCCTGGGCCTCGCCTGTTGTCCTTGTAAAAAAAAAAGAATGTGCCCTCTCCGCCTGTGCCCTCTGCGCCTGTACCTTCTCCATCCGTGGCTCCTCCTGTGGGTGGAGAACTCTGGCATTCACTGATGGGTGACAGTGACTATATTGCCAGGCTTCAGAGGGAAGATCCGGACATTGGTACTGTATTGGACTGGATCAGGGCTGGGGGTTCTCGTCCACCGAGGGGGCAGTTGCGTGGCTCGCAGTGGCTGCGGAAATTGTGGGCGGAGTTCCCCAGGCTTTCCCTGGTGGGGGAGCTTCTTTGCCGGACAGTTTATCCCTCTCCTGTGGGGGAACCCCAGCATCAAGTTGTGGTGCCGGCATCGCTGTTTCCAGAGTTTCTGCACATTTTTCAGCGGAGAGAGTGGTCACGCAGTTGAAAGCACTACTGGCAGAGTACATAGGCATATTTAGTACTAGTAAGGCGGTCACTGGTAAATGTACTCTGGTCAAGCACCACATTAACACTGGTGACCACCCACCTCAGAGACAACGTGCTTATCGCACTTCCCCTGAGAAGAGGGAGGTGATTGACCGCCAGGTGAAAGCCCTGTTGGTTGATGGGGTAATAGAGGAGAGCTGCAGCCCCTGGGCCTCGCCTGTTGTCCTTGTAAAAAAAAAAGAATGGTGAATGGCGATTTTGTATTGATTACAGACGACTGAACAGTGTTACAGTAAAGGACTGTCATCCTCTGCCCCGGATAGATGATACTCTGGATGCCCTCTCTGGCTCGTGCTAGTTCAGTACACTTGATTTTTCAAACGGCTATTGGCAGATCAAGGTGGCTGAGGAAGACAGACAAAAGACAGCTTTTACCACAGGGAGAGGCCTGTACCAGTGGAAGTCTATGCCCATGGGCCTGACCAACTCCCCTGCTACATTCCAACATGTAATGGAGCTGGTTCTGCGCGGACTCCCTTGGCAGGTCTGTATGGTGTACTTGGACGATGTGTTAATATTCAGTCCTACGTTTGAGGGGCACATGTCCAACCTGCGGGAGGTGTTTTCTCGTATCCAGGCAGCGGGTCTCAAGCTCAATCCCCAGAAGTGTCACCTGGCTCGGGATCATGTGGTGTTCCTTGGCCACGTCGTTTCCAGTCGGGGCCTGTAGCCGGACCCCAGGAACACTAACAAGGTCAAGTCATGGCCCACACCGCGTTCGCCCACAGAGGCGAGAGCCTTCCTGGGACTTGATATTGGAATGTAACATAAGTTATCATTTTGGTAAATCGTATGTGGCTATATGCTGAATGCTCTGTATTGTAATTCACTTTAGCTTCAGGAAGACACCGGGAGGTCTGGGGAGCTCATATGCTAAGTGTCTTTTGTTGTGTTGGTTTCATCCTTTCCTATCTGCATACGAAGGTGTGTCTTGCTCTACCAAAAGGGGCTTGCCGACTGTGAATCTTCAGACTTGTCCTGAGAGAGGCTAGGGTCTGTGCCTTGCCTCTGTCAGGACATTTTCCTTGTACAATGTAACAAGTAAAAGATTAACTTTGTCTCTTTGTTGTGTGAGATTTCATCAGGTTCAACTGTAGTTGAAACAGCATTATCAGACTCTGTTCATATTACAGGCGCTTTGTGAAAGATTTTGCTCGCCTTACAGCCCCACTGCATCATCTCACATGTAAGGATGTCCCTTTTGTTTGAACTGAGGGCTGTGATGCTGCATTTGGGCATTTTAAATCGGTGCTCTCATCCGCCCCCATAGTGACCATGCCTGACTTTAATGTTCCATTTAAGGTGTACACTGATGTGTCTATGGAAGCTGTTGGGGCGGTGTTAGCTCAGGATAAAGATGGGCTGGAGAGAGTCGTCGTATATGCTAGTTAATCGCTTACTAATACTCAAAAGCGTTGGGCTACATTTGATAAGGAGCTAAGGGCTGTGGTGTGGGCTGTGTGTCAGTTTAGACATTACATCGGATCATCCCCTTTTACTATCATAACTGGCCATAAGCCTCTTTTAGGACTCCGGGGCATGTCAATTGATAAGGACCCATCCGGAAAGAGGGCCCGGTGGATCCTTGAACTGGACCCGTATAACTGGAGAATGCAGCACAAGGAGGGGCACCGTCATACTAATGCGGATGCCCTCTCACGGTGCCCCGAAGGAGTCCTGGGCGACTCCTCCTCGGCCGTTTCACCGATTCGCCTCAAAATCGCTCCACATCATCTCAACACATGTACCTTCAAAACGACCTCAGGGATTTTTGATCAGTGAAACATTGTTTGAGCAGCGGAGCGGCAAAATGTGACCTTTTTTAGGCCGTTTTTGACAACATTAAATTTGCTCCCGTTTGCACAAACAAAGTCTGATTTGCACAAAACTTTAATACATTGTTCAACTCTAGGGTCTAGGTCATTTGAAAGTGAATTGATTCAAATTGACACATTAGCGCCCCCTACAGACTATTTCAAAGTTTTAGATGGGCATTTTCAAATTTAGTTTTTTCAAAATGTTTGAAATTTTGCACATAAATCTTTTTTGCCCTCTTGATTCAAAAAGTCAATAGGGTCCAAGGCTTATTTTTTACCCTGTTGCCGTGGTGACGACAAACGCTCCCCATTCATTGCAAATGTACACCTCACACAAACATCAAACCAGCCTCGGCCGTTTCACCGATTCGCCTCAAAATTGCTCCACATCATCTCAACACATGTACCATCAAAATGACTACAGGGAATTTTGATCAGTGAAACGTTGTTTGAGCAGTGGAGCGCCAAAAAGTGGCGTATTTTTTTTCAGTTTTTAACAATAGAAAAATTGCTTCCGTTTGCAAAAAACAAAGTCTGATTTGCACAAAACTTGAATCCATGGTTCAACTCTTGGGTCTAGGTCATTTTAAAGTAAACATTTTGAAATGTTTTCTATAGAGCCACCTACAACAGCCAATTTAAAAATGCCTACGGGAGGGGTTTGAGGTCAAAATTGTCGTAGAACCATGTAATTTGGAACACATGTTCCTCAAGTCAAGACACGGAATTTTTTTTATTATGGCTAAGCCCTCTGACAAACAGGACAAAATGTCATTGCAAAATGGAAAAACACGTCGGTTGGAAAGCGACTCCTCCTCGGCCGTTTCACCGATTGGCCTCAAAATTGTTCCAAATCATCTCAACACATGTACCTTCAAAATTACTTCAGGGAATTTTGATTTGTGAATTGTTGTTTGAGCAGCGGAGCGGCAAAATGTGAGGGGTTTTTTGGCCGTGTTTGATAACATTAATTTTTTTCCCTATGCACATACAAAGTCTGATTTGCATTAACCTTGTATCCATTGTTCAACTCCAGGGTTTAGGTCAGGTGAAAGTGAAATATTTAAAATTGGCCCATTAGCGCCCCCTACAGACTGAGTCAAAGTTTACATGGGGAGCCAAACCAGCTCTACTTATCATATTCATTACAATTTACGGCGTGGTGCAGGGCGGCGTGGTGCGGGGCGGCTTGGCACGGGGTGGTGCGCGCGGAGCGGCGAGGGCCGTTTCGACGCCGCTTGCGGCTTTAATTTTATTTAATTATCTTGAGATCTCAGAAGTGACATTGTGGCCGATCTGTACATATATTTGTTTTGACGTTTCAAATGAACCGGTATAATCAAGAATACTAATTTGAGTTCAACTCAAGACCTGTTGTGTGCTTCATTGTGGTGGAATCTACCAGTTACTTAACTGTTGATTTATTTCTAACCAGCCTCCTTTCCGAATCTAGATTTAGATAACCTTACCGTGGAACCTTAGACTGTTAACTAGCAGAACAATCATCGTAGGGTTAAAATTACCTTACTATTTGCCCACTTTCTCCTGTATTCAAACACAAACTAAACACAAAAAACAAACACTAAAACACAAACTAAAAGTCCTAGTGACCAGTTCCTCATGGCCCATGTCATTTGCCGGGGTAAGAATGGCCTCTCACTGTGTAGAGTGAGGATCAGGGCTCCCTCTAGTGGTGCTTCACTGCAGTACAGTGTGGATGATACCATGGATAGCTCCATCAGGGACACATGTATCTGTGAAAACACACCTAATCCTGAGAAGACTGAGCCTTTCATTCATGAGTTCACTACTTGTTTCAAAGATACTCACTGGGACATGGTGGATGCAGCAGACTCCTGTATCCAACTGGAACACAAATCTAGAAACATACTTATAACATATTTCAAGAAGACACAGGTTCAGTTAAAGCTGTCACAGTATGTTTCTTATGTGCTCATAACATGATGAATATACTATGGCTTTAATAAGAACTCTGTGTCATGTGATGATATCTGTGTGCCTTTCTCAGCTATGTCAAAGCTGACCGTGTCTTCACTGTTTGTCTTGTCTTCAGCCCAAACAAATGGACTGAGGAATTATGCACTGTTTTTATCTAGCGATATTTGGACACTCAGGGTCATTTCACATGGCATTATTCTAACACACACACACTTTATACTATGCAATGTGGATGAAGTGTTTGGCACTTTACAGCCGCCCCACTGATGTTCCCAGAGGTCCCCCATCACAGTATTAACCAGGCCCTGCCCTGCTGAGCTTCTGAGGTCCGTGGGATAAGGCTTTCACGTGAAGGTGTCTTAAGTCACAGCATATGCACCCCTTTTAAAGGATACTGAGGACAGCTCAGCGTTCTCATTCACACAAGGCACTGATTAGTTTAGAACTAATCTTTGTCAATATTTGTGATTCACTGTGATAGAATGTAATCATTACATCCAGTTCAATACATCCTACTGTACATCATCAGAGTCTTGCTCACTGAGGCGCTGAACCAAATCACCACATGTTGCGGTCAACACAAGTCAAATGTTGTACTGTACTGTGTATGTACGTAGCTGTGTGCGTGGGAGAAGGAGTGAGGGCGAGTGAAGGAGGGAGAATTTACCTCTATTTTGTACAAAAGCCCTACCATCAATAAATTGGATCTTTTTGAATTAAAACCGTTGATTCCCCAACTAGACTCCCAGGGGGGGCAGAAATGGCCCAAGAAGAGCTCATGTCAATCGCTGGAATGATTTGACAGATGAAGTAAGGCTCAGGAGATCAGAGCACCAAACTCGAAGATGGTGCTCTTCTCTCCTAATGACCCTCCTAAGCGTTAGAGCAGGGATGGCCAAACCTCCAGTTTGCGGACCAACATTATATCAGCCACACTAGGACCAAGGCTAATTATAAGTTGCAATTATAAGGTTTATTAGAGCAGACTAGTATGAAACCATGCTAGACGGGACCACGGCTGTACCCGTCTGTCTCTGTGTGGTACGTTTCTGTGCGCGTAAGTGTATGTACATGCGTCTGTCTGTGTGAGTGTGTGTCTCTATGAGTGCGTGATGTGCAGAGGTTCTGTTCCTAATTATAGCAAATCTTCATATGAAAGAAATTTAAACACGTCTCATTTTAATAAATACTGTGAATTATAAAGTCATATCTGTGTCAGATCTTAATTGTGGTGAAATCAGACACTGATAGTGTGTGTGAAGTGGAATACGTTTGTTGAGTCATTTGCATATTGTCCCCTGGATCCAAGGGTGTCCCATTTCTTAGGGAGAATATCCTGTGAGTGCACTCCCCTGTGGGAAGGCACTTTTCTGGTGAGGGCACTCACACCTGGAGGGCCCTCAGAATTGGGGCGGGGTCTAAAACTACTTGGCCTCAGCTGACAGAGAACCTACAGCTTTCATAAAGGTCGGATTTTGTGGCAATTTTAGTTTCCCTTGTCATTTTTTCTTGTTAAATCCTATATAAATCCACACTTTAATGCAACAAACTCTGCTTGTTTGAATCCCGCTCTAACTCCGCTCTAGTTCTGCCCTGACCTCAAGCCACTGATTGGTCAGAGCGCGGCCGAGTCCGTCTGTGCACGTGCATGAAAGCCACACACGCGTCGTGGTCCCCATGTATGTTGCATGCGCTACTGAGTAAAAGCCATTGATTTGAATAGGCCGCCAACTTGGATCACCAGGGCATGATTTGGATGCACTAATGTGCGTCAGTATATCACAGACTATACAGATCAAGGAGGACACCCACAGGCAGAAATTTGTTCTTCTACTTTATTTCATGAAATTGTGTCTAAAAACAGGACAAATGATTTTTGTTTGCTGCCTTCATCTGCTCGTCCGAGTTCCCCTTCGCCCTCCGGCGTCGGACAAAGAAAGTGCAGCGTGTGCCAGGCGACGCTTCACCGCAGGGACCAGCACGACTGGTGCTCCATCTGTTTGGGCTGGCGCCATTCTGAGGAGAGCGCTACCTGCAAAGCGTGCCTCTCTCTTCCCAGGGAGGAGAGGGAGCGTTGCGATGCTTACGTCAGCGCAACCTCGCCCAGAAGTGCGGTATGTCCTGCTCGACTTGCCTCCTGCACCCTGGGAGTGGGGAGACTGCGTCGTGGAGACTGAGTACAGCGGGAACGAAGGGTCTCTCGTCACTCTCTCGGAGCGAGGGACCAGACCATTTCCCGCTCGACCACATCTCCCGCCTCTTATCTGCAGCGGCGAGGCACATGGAGATCCCCCTTCCACCGCAGTCCACTCAGGCGGAGAGGGACTTCACCTTGGTGGGGGCTCCGGATCAGGGGAGGAAGAGGCTTGAGCCGACGCTGTGCCCACGTATGGACCCGGTGTTCCACTACGCCACGTATGATCGAGGACGCGGTGAGGCTGGCACTGCTCCTCACGTCCTCCATGTGGCCAGGCAACAGCCCACTTCTTCCCTCCGAACGGGACAGTATGTTTAAGTCCGTCCTGGACAGGTGCTATGCCAACGCAGCTCAGGTGGTTGCGCTAGCTAGTAACATGGCCTTCCTCACTGGGGCCCTGGACAGGTCTCTCTCCGCGGGCCAGGAGCTCAGCGGTGAGGGCCTGACTGAGGCAAGGACCACATCAGCAGTACTCCACCGGATGGCCCAAGCACTGGCATTTGACGGAGGTCGCTCCATGGCCGCCGCACAGGTCGGTGCCCGGCACCTCTGGTTGGGGCTGGCGGACATCATGGAGGCGGAGAAGAGGTTGCTGCGGGACCTGCCCGGCTCCACCACCTCGCTTTTCGAGCCAGACATGCAGGGGTTGGTCGACAGGCTGGACAGCGCGACCAAGGACTCTGCCAGGCTGGGGCCCCATCTGGTCCCGCCAGCAGTTGCGGAGCCTTGACCAGACCAGAGAGCGGTCTCCCAGACGACGCTCCGCTAATCCACACGCCGCTGCGTGCTGAGCCCGCCCTGCTCCGGCGAGTCCCCGGGTCCCGGAACGGACCAGCGAAGCTGCTCAGGAGCAGCGCTTTCAACACCGTCCTCCTCACAGCGAAGGAAGACAGGGGGGCAGGAGTTACTCTAATAAAGGCCGTTCCGCGGCACATTACCCCTACATGATGTGTGAGTCTCCTCTGTTATTGCATGACATGCCCTCACAGGTAGAAGGTGTTGTCTCACACACGGTGCAGTCCCACTCTGCTGGCTCTGGGGACCTGCGGGCTCAGACCCGCAGTGTTTGGTCATGACCACTGGCCCGAGTACCTTGACCGGTAGCGCTTTATCCTCCCGGAGAGGAATGAAGCGGAAACAGTGTGGGACAGTGGGACCTGTGATCCCCGCTGTCTCATACAGCGTTTTACACGGGGGCTCTCTGCCCTTTGGTCTACCCCCCCCTCCCCTCTGGAAGCACCAGGAGGGGGCGGGGCTCTCGGGACAAGTGCTCCAAGCCTTGTGCCCCCGCTCACAGAGGTTTACCACGTCTGGAGAGAGCAAGGGCTCCTCTCAGACGCATGGTTGGAGAGGACTATGCGCATGTTAAACGAGTGCATTTCCAAGCGTCTGTCCCGTATGTAAGTAAGTAAACTTTATTTATATAGCACCCTTCACAGACCTGTATGCTCTCTGCAGAAGCAGCTTCTGGAGTGCGTCAGACCCGGGGGCTGGATGTCTACCATAGATCTGATGGATGCTTACTTCCCCGTAGCGATAGTGCCAGAACACAGCCGGTTCCTGCGCTTCGCAGTGGGGGAAAAGTGCTTTTGCCGTCTCCCATTCGGGTACGCACTGGCTCCTCGCACCTTCTCCAAGTGCGTGGAAGTGGCCTTGGAGCCGCTCAGACGCACAGGGGTCATAATTTTAACCTACAGAGACAATTGGTTAATTCTGGCCCCGTCCAGAGAGGGGGCTGCGTATCACACACGCTGGGTCCTGTCTCACATACAGCGCCTGGGCTTTGTAGTGAACAGAGAGAAGAGCAGGCAGCAGGATGTCCAGAGGGGGCCCACTCCGGGAGGAGTGGGGCCTGGCCCCGCAGGTGGCTGCTGAGGTCTGGCGCAGGTTCGGTCGACCAGTGGTCAAAAAACGCTCAGTGCCCTCTCTGTTCGCTCTGCGGGACGCGGAAAATTCGCCCCTGGGGGTGGATGCCCTGGTTCATTGCCCGTGGCCAGGGGGCCTCCTGTACGCGTTTCCCCCAGTTCGCCTCCTACCGGTCCTGCTGAGGAGGGTCGGTCGAATATTCTGATCACTCCGGACATGTCCGTTGGTTTCCGTTCCTGAGGGGCATAGCTGTGATGGAGCCGTTATTGGAGCATTGGATCGCCGATCTCTCTGGCGGAAGTTAGGTGCCTCAAGAGTCATACCCATAGCGTAACTAATTTTTCCTGCTCTTCTGTGACAGAAACCTGAGGATTGTGCCACTGACCTCTGCACAACTGAGATGCATCGATTTGTTATATCCACTACACACCTCTCGCACAGTTTAGAGCCCTGTGTGTGGCTTTTGCTGCGGACCTTCTCCTCTGCTTCTCTGCGTAGTTCAGATAGTGTCCACATTGTCACGATACCACTTGTAATCTTTTCCTTTTTTGTCTGATGAGTTTGGAGCAAGAAGGTCCCTGCTGCTGGAACCTTCTCGTACATAGTACTTATTTTTGGCCTCCTTCTTCTGTTGGCCTCCTTCTGCAGCATTTTCTCTGTCATTACTTTTAGTTTGTGCATCCGGAGGGAGTGCGGCCTTCTCATTGTCACATTTCCGTGGGAAGCAGTTGGGGCTACTCAGTTGTGCAGAGTCTTGTAGGATTTTCTTATTACTTTCAGGAACATTGATAATGTGGAAATGTTTGTTTCTGCAAAGTTCATATGCAAGAATTACATCTATTTCAATTACAAACTTAAACTTTCCTGTTGCGGTTAAATTGTTGTTTAGAACTTCCACAAATCGAGGAGGCCTAATGCATATTTGAACTGTGTTTATTTATTTATTCATTTATTTAGAGCAGTGTCTCCCAAAGTGGGGTCCGCGGCCCCCTGGTGGGCCGCGAGGGTACTGCAGGGGGGCCGCGGGAGGTCATAAAAAAAAATATATATATATATAATTATTTAATGTTAAATTTATAATGTTTTGTTTGTAATATTAAAATATTTGTGTTCATTATTTGACTTGAATAATCCACTGTAATCATTTTTGTATTACAATGTTTGTAGCAGAGGCTATTTCCCCAAAATAAAATAACCAGAAGAGCCTATTCTTAATGTTGTCTTCTTGGTTATTATTTTGGGGGGGCCACGCAGACCCGTCAGATTTTTAAGGGGGCCTCGGTGTTACTGAGTTTGGGAATGGCTGATTTAGAGGATAAGCCCCTTGAGATGAACCATCTCATTTTCGAGGGGGTCCTTGAGATTTCACAAAGTGACAGATACAGCAAAACAGATGCAAACAAAACAAAAATACAAGAAAAAAATAAATAAATACACACATAAACCCTCAATCACTGTACTGTGACTGTACTGTAATTACACTAAATAAGGATAATACTATTAATAATAGTAATAACAATAATTAGGAGACAGTAAAGACAAGATTAGGGATACATACAATACAAGGAAAAGTTACACTTATTAATACATTGATAATTCCACAATTTATTCATCTGTTATTAATCCTTCCTTCACCTACAATTAAGTTTTTTTAAACTTAATTGTTTAGTTTGCTTAGTTTTTTGTGTGTGTGTGTGTGTGTGTGTGTGTGTGTGTTTGTTTTCTGGTTTACGAGGCCGATTTTCAAGACTTTTCTCCGAGTAAGGAGGACCCTCCGGTTTAGGAGGACAATTTGCTGTCCTCATAAAAATTACATTCTAAATCGTTTTCTATGCATTTTTTAATGCCTAAAAAGTGGTTTTCTCAAAAGTCTTTTTAATCCAGAAACCTGAGAAAAGTGGTAAATTTGTGTGTCCGCCACTGCCCCTAGTGGTGGTTTTCTCCCGCGCGGGAAAAAGGGGAATTATACACAACCGCGGGAAAATGATACACACACACACAAAGTCAGCACTGCGCATGCTCCGTGGGGAAGGACAACAGAGCGTCTGTTCTGTCAAGGGGAAGTTTATGCATTTCTGCAGTAATTATACATCCACAAAGGAGACAGGAGAGGAGCAGCCGCGCAGAGGGACACAGGACATGGAGAGACACCCGCACGGAGGTAGGAGAGAGTTTTCACTGTCACCACATAGCACAAAGCAGCCTAGTTTAGCAGCAGAGCTAACGCTAAAGCTAACGCGAATGTGTGCTGCAGCCACTTGTTCAGAAAATCTACAGCAACTATATTGTCCACAGAAGAGACAGGGCCGTGGTGAGTCAATACTGGGAAGAGTTACAGCTGGCCACAGGTTGTTTAGCACAAAGTATCCTAGATTAGCTGCGGAGCTAAGTGGCTAACGCCCTGTATAGCTGCGGAGCTAAGTGGCTAACGCCCTGTTTATGCATACTACATAATGCCTATTGCTTTTATAAGGCCAGTTAGAAGACTACAATTATAAGAACAATAGAGATAAGACATTTGAGGTATTTATTATGATGCACTTTTTGCAGAAATCATACAAATAGGCTTTGATTATCCATTAATGGCAAAGGGCATAGCATAATCCTTATGCCATAAAGTTATAAATGTCCCATTTACCCCACATAGTCCATAACCTCCAACATCTGCTTCCACTGGGATGTGAGTGACTTGATGATGAAATAACAATAGTATAATAATCACTAGTACCTTCCATTTGCATGGAAATGCTTGTTAATTAAAATGTTTTAGTTTCATTAAATTATATACATCTGTATTCTTAATAGAAATAAAATAATAGGCCTACTGTGTTCCTTAAAGCTTAAAAGAGATGTGTTCCCCGGTAAGGGGCTGTTTTGGCGATAGTATGTTATTACTATAGGGTATATTATATAACCTGCATGTATTAGGTCTATAATAGTCTATTAGAATTAATATAATTTAATCATTCATAATGTGCTCCTATGGACTCTCCACCTGCAGGAGGATCAGTGAGGGGCTGGTGCTCTGGGTGCAGCTCTGACTGGGGAAGAAAATGAATGGATATTTCTCCCACAAGTAAGTAAGTAAGTACACAGCCATGCAGGTGAACTGCAGTGTTACAACAACACTGTCTAAACCAGGACTGATTTAACTTGAGAGTTTTGATTTGAGCTTCAAAACACTGCTTCAAACTTGATGACTTGGGAAATGTTTTGTGAATGTTAAGAAGTAATTTACTGTTTGAAAAACTATGAGAGGCCTATGAGAGGAACCAGAGAGTCGAGTCCTGCAGCGGGACATCAGGGAGTCCTCTTTTGAGGTTAGCTTATTTATGGCTGTTTGTTAAAGAAATAAGTCCCATTGTTTTACAATAGCTAATAAAAGAAGTATTCGTCCCTACTGTGGGACAAATAAAGGAATTCTTATATTATCTTAAGTAGGTCAAAGCATCATCACAGTCCAAAGGCATAGTTTTAAAGGTTCCATATTACACTTTTCTTCATATTTCACAGTCCATCCTATGCACATGTGTGATAATGATTTGACTTGTGAGATTATAGCCATCTCTTCATCACAGAAACAACATGATTACAGAGATCCTGAGCATTACAATGATTTATAACCTATGTTGGCAGAGCTGATGTTGGCTAGATGACGTTGAAAATGTGTATATTGTTACATATCAAGACAGAGAGGGCCCCAATAGGCCCCAGACCTCAATTTGGGTATGGCTGGTGAAGATGATGTGTATTTTTCTGTTCCTCTTGTTTAGACACAGCTCAGTGGTATAAGCATCATTGCTGGACAACATGTTGCAGAGTTCGGTGACCACACAGTGACTTGGACCCTGATGTTCTCTCTGCAGACTTATCCAGAGGTAATACCTTACTTAAAGAAGCTATACCCGATTTTTTTTCTAAGTAGTTCATAAAAATGCTTTTTACTACATACAAGTTGTATCATTATACATAATTTAATTGAAAACTTGAGGTCATTGATTCCACTGTGTATGAAATTCAGGCAGTGAAAAGTGCTGAGTAGAGTCTGAGCGGGACATTCTCCTCCGCTCACAGAACAAGCAGCGAACAGCCTGTGTCCTCTAGTCTCTACAGCCTGTGTCCTCTAGTCTCTACAGCCTGTGTCCTCTAGTATCTACAGCCTGTGTCCTCTAGTCTCTACAGCCTGTGTCCTCTAGCCTCTACAGCCTGTGTCCTCTAGTCTCTACAGCCTGTGTCCTCTAGTCTCTACAGCCTGTGTCCTCTAGCCTCTACAGCCTGCGTCCTCTAGTCTCTACAGCCTGTGTCCTCTAGTCTCTACAGCCTGTGTCCTCTAGTCTCTACAGCCTGTGTCCTCTAGTCTCTACAGCCTGTGTCCTCTAGTCTCTACAGCCTGTGTCCTCTAGTCTCTACAGCCTGTGTCCTCTAGTCTCTACAGCCTGTGTCCTCTAGTCTCTACAGCCTGTGTCCTCTAGTCTCTACAGCCTGTGTCCTCTAGTCTCTACAGCCTGTGTCCTCTAGTCTCTACAGCCTGTGTCCTCTAGTCTCTACAGCCTGTGTCCTCTAGTCTCTACAGCCTGTGTCCTCTAGTCTCTACAGCCTGTGTCCTCTAGTCTCTACAGCCTGTGTCCTCTAGTCTCTACAGCCTGTGTCCTCTAGTCTCTACAGCCTGTGTCCTCTAGTCTCTACAGCCTGTGTCCTCTAGCCTCTACAGCCTGTGTCCTCTAGTCTCTACAGCCTGTGTCCTCTAGTCTCTACAGCCTGTGTCCTCTAGTCTCTACAGCCTGTGTCCTCTAGTCTCTACAGCCTGTGTCCTCTAGTCTCTACAGCCTGTGTCCTCTAGTCTCTACAGCCTGTGTCCTCTAGTCTCTACAGCCTGTGTCCTCTAGTCTCTACAGCCTGTGTCCTCTAGCTCTACAGCCTGTGTCCTCTAGTCTCTACAGCCTGTGTCCTCTAGCCTCTACAGCCTGTGTCCTCTAGTCTCTACAGCCTGTGTCCTCTAGTCTCTACAGCCTGTGTCCTCTAGTCTCTACAGCCTGTGTCCTCTAGTCTCTACAGCCTGTGTCCTCTAGTCTCTACAGCCTGTGTCCTCTAGTCTCTACAGCCTGTGTCCTCTAGTCTCTACAGCCTGTGTCCTCTAGTCTCTACAGCCTGTGTCCTCTAGCCTCTACAGCCTGTGTCCTCTAGTCTCTACAGCCTGTGTCCTCTAGTCTCTACAGCCTGTGTCCTCTAGTCTCTACAGCCTGTGTCCTCTAGTCTCTACAGCCTGTGTCCTCTAGTCTCTACAGCCTGTGTCCTCTAGTCTCTACAGCCTGTGTCCTCTAGTCTCTACAGCCTGTGTCCTCTAGCCTCTACAGCCTGTGTCCTCTAGTCTCTACAGCCTGTGTCCTCTAGTCTCTACAGCCTGTGTCCTCTAGCTCTACAGCCTGTGTCCTCTAGTCTCTACAGCCTGTGTCCTCTAGTCCTCTAGTCTCTACAGCCTGTGTCCTCTAGTCTCTACAGCCTGTGTCCTCTAGTCTCTACAGCCTGTGTCCTCTAGTCTCTACAGCCTGTGTCCTCTAGTCTCTACAGCCTGTGTCCTCTAGTCTCTACAGCCTGTGTCCTCTAGTCTCTACAGCCTGTGTCCTCTAGTCTCTACAGCCTGTGTCCTCTAGTCTCTACAGCCTGTGTCCTCTAGTCTCTACAGCCTGTGTCCTCTAGTCTCTACAGCCTGTGTCCTCTAGTCTCTACAGCCTGTGTCCTCTAGTCTCTCCTGTGTCCTCTAGTCTCTACAGCCTGTGTCCTCTAGTCTCTACAGCCTGTGTCCTCTAGTCCTCTACAGCCTGTGTCCTCTAGTCTCTACAGCCTGTGTCCTCTAGTCTCTACAGCCTGTGTCCTCTAGTCTCTACAGCCTGTGTCCTCTAGTCTCTACAGCCTGTGTCCTCTAGTCTCTACAGCCTGGTCCTCTAGTCTCTACAGCCTGTGTCCTCTAGTCTCTACAGCCTGTGTCCTCTAGTCTCTACAGCCTGTGTCCTCTAGTCTCTACAGCCTGTGTCCTCTAGTCTCTACAGCCTGTGTCCTCTAGTCTCTACAGCCTGTGTCCTCTAGTCTCTACAGCCTGTGTCCTCTAGTCTCTACAGCCTGTGTCCTCTAGTCTCTACAGCCTGTGTCCTCTAGTCTCTACAGCCTGTGTCCTCTAGTCTCTACAGCCTGTGTCCTCTAGTCTCTACAGCCTGTGTCCTCTAGTCTCTACAGCCTGTGTCCTCTAGTCTCTACAGCCTGTGTCCTCTAGTCTCTACAGCCTGTGTCCTCTAGTCTCTACAGCCTGTGTCCTCTAGTCTCTACAGCCTGTGTCCTCTAGTCTCTACAGCCTGTGTCCTCTAGTCTCTACAGCCTGTGTCCTCTAGTCTCTACAGCCTGTGTCCTCTAGTCTCTACAGCCTGTGTCCTCTAGCCTCTACAGCCTGTGTCCTCTAGTCTCTCTACAGCCTGTGTCCTCTAGTCTCTACAGCCTGTGTCCTCTAGTCTCTACAGCCTGCGTCCTCTAGTCTCTAGCAGCCGTAGTTGACAGGCGCATGACAGCTTGTTGTACTTTGCAGAGTAATGCAGTATTTTACACACTGAATTACAACAGAGAATGCGTTGGGGCTGCGGTCAATATTGCGTTGTAGCGTTTTTTATCAGAAAAAATTGCATTCAAGTCAATGGGAGTGCTGCTGCTGTGAGGAGCTGTATAATAAATGATAATTAATATTGAATATATTCGAATTTAATTTAAAACATCGGAACGCGAAATCTAATGGTATTCTATTACTTTATATTGTCCATAAGCAGTGCATTTTCTTCTGTACCATTTCATCAGGATTGTCTGCACTTCTTACAAGTTGCGCTAAAGATAATGTTAGCATACATGTTCAGATCGCAAATAAAAACTAGATGGCTCTGTGTTATGAGAGCGTAGGGGAAATGAGAGAACTCTTGTGAGCGAGTATGGGGGGCGGTGCTAAAATTCAAAATTGCAGAATGGGTAAGCGCCTTAACCCTCTTGTCCACAAGATGCGTACTATTTAAAAATGGCTGCTCATATACAATTAATTGAGCAAGACCTGTGTAGACAGTGCCGAATCATAGCGAAGACAGTGCAGCTGCAGCAGGTGCCAGTGTGGTACTGTAACAAACACAAAACTTTTAGACACTTTACCACTATCAGAGCTCGTGTCAGTTGGAACATTGTTTCTCAGTGGGTCAGGGCGGTTATTTGGAAGTTTGAAGAAGGATAGATTTGCGGAGAACAAGACTAGGAGTTTAGATGGGGGACCGTGGCTCACTTAGTAGGCATTGGTCTTTAAGACTGAAGCTCGTGGGTTCGAGCCCACCACGAGGACCTACTTCCGACTTCCCACTGGTGATTGCTGTCATTTTGCCTTGGGGCACGGACAATAACCCCACTTTGCCTAAAGCCCCACTCAAAAAATCAAGGATCCTATGGACTCACTACCTGCAGGAGGATCAGGGAGGGGCTGGTGCTCTTTGAATGGGTGTAGCTCTGACAGACACCCCCCCGACCAGAAATGGAAATTAAGGGGTAGCAGATGCAGATGGAGATTAGAAGGTCAGTCGCCAGACGACCAGCTCGCTAATTGTGTGTCATTACGGGCGGAGTTAACGCGCTTGGGACTGATAGAGCGATCAGTGTTTTGCGACCCTCCTTCATTTATCTCTTTACAGTAAATCCACCATCTCTTCTCCCTTTTCATTTAAATCAAATCTTAAAAAAACTCTTCAAAAATCTATCATTATAGATCACACCTAGCTACTCTGGTAAAAACAACACCTGGTCTTGCTAAGCAAAGTGCCTTTCATACCAACATATAAACACCCCTCTCATCCCATCCCTATCTCTACCTCCCTCCTCCTCCCCTTAATAAAATTAACCAAAAAACCTCCACAAACCATATCCCACATATAATACCAATCCACAACCCAACCACCAACCAATTACCAACATTATCCCCAAAAAATAAAACAACCCAAAAAACAAACAAAAAACACATAATAATAATAATTCTCTCACCCCCCAATTTCCCAAACCCCCCCCCAACCCCTATACACTTAATAACCTACCACAAACAACCCCCCCCCCACTCAACACCCCACCATCACCCCAACCTCTCTCCACCATAATTCTTTCATAATCACAACCCAAACCTAACCTTTACATAATCTCTCTCCCCCATCAAATCCTTCCTCCCCTTAACTCCCTCCCTTCATAAAAACCCTTCTACTACCATAAAACACACACATCACTCAAAAACCAAACAAAAACCCAACACACCCAACCCTATCACTCTCAATCTTCAAACCTACCCAACACCCCCAACATTCCTCAACCCCCCCCATCCAAAACAAAACCCAACATCCTCCCATCAATCCCACAACTCTTCTTCCTTCCTACCTTTCCATCCAAACCCACCACCCCCCCACCCCCAAAAACACCACCAAAATTTTACTTTTTTTACTTTTATTCTCCCTCTACCCCCCTAACCCACTCCACACATAAAAACAAACTATCTACCCACTTCACCAATAAAACTTATTTTTCACACTTCCCCTATTTTACATAAACAATCCCCCTTCCCCCCATCCCCTCCCACCCCCCCTCTATCAATATCCTCAATCAATATTATATAACCCACAAACCTACACCACCCCCCCCACATAACACCCATACACCATACTCCCTACACCCCACATACAAAAAACCTCCCCCAACCAAAAACCCCCAACCCCCATCCCTCCATCCAATCTCCCCCCATAACCCCCATCCCATCAAATCCTAAAAACCCTATAACACCTAAATATAAATAACCTTACCCCCCAATCCCTCATAACCCTATCATTAACTACATCAAAATCCCTAAACCCCCCTATACAATCACCAACAAAAAACATCGCCCTTTCCAAACACTACCATCCAAATTTCCCCCCCCTCTAAACCCTCACAACACCTACACATCCCATAAATCCATCAACTCCACCCCCCCCCTACCCCTCTCACAACCCAAACCCCCCACACACCCACCCCCACACAACAACACCAAAAACACACCCATACATACCCAACTAAATCTCCCAATTACTCCTAACCCACCCAACTCCATAACACCCACCCAATTCCATCCACATCCAACACAACCCCACCCCAACAAATTCAACAACATACACCCACACCCCCAACTCAACACACCACACACCCAACACAAACCACACCTACCACACCCCCCCCCACCTCCCACCACCCAAACAATCCATCCCAAAAAAACCCCCCTTCTCCCCACCCCCCCACCTCCTCCACCCCTCCCAACAACCAACCCAACTTATAAACCCACAACAACCCCAACCCAACCCCCCCACCACACTCTCATACCCCCACCAATATCCTAAAATCCCCAATACATATACTCTCCTACTCATCTCACACCCTCCCCCCCCCCACCCACCCCCCCCCACCCAACCCACAACCACCCTCACCCCACCAAAACCCCCCCCTCCCAAACACAAACCACAAAAAAACCTAAAAAATCCCCCCCCCCCCCCACAACCCAAACCCCCCCCTACAACCACCCCTACACACCAACCCCCAACTCACTAACTCATAACCACTCCCACACCCAACCCTTATCCCCCACATTTCCTACCCCACACAACAAATCCCTACCAACCCACCAAACACCAAACCTTAATAACCACACAAACCCCCCATCCCCCAAAACAAAACTCCAACACAACATCCCAAATCCCTAACCAATCAACAACCTCCCCCCCAAAACCCACCACACAAACCCAAAAAACTACACACTTCCCCAAAAACACTACACACAACCTAAAACATCACCCACAACCCCTACCACCACATCACACAACCCTAAACTCTCCACTCTTCCCTAAAACTCTCACTAACCCCACAAACACACACACAACCCTAAACTCTATCACTCTTCCATAATACACACACACTACCCCATATACTTCTACACTCTATCCCTAAAACTCTACACATCCCCATCTACTCACACAATCCCAATATCTCACTCTTCCCCTTCATCCACTACTCTTCCCTTATCAACTCTCATCTTCTCCTTATACTCTCCACTCTTCCCCTTATAACTCTCCACTCTTAATCCTTAACTCTTCCACTCATCCCCCAAATACACTCAAACTCTTCCCCCATTAACCTCTCAATCTTTCCCCTTATACTCTCAACTCTTCCCCATTCTACTTTCACTCTTCCCCCTTCATACTCTTCACTTTTTCCCCCTCATACTCACACTCTTCCCCCTTATCACTCTTATCCTCCCCTTCATACACACACTCTTCCCTTATACACACCACAAACCCCCCTACAAACTCACCACTCCATCCCTACAAACACTCCACACTACCCAACACCACACCCACATACCAAAAACTCACTCATCCCCCAACCACCTCACACTCACCCCCATATACATCTCACTCATTCCCCCATCATACACTCCACTCTTTCCCACATATCTCACCACTACCTTATAACACACACACAACCCAACAACAACCCACACATCCCAAATAACTCCAACTCTAACCCAAAAACAAAACCCCAACAACCCAAAACCACACACACTACCCAAAATACTCTACCACATACTACCCCTTAAATCCCCACTACCCCTTATACACACCACACTACCAACATCCACTAACTATACCCCAACCCCTACACAACCTCAACCCAAATAACACAACCACTACCAACCCAACAACACCCACAACCCCAACATACACAAACACAACAAAAACACTACTCAACCCCCTAAAACACAAACCACAAAACACTCCACAAACCCAACCACCACAACACATCCACAAATACACTCCCCACAACCACTACAACACACCACACACCCCCCCAAAACCCACACCCACAACCCCAACACCACACAACAACCCCCACAACCACAAACTAACCCAAACACCAAACCCAAACCAACCAACACCCCACACCTACAACCAACACAAACCCAACCTAACAAACACAACCCAACAACACACCAAACACAACACCACAAACCACAACCACAAACAACCCACCACAACCCAAAACACACCCACAACCCAAACACAACCACAACCCAACCAACCAACCCACAACACAAAACCACAACCACAACAAAACCACACCCAAACCCAAAACCACAACCACAACAACAACACCAAAACACAACCCAACACCCACCCACAAACCCAACCACCAACCACAACCCAACTCCACACCCACAACCCCCAACAACAAACCCACAACCCAACACCACAACCAAACCAACACCACAACCACAAACCCAACACACACCACAACCCCACAACACACCCCAAACCACACCACAACCCACAACCCCCAACCACCACACCACAACCCAACAACACCCCACAACACCAACACCACACCCCACAACAACAACACAAACCCACAACCTAAACACACACCCACAACCCCAAAACACAACCAAACACAAAAACAAAACAATCCCAAACACACACACACAACCCAACACACACCCACTACCAACCACAAACCCACAACAACCAACCAACCCAACAACAACAAACACAACAACCCAAAACCACACACACAACCCCAAAACCACACCCACAACCCCACCACCACACCCACAAACCCCAACCACCACACACAAACCCAACACCACACCACAACCCAACACCACAACACCACAACCCAACACACACACACAAACCCCAAACACACCCAAAACCAACACCACACCCAAACCCAACACCACACCCACAACCCCCACCACCACACCACACCCCCCAAAACCAACCCACAACCAACACCACACCCACAACCCAACACCCCACTCCCCACAACAACAACACCACCCACACACCCCCCACCCCCAACACCCCCCCCAAACCCCCCCACCCACCCACCCCCCCCCAACCACCACCCCACACCCACCACCCCCCACCCCCCACCACCCCCCACCCCCCCAAAACCCCACCCCCACCCAACCCCCCCAACCCCACACACCACACACCCAAACACCACCACACAACCACCCACACCCAACACACCCCACAAACCCCCCCAACACACCCCCCCACAACCCCCACCCCCCCCCCCCCCCCCCACCCCCCCCCACAACAAAAAACCCAAAACCCACCCACCCCCACCCCCCCCCCCCCCCCACCCCACCCCCCCACCACCCCCCAACCCCCCCCACCCACCAACCCCACCCACACCACCCCACACACCACACCAACCCCCCCCCACCCCCCCCACCCCCCCCCACAACCAACAACCACACCCCACCACCCCAACCCCCAACCCCCCCCCCCCCCACCACCAACCACACCACCACCCCACCCCCCCACCCCCCCCACCAACCCCCACCCCCCCACACACAACCCCCAACCCCACACCCAACCCCCAAACCACCACCCCCACCCCCACCCCCCCACCACCCCCACAACCCACCACACACAACCACCCCCAACCCCCCCCAACCACCCCCCCACCCCCCCCCCACACCACCCCCCCCCCCCCCCACCCCACCAACCACCAACACCCCACACCCCCCCCCCCCCCCCCCCCCCCCACCAACCCACCAACCACCACCCCCACACCCACCAAACACACCCCCCCCCCCCACAACACCCACCCCACCCACCCTCCACAAACCACACCACCCCCCAACCCCCACAAACAACACACCACAACACCCCCAACAACCACACCCCCCACCCCAACCACCCCCCAACCACCACACCCCAACTCAACCCCCCCCCCCCCCCACCCCCCCCCCCCCCACCCACCACCCACACCACACACACCACCCCCCCCCAAACCCCCCCCCCCCACCCCAACCCCCCCCACCCCACCCCCCCCACCCCCCCCCCACACCCAACCCACCCAACAACCCCCCACACAAAACAACACCAACACCCCAACAAAACACCCACCAACCCCCCCCCACCACCCACCACCCCCACCACAACACACCCACACACCCCCCACCCCCACCACCCCCCCCACACACCCACCCCAACCCCCCCCACCCCCCACCACCCAACCCACCCCACACCACCCACAACCACCACCCCCCACCACCCCCCCCACACAACCACAACAACCACCCAAACCCCAAACACCCACCACAACCCACCCCCCCCAACACCCACCCACCCCCACCCACCCCCCCCCACCCCCCCCACACCCACCCCAAAACCCCCCCAACCCCCCCCCACCACCCCACCAACCCACCCCCCCACCCAACACCAACCCAACCCCCCCCACCCCCCACCCCCCCCCCCCCACCCCCCCAACCCAACACACCCCACCCACCCAAACACCCCACCCCCCCCCACCCCCACCCCCCAACCCACACCCCCCACCCCCCCCACCAACACACACCACCACCACCACCCACCCACACCCCACACCCCCCCACACACAAACCCCAACAACCCCCCAAACCCAACAACACACAACCACAACCCCCCACCCCCACCCAAACCCACCACAACCACACCCCCACAACCCCACCACAACCAACAACCCACACCAACACACCCCCAAACCCCCCCACAACCCCCCCCCCCCACCAACCCCACCCCCCCCCACCACCCCCCCCCACCCACCCCCCCACCACCCCCCCCCCCCCCCCCCCCACCCCCCCACAACCACCCACACCCACCCCCCAACACACCCCCACACCAACCAACCACAAAACACCCCCCCACACACACACCACACACCCCACCCCCACACACCCACCCCCACACACCCCACCCCCACCACACCCACCCCACACACCACACCCCCCACACACCCCACCCCCCACCACACCCCACCCCCACACACCCCACCCCCACACACCCACCCCAAAACCCCCACCCCAACACCCCACCCCCCACCACACCCACCCCACACACCCCACCCCCACACACCCCACCCCCACACACCCACCCCACACACCCCACCCCCACACCCCCACCCCCACACACCCCACCCCCACACACCCCACCCCACAACCCACCCACACACCCCACCCCACACACCCCACCCCCACACACCCAACCCCCACAACCCCACCCCCAACACACCCACCCCACACACCCCACCAACACACCCCACCCCACAACCACCCACAACCCCACCCCACAACCCCACCCCACACACCCACCCACAACCCCACCCCCACACACCCCCCCAACCCCCCACAACCCCCACCCCCACCACACCCCACCCCACAACCCACCACACACCCCACCCCCACACACCCCCCACCCACAACACACCCACACACCCCACCCAACTCCCACCCCACAACCCACACCCCCACAAACCACCAACCCCCACAACCCACCCCCCACACACACACCCCACACACCCACCCCCACACACCCCACCACACACACCCCACCCCCACACACCCCACCCCCACAACCCACCCCAAACACACACCCCCCCAACCACACCCACCCCCACAACCTACCCCCACAAACCCCACCCAACACCCACCCCCCACCCCAACACCCCACCCCACAACCCCCACCCCCAACACACCCCACCCCCACACACCCAACCCCACACACCCCACCCCACAAACCCCCACCCCACAACCCCACCCCCACACACCCCACCACCCCACACACCCCACCCCACACACCCACCCCACACACCCCCACCCCCAACACCCACCCACACACCCCCACCCCACAACCCCACCCCCAAACACCCCACCCCCAAACAAACCCCCCACCCCACACACCCCACCCCCCACAAACCCCACCCCCCACACACCCACCCACACACCCCACCCCCAACACCCCACCCCCCAACACACCCCACCCCACACACCCCACCCCACACACCCAACCCCAATCCACCACACCCACACACCCACCCCCACCACACCCCACCCCACACACCCCAACCCACAAACCCCACCCCAACCCCACCCCACACACCCCCACCCCACCACACCCCACACCCACAACCCCACCCCCACACACCCCACCCCCACACAACCCCACCCCACAACACCACCCCCACCAACACCACCCCCACACACCCCACCCCCACACACCCCACCCCCACACACCCCACCCCCACCACACCCCACCCCCCACACACCCCACCCCACCAACACCCACCCCCACACTCCCCACCCCCACAACCCCCACACCCCCTCAAACCCCACCCCCACCACACCCCACCCCCACCAACAACCCAAACCCCACCCCAACCACCCACCCCACACACCCCCACAACCCCAAACCCCCCAAACAACCCCCCCCACCCCCCCCACCCCCCCCCCCCCCCCCACACCCCACCCCCCCCCCCCCCACCCACCCCCCCACCCCACCCACCCCACACCCCCCCCCAACACCCCCAACCACCCAAACACACCAACAACCCCCACCACCAACCAAAACCCAACCCCCAAACCCCCCACCCACCCACCCCCACCCCCCCCCCACACACACCCACCCCAAAACCACCCCCCACACCCACAAACCAAAAAACAACACCCCACCACAACCAAAACTCAAAAAAACCAAAAAACAACACCCAAACCCCACCCAACCCACAAAAACCAAACCACCAACCCACACACACACCCCACACCCAACCAAACCAACCCCACAACCACCCCACACCCCTACCCCAAACACCCCCCACCCCCCCCCACACCCCAAACAAAACAAACCCCCAAACCACACACCAAACCCACCCCCCCACCCCCACCCAACCAAACACACAACACACACAAACACCCCCCCCCACCCCACCCCCCCCCACACCCACCCCCACACCCCCCCCCCCCAACTACCCCCCCAACCACCAACCACCACACAACACATACACACACAACAACCCCACACCCCCAACAAACCACCCAAACCAAAACACCCCCACCCCACACCACACCCCAACCACCACCCCCCCCCCCCCACCAACACACACCCACAACAACCAAAACCAACACCCCACACACACAACAAAAAAAACACCCCCCCCCCCCCACACCAAACCCCCAACCCCCCCCCACCCCACCAACCCCCCCCCCCAACACACCCCCCCCCCCCCCACACCACCTCACAACCCACAACCCCCCCAACCAACAACACCCCCACACACACACCACCCACCCCCCCCCCCCACCACCCCCCCCCCCCCAAACCACACACCAACCCAACCCCCTAAAAACCCCCAACCCCCAAAACCACCCCACCAAACCAAACCCCAACACACCCCACCACACCCCACCAAAACACAACCCCCACCACACCCCCAACCCCCCCACCACCACCACAACACCCCACCACCACACCCCCCACCCCAACACCCACACCCACAACAAACCCCACCACCCCCCCCCCAAACCACCCCCCCCCCAACCATCCCCCCAACCCAAAAACACCAAACAAAACAACACCCAACACCAAAAAACCCCCCACCCACACCCACCCCACCAACACCCAAAACCACCACCAAACCAACCAACAACACCACAACCACACAACCCCCCCACCAACCCCACAAAAACCCAAAAACACACCAAAACCACACACACACACACCCAAACCCCAACCCCCAACCACCCACACCCCCACCCCCCCCCCCCCCCCCCCACAACACCACACCCCCCCCCCACCCCCCCCCAACAACCCACCCCCCCACCCCCACCCCCCCCAAACCCACCCACCCACACCCACACCACCCACCCCCCAAAAAACCCCCCAACACCAACCCGAACCACACACACCACACCCACCCCAAAACACCCAAAAACCCACACAACCAAACACCCCACCACCAAAAAAACCAAACCCCACCCACCCCCACCACACCCAAAACCCAAAAACCCCAACACATACAAAACCACACAAAAAACACACACCAAAACACACCCCCCCCAAAATCCCACACCCCAACCAAAACCCCAAAACCCCCCAACCCCCCAATAACCCCCCACACACCCCCCCACCAACCCCACCCCCACTCCACCACCTCCCACCCCACACTCAAACAAAAACCCACCCCACCAACCCCCCAAACTAAATCTACTTCCCCAACACCAACCAACCAAAACCACCTCCCCCCTAAACCCCACCCAAAACACCCACCTATAAAAACACCAACACCCCACAAAACCCAAACCAAAAACCCAATAACACAACCCCAATCACCTCACAAATCTTCAAACATACCCCACACCCCCCCAACTACAAAACCCCATCACAACCCATCCCCCCTCACAACCTCATATCCACTCCCAACAACTTTCTTCATTCTACTTTCCCCCTCAAACCACCACCCCACCCCAACAACCCACCAACAAAAATTAATTATTTAATTCACTACAACCCCACACCCCCAACCAACCACCCAACAAACAATACCACAACTCAAACAAAACCAAATAAACCCACAACCCAAAAAACCCACAACCACCAACCCCCACCCCACCCACCCAAAACAAAAACAACCTACCACAAAATACAACCCACAACCCCACCCCCACCAACACACCAAACCAATCCCAAACCCACCAAACAAACACCACCCACCCCCCCCCCACCCCCAACCACACCAACCCCCCTCCCCCCACCCACAACACCACAACACCCACACAACCCCCCCCCACCAACACCCACACCACCCCCCCCAACCACACCACACACCAACAACCCACACACAACCAACCCCCCCTAACCACCCCCCCCCCCACCCAAAAAACCCAAACCCCAAACAACCCACAAAACCCCACAAAACCCCAAAACCCTAACAACCCCCCCACAACACCCACCCACCACCAACCCCCACAAACCCCCCCCACCCACCCCCCCCCACACCCCACCACCCAACCACCCACCAAACCAACCCCCCCCCAACCCACACCAAACCCACAAATCCCCCCCCAACAACCAAACACACACCCCCACCCCAACACCACCCCCACACCCTACCCCTTTCCACCAAACTACTTACTTCAACCCCAACACCCCAACACCCCACCCCACCCCCACCACCACAACCAACACCTCACCCTACCCTCACCCCCCATCAACCAACCCAAAAAACCTCCCCATCCCCACCCCCCACCAACCCCACACCCCCCCCAACCACACAACAAAACCCCAAAACACCCCCCCACACACAATCCTCCCCCAAACACTCACTAATCCACCCCCAAAAACCCCTAAAAACCCCAATAAAAAAACACCACACAAAAACTCCCCTACACCCCTCCACCCCAACCCCACCCCCCAACCCCCTCCCCATCCCACCTACCACCACACCCACACCCCCCCCATCCATCCTCAAACCTACCCCAACAATACCCCAAAAACAACCCCCCCACAAACACACCTATCCCCCAACCCCCAACCCCCCCAACAACCCCAACCCACAACTAACACAAAACAACACCACACCTATATACCCCAACTTCCTCCACCCCACCCACCAACCCAACACCCAACCCACCAAAACCACCACATTACTAACCCAAATAACCCCCAAAACACACAACACAAAACTCCAACACACACCAAAATCCTCACCTCAAAAATCCCAAACAACAACCACCACAACCCAAAAACAACCACACAAAATCCCAAATACTCACCACCAACAACCAAACACACCACACAACCCAAAACCACACCCACAACCAAAACCACACCCCACAACCCATCACCACAACACAACCCAAAACCACAACCCAAACCAAAAACACCCCACACCCACACCCAACAACCACACCCACTACCCAACACCACCCACACAACCCAAACCACACACACAACCCAACACCATCCCCACAACCCAAACCACACACCACAATCCCCAACCACAACACACAACAACCAAATCCACACCCAAAACACAAACCACCACAAACACACAACCCCAAAACACACAAAACCCAAAAAACACACCCACAACCCAAAACCACAACCCACAACCAACAACCACACACACAACCTACAACACACCCACAACCCTACACCCACAACACACAAACCAACAACAACACACAACCCACCACCACACCCACACCCAACAACACAAACAAACCACCCAAAACAAACCACAACCCAAACCACTAACAACTACCCAAAAACCACACACCACACCCAAACACCCACACACACAACCCCAACCCACACACCACACAACCCAACCACCACACCCACAAACCCCAACCCACCACACAACAACCAAAACCACACCCACAACCAACACCACAACCAAACCCCAACCCAACACACAACAACCCAACACACACAACTACCCCAAAACTCAAACACAACCCAACTCCACACCAACAACCCCCAAAAACACACCCCACAAACCCCAACAACACACCCACAACCATATCAAACACACAACCCAAACCACACACACAACCCCAACCTACACACCCACAACCCCATCACCACAACACACAACAACAAACACAAACACAACCCAACAACACAACCAAAACCCAAATACACTTCACATATCCCCCCATACAAACAAAACACTACCCAAAAACTCACCACATCCCAAATACACAACCCACAATACCACACCCACCAACCCCAAAACACAACCACAAACACACACCACACCCACACAACACCAACACCACACCCTCACCCCCAAAACACTACCACAACCCAAAACACACCACAACCCAACATCCACTACCCCCAAATCACTTCCCCAAAACAACCACACAACCCAAAAACAACCCACCCACACAACCTAAAAACACCACACAACCCAAAACACTAAACTCATCCCCAAAAACAAACAACAACACCCCAAACAACAAAACACAACATAAACACACCCATCTTCCCCACAAACTCATCACAAACCCCATCCTAACAACCACAAACCCTTTATACACACCACACACAATAAACACAACTCAACCAATAAAACACACCCCACATACTACCACCACAACCAATCTCAAACAACACAAACACAACCATAAAACTACTCCACATCCACCCATACTACTACACACATCCCCCAATAAACTACAAACTCATCCCCATCAAAAACATCACACACATCCAAAACCACAACCCACACACAACCCCAAATACACAAACACAACCCAACAATACACAAACACAACCCAAAACACTCACACATCCCCTACAAACACAAACACATCCCTACAACCACACCCACTACCCCCTAACTACTCTCACTACAACACTTCATACTCTCACAATCCCCAAACTACACAACACACTACCATCTACCACTTACACACCAATCCCTAAAACCACACCACACACAACAACACAAAACCAACAACCCCAACAACACACCACCAAACCCAAATACACAACCCCCCCACAACCCAAAAACACACCACACAACCCATATACACACCCACAACCCCAAAAAACTCACCAACTACCCCTAAAACAACAACTACAACCCATAAACCACACCCACTCAACCCCACCAAACACACCCACTTCCCAAACCACACACACAACCCCCAAAACACACCCCACAACCCAACACCACAACCAACAACCCCAACACACACAACAAACCCAACACACACCCACAAACCCCAAACCACACCCCCACAACCCCACACACACCCAAACCCACAACAACACACACTACCAACAACAACACAAACCAAATACAACCCAAACCACACCCCCACACCAACAAAAAACACACACCCACACCACCCCCCACCCCACCACCACCCCCCCCCACAACCCCCAACCCCACCCCCCACCCCCCCAAACACCACCCCCACAACCCACCACCCCCCCACCCCCAACCCACCCCACCCCCCCACAAACCAAAACAACCAACCAACCCCCCAACCACCACAACACACCCCAAACCCCCACCCACACAACCACCCTCCCCAAACCACCCCACCACCCCCCCCCCCAACACAACACCCCCCCACAACCACCCCCCCCCACCCCACCCCCCCCCACAACCAATAACCAATACCCCAAAACCCAAACCCCCCCCCCCCCCACCCCCACCCCACCCCCCAACACCCCACAAACCCCCCCAAAAACCCCATCACAACCCCAAAAAACCACACACCACACCAACCACCCCCCACCCACACACCCCCACACACCCAACCAAAAACACCCCCCACCACCCCCACACCCCCCAACCCCACCCCCCCCAACAAACCAAACCACCACCACACCACCCAACAACACACCACCCCCCCAACCAACCCCCCCACAAAACACCACACAACAACACCACAACCACCCCCCCCAAAACAACCCCCCCCCCCCCCACCCCCCCCAACCCCCCCCCAAACACAACCACACACAACCACACCACAAAACAACACACCCAACCCCACCCCACCCACAACCCCCACCAACCCCCCAACCCCCAACCACCCAAAATCACCAAACAACACCACCCCCCCCCCCCACCCCCCACCCCCCACCATCACCACCACAAACCCCCCCCAACACCCCCAAACCTTACAACAACAACACTAAAACACCAACACCCACACCACCACCCCCAACACACAACCACACCACACCCACAAAACATAAATCACAACCCACAACACCCAAAACCATCCCCCCACCACCCCCCCACCAACAACACCACACCACCCCACTAAACACCCCCCCCCCCACCCACCCCCCCCCCCCCCCAACAACCAACACACACACAACAACACCCCCACCCATAAACCCCCCACCACCCCCAACCACCCCCACACACACCCACCCCCCCACCCCCCCCCCCACACCCCCAACCCAACCAACACCACACAAAACAACCACAAACACACCCCCAACCACAACCTCCCCCACCCAACCCCCCCCCCCACCCACCACCACCCCACCACAACACAACCCAAACACCCCCCCCACCCCCAAAACCCCACCCACCCAACACACCCACCACACCCCCCCCCACCCCCCCCACCACCAAAAACCCCACCCAACACACCCACAACCACCACCCCCCCCACCCACCCCCCCCCACACAACCCCACACACACACCACACAAACCCAAACACACAACAAAACCACAACCACAACACACACCCACCCCCCCACCCACCCCCCCCCCACACCCCCCCACCACCCACCACAAACCCCCCAACCCACCCCCCCAACCCACCAACACCACCCCCCCCCCACCCCCAACCCACCCCCCCAACCCCCCACCCCCCCCCCCCCACCCACCACAAAACCCCCACCACCCACACACCCCACAACCCCCCCCCACCCCCACCCCAACCCACACCCCCACCCCCCCCACCAACAACACACAACCACCACCCCACCCCACCACCCCCAACCCCCCCACAACAAACCCCAACAAACCCCCCCAAACCCAACAACACACACACAACCCCCCCACCCCACCCCACACCACAACCACCCCCCACACCCCCCACCAACACCCAACACCACACCAACCCACCACCCCACACCCCCCCACAACCCACCCCCCCCCACCACCCACCCCCCCCCCCACCACCCCCCCACCCCCCCCCCCCACCCCCCCCCCACCCCCACCCCCCACAACCCCACCCCCCACCCACCCCCCAACAACCCCACACAACCAAACCACAAAACACCCCCCACAACACACACACACACCACCCACACACCCACCCCACACACACCCAACCCCACCACACCCACCCCACACACCCACCCCACACACCCACCCCCACACACCCACCCACACACCCACCCCACACACCCACCCCCACACACCCACCCACACACCCCACCCCCCACACCCACCCCACACACCCACCCCCACACACCCCACCCCACACACCCACCCCCAAACCCCCACCCCACCCCCACCCACACACCCCACCCCACAACACCCACCCCACAACCCACCCACACACCCACCCCACACACCCACCCCACACACCCACCCCCAAACCCCACCCCACACACCCACCCACACACCCCACAACAACCCCACCCCCACACACCCACCCCAACACACCCCACCCACACACCCACCCACACACCCACCCCACACACCCCCCCCCACACACCCACCACAACCCACCCACACACCCACCCACAACCCCACCCACAACCACCCACACACCCACCCACAACCCACCCCCACAACCCCAACCCAACAACACCCCACCCCACACACCCACCCCCACAACCCCACCACAAACCCACCCCACACACCCCCACCCACACACCCCCACCCCCACACACCCCCACCCCCCACACACCCCACCCCCACAAACCCCACCCCCAACACCCCACCCCCACACACCCCCACCCACACACCCCACCCCCAACAACCCACCCCCACAACCCACCCACACACCCACCCCCACCCCACACACCCCACCCACACACCCACCCCCACACACCCACCCACACCCACCCACACACCCACCCAACACACCCACCCCACACACCCCACCCCCCAAACACCCCACCCCCACACACCCCACCCCCAACACCCCCACCCCACACACCCCACCCCCACACACCCACCCCACACACCCCACCCCCCACCCACACCCCACCCCACACAACCCCACCCCACACACCCCCCACCCCCAACACACCCCCACCCCCCACACACCCCACCCCCACACACCCCACCCCCACACACCCACCCCCACACACCACCCCCACACACCCCACACCCCCACACACCCCACCCAACACACCCACCCCCCACAAACCCCCACCCCACACACCCACCCCACCACACCCCCACCCCACACACCCCAACCCCACACAACCCACCCCCACACACCACCCCACCCCACACACCCACCACCCACAAACCACCCCCACACCCCCCCACCCCACAACACCCCCACCCCCACAAACCCCACCCCCAAAACAACCCACACCCCCACACACCCCACCCCCAAACACCCACCCCACACACCCCACCCCCACACAACCCACCCCCACAAAACCCACACCCCCAACACCACTCACCACAAATACCACACCCCACCACAAAACCACCCCCCCACAAAAACCCCCCCCCCCAACCTAACCAAACCAAAATACCCACAAAACCCACAACAAAACTACCACCACCAAATACACACAAAACCACCCAAAACCACACAAAACACCACACCAAACCCCCCCTAACACACAACCCCCACACACCACAAACCCCACCCACCCCCACAACACCCCCACCAACCCCCCCCCCCCACACCCCACCACACCAACCACCCCCCCCCACCCAACCCAACCCCAAACACACCAACAACCCCACCACCACCACACCCCAACCCCCAAACCCCCCAACCACCACCACCCCCCCCCAACACCCCAACAAACCCACCCCCAACACCACCCCCACAACCCCCTCAAACAACAAAACCCACCACCCCACCCCCACCCCACCCCCCCCCACCAAACCCCCCAAACCACCCACACCACCCCAACCCCCAAACAACACACACCAACCACCCCCACACACACACCCCCACCATACACACCAAACACACACAACATCCCCACATCCCAAACACCACAACCCCAACCAACCCCCCCACACCAAAAAAAAAAACCCACCCAAACCCACACAAACAAACCACCATCCCCCCATCCACCCAACAACAAAAACACAAACAACACTACACCCCCCAACACCCCCACCACCCCACAAACACCAAACCCCCCCACCCCCCAACAACCCCCCCACCCCCCCCCACCCCCCACAACCCCCCACAAACCCCCCCAACCCCCCCCCCACACCACCAAACCCCCACCAACCCCCACCCCCCACACACCCCCACCACACCCCCCCCCAACCAACACACCCACACAACCAAAACCAACACCCCAACACAACACAAAAAAACAAAACCCCCCCCCCCCCACACCCAAACCCCAACCCCCCCCAACCACACAACCCCCCAAACACACCCCCCCCACCACACAACACACCACCCCCCCCACACACCCACCCCCAACCACCACACACACACAACCACCCACAACACCCCACCCCCCCCCCCCCCCCCCCCCCCCCACCCCACCCCCACACACAACACTCAAACCCCAAAACCCCAAACCAAAACCCAACCACCCACCACCAACCCACCAAAAACACCCACCCAACAACACACCAAAAACCCCAATAACCCACCACTCACAACCACCCACCACCAAAAAAAAACACACCCCCCCACACCCCCCAACACACCAACACCCTAAACCCCAACCAAAACACCCCCCCCCAACAACCCACCCCCCCCCCCCCCCCCAACCCCAACCCACCCAACACTACCCAAACTTAATCATCACCCCCCCAAAAACCAAAAACTAAACCTCCCCACCCCACCCATACACCCATAACCCACCTCATTCAATAATCAACAACACCTACTATCCCATCTACCCTCACTACCACTAAACTACAACTTTTTCTTCCTACCCTACTTTCTCACTCTCTCACCATTACATCCCAACAACCACAACCCCACCCCCCACCCACCCCCCCACCCCCCCCCCCACCCCCACCCACCCCCACACCCACCCCAACACCCCCACCCCCACCCCCCCCCACCCCCCAACCCCCCCCCAAAACACCCACAAACAACCCCCCCAAAACACCCCAAAACCAACCAACCACTCCACCACAACCACAACAAAAACAACCAAAATACACCAACAATATCCCCACAAAAAATACCAATCCCACAAACAAACCCCAACCACATAAACCCCCAAAAAAACCCAACACAAACCCCCCCACACCACCCACAACCAACAACACACACCCCCCCAAAAACCCACCCCCCACCAACACACACAAACACCCAACCCCCCACCCCCCCCCAACCACCCCACCACCCCCCCACACCACACCCCCCAACCAACAAACACCACACCCCCCCAACACAACAACCACAACACCCCAACACACCAACCCCAACCACCACCCACACCAACCAACAACACCAAACACCACCACAAATCAACACACCCCCCAACACCCCCTCCACCACCCCCACACACCTCTCCATCTTCAAACAAACCAACACCCCACCAACCAAACCCAACCAACACCACCCCACACAAAACACCCCACCCCCCCCAAAAATAAAAACAACAAACCACCCACCACCCCCCCCCCACCCCAAACAACCCCCCCCCAAACAAAAAAACAACACCACACCCCCCACCCCCCCCAACCCCCACCACCCCCATACAACAAAAAACCCAACACCCCTACCCCAAACACAAAAACCCCAACCTCAATAACACCAAAACAACCATCCCCCCCCACCCTCCACCAAAACACCCCAACCACCACCAAAAAACCCCACCCACACCCACAACCACCCCAAACCCACCACAACACCACACCCCACCCCCCCCCACCCAACCACCCCCCCCCCCAAACCCCACACCAACCACAACAAACACCCCCCACCCCCCCACCAACTCTACATCCAATAAACCCAAATACACCCCCCAATCAATAACACAACCAACCCCAAACTCCCTATCCCCAAAACAAAACCACCCACAAACCTACCCCCAAAACCCCCCCAACCAAACACACACACAACATCATCACAAACCCCCCCCCACAACAATACACAATCTAACCTCATTAACCCTAACCTAACCACCATCAAACCAAACCCACCCTCCCCAACCTCTAACCCCAACACCTAACCCACCCCCTCACAATAAAACAACTTCAATCCATACATACCCCCACTCAAACTCTCCCAATACCTCCTATCCCCCCACATCATCCCATAACCCACCCTCCCCATCCCCATCACCTCCCCCAACACCTATACCCCTCCACCAACTCAACTCTACTTCTACAAACCAAACCCCAAACTCCACACAAACCACAACACCAACACCAACAAACCTCACACCTCTCTACCCACCTCCATCAATCCAACCACCAAAATCCCCCCCTCCCCAACCCCCCCCACCATTCCCTCCTCCCCCCTCCCAACATAAATACCAACCTTATATACCCACATCCAACCACATCCCAACCCCCCCCTCACACCTCCATACCAACCACTATCTACAACATCCCCCCAATATATACTCTCTCACCACTCTCACTCCCCTCACCCACCCCCCACACACCCACCCCAACCCAACCCAACCCAACAACACCACCCAAACCCCCCCCCCCTCCAACCCCCCAACCTCCACATAAACCCTAAACATCCCCCCACATAAAACCTATCCCCCTCCTTCAAACCCCCCCATCCTAACCCATCCCCAACCAACACAACACATCACAAACACCTAAAAAAAAACCCCAACAAACAACCACAAACCCCCACCTACAACCCACCAACACCACCACCAAACTAACCCCAAACACCCACAACACACACAACACACTTCCCCCACATCCACAACACCAAACCCCACAAAAACCCACACACAACACCCCACCACAACCCAAAAACACACCCACAAACCCAACAACAACCACACAACCCATCAACCACACCCCACAAACCCCATACACCACAACAAACCCAAACAACCACACACACCAACCAACCCACACACTCAACCCAAACCACACACCACAACTCAACAACACACCCACAACCAAAACACACACACAACCCAAAACCACACCACACAACCCCAACCAAACACCACAACCCAACAACACACACAACAACCAAAACATCACACATCCCCCTTCACCACAACACTATCCCCAAAACAACACACTTCCACAAAAACACTCACACACCCCTAAACAACCTCAACCCATCTACTAACCCACAACCCCAAAACCACAACCACTCATCTCCCTAAAACACAACACACTACCCATCCCCCTACACCACACAAACCAAAAAACCTCAAACCACAACCCAAACACACACACACAACCAAACACACACACAAACCCAACACCACAACACCACCTTCACAACTCTATCCACTCTATCCCCCCAACATACACTAACACAACCCCCCAACAACTCACACAACAACCCCCAACAAACACACCCACAACCCATCCACCACTCACACAACCCCATCATAACACTCACCTCTTCCCCATAACCACACACACAACCCCACAAACATCCCAAACCAAAACCACACACACTAACCCAAAAAAACTCACACAAACCCCATAACCAAACACACACAACCCACAAACTACACACAACCAACAAAACCACACCACACAACCCAAAAACACACCCACAACCCAACCACCACACCCACAACCTACCACCACACACACAACCAACCAAACACCCACCAACCCCCAACCAAACAACACTCTCCCAACACCACAAACACAACCCAAAACACAAACACTACCCCCCAAATCCACAACCACAACCCACCAACACACACACAACCCCAACAAAACACACTCATCCCAACAACACACACACAACCCAAAAACACACACAAAACAACACACACAACCACAACTACTTCCACAACACAAAAAACACACCCACACACTACTACACACAACAACCAAAATACACAAACACTATTCCCACCACCACACCCACTACCCTACCATACACACACTCTTCCCCCAAATACTTCACACAAATCCCCCCCACCTCCACCCCCACAACCCAACAACAACACAAACCCATCACCACATACCATCATAATAAACCTCAATCACCTTCCCTCCTAAAACTCAATACTCTTCCCTCCTTATACACATCACTCTTCCCATCCATACTCATCACTCTATTCCCTTTATACTTTATCATCCCCTTCATACTCACACTCTACTCTTATCTCTTCACTCTTCCCTCATACACTTCACTCATCCCAAATACTCTTACTTCCTATCATACTCTTTACTCTTCCCCCTTATACTCTCACTTACCCTTAACCTCTCACTCTTCCCCCCTTCATACTTCCCACACTTCCCCTTCCCTACTTATCATCTTTCCCCCTTCATACTCTTACTCTTCCCCTTACATCCACTAACTCTACCCATCAAACCACATACTCATCCCCTATACTACACTCATACCCTTCAAACACATACTATACCACTTATACACTCATCATCCCATCAAACTCACATCTATCTACAACACTCACACTACCCTTAAACATCTCACCTCTCCCCTATCAACTATCCCATTTCCCCATCAAACTCTACACTACACCCCCTAAACACTACCACTCAACCACACTCATACTTCCACTCTTCCCCCCATATATCACCACATCTTCCCCTTCAATACTCTTCCACAACAACCCTACCTACTACACTCTTCCCCTTCATACTCTTCACTCAACCCCCTTATATCTCCACTCTTCCCCCTTTACATACTCTCTCATCTTCCCTCATATCTTCACTCTTCTCCTTCAAACTCACCACTCTTCCCCCTTATACACTCCACTCTTCCCTTATACACTCCACTCTTCCCCTTCATACTCTCACTCTTCCCTTATACACAACAACTCTACCCCTTCCATACTCTCACTCATACCCTTCATCTCTCACTCTTCCCCCTCATACTTCACTCTTCCCCAACAACTCTCTACTCTATCCCCCTTATACTCTCACTCTTCCCCTTAAAACATACTAAATATCAATTCTTCCTCCTACCTACCCATCAACACCTCCAAAACCCATCCATCCAAACATCACCCCCCCTATTCCACCATTCCACTAAAACCCACCCAACAAACAACAATACCCCAATACATACTAACCCCTCAAAAACATCCACAACTCCCCCCCCCACTTTACTACACTAAAAAACCTACCTTAAACCACATTCACCTTACATCCTTCTCTCCACTTTCCCCTTACCCATTTATTACCCCCTCCCACATCCCCCATAATACCCTCCCATCATCAACACCCCCCATCTCATATAACCCCCCTCTTCCCCTCCCCACCCAACCACAACCCCTCCCCCCTCCCCCCAATCTTACATTTTCCCACAATTTTCCCACAATAAATCACATACCCCAACCCCCCAAACCCATACCAACTCCCCCTCCACCCCCCCAAAACCCCCCCCACCACCCAACCCAACCCACCAACAAAACACACCACCACTACAATCCCCACCCCCACCCCCCCCCACCCCCCAACTCCAAAACAAACCAAACCCCCCCACACCCCAACCACCAACCCCACCCCCCACAAAACCAACACACCACCCACCCCCCACCCCCCCCCACCCCCCCCCCAACCCACAAAACCACCCCCCCCCCCACCCAACCCCCCCAAAACACCCCCCCCCCCCACCCCCCCACCCCCCCCCCACAACCCCCAAACCCAAACAACACAACCCCAAACCACCCCCACACCCCCCCCAACCCCCCACCACCAACCCCCCCCCCCCCCCACCCCCACCCACCAACACCCCACCCACCCCCCCCCCCCACCCACCAACCCCACCACACACACAACCCCCACACCCCAACAAACCACACCAACCCCCCCCCACAACACCCCCCCCCCCCCCACACCCAACACCCCCACACCCCCACCCACCCCACACAAACACCACAACACCACCACCCACCCCCCCCCCCCCCCCCCCCCACACCCACCCCCCCCACACAACCCCCCCCCCCCCACCCCCCCCCCCCCCCCAACCAACACCACACACAACACCCCCCCCCCAAAACCCCCCCACCCCCACCAACCACACCCCAAACCCCCACCCCCACCCCCCCCCCCCCCCACACCAAACCCCACAACACCCACACAAAACAACACAAAACACCCCACAAAAACACCCCACCAAACCCCCCCACCACACCACCACCCACAAACACAACACCCCCCCCACCCCCCACCACCCCCCACACACCCCACACCACACCCCCCCCACCCCCCACCACACAACCACCCAAACAACCCCACAACCACACCCCCCAACAACCCCCCCCCACACAACCCACACAAACAACACAAAACCCCAACACCCCCACACACCCAACCACCAAAACCCACCCCACCCCCCCCCCCTCCCCCCCCCACCCCCCCCATCCCACCCCACCCACAAACCCCCCCAACACCCCCCCCACCCCCCCCCACCCCACCAACCCCCACCCCCCCCCACCCAACCACCACCCCAACCCCCACCACCAACCCCCCCAAACCACCAAACACCCCACCCACCCACACACCCACACCCCCCCACCCCCCCACCCCACACCCACACCCCCCCAACCCCCCCCCAAAAACCCTCACCCACCCCAACCACACCAACCCACACAACACAAAACCCCCCCACCACACAAACCCCCAAACACCCACCCAAAAAACAAAATAAACCACAACAAAACCCCCAAAAAACACCCAGAAACCATCCCCCAACCCAAATACACCACCCCAACAACCCCACCACACACCAACACCACACCCACCAACCACCCCCACACCCCCCACAACCCCCCCCCCCCACACCCCACCCCCCCCCCCCACCACCCCCCCCCCACCCCCCCCCCCCCACCAACCCCCCCCCCCCCCCACCCCCCACAACCCCACCCCAACCCACCCCCCAACACACCCCACACACACCACACCAAAAAACCCCCCCACCAACAACCACACACCCACCCCACACACCCCACCCCACACACCCCACCCCACCAACACCCCACCCCCCACCCCCACCCCAACACACCCACCCACACACCCCACCCACAACCCCACCCACACACCCCACCCCACACACCCACCCACACACCCACCCACCCACACCCCACCCCCACACCCCCACCCCACACACCACACCCCACACACCCCACCCACACACCCCACCCCCAACAACCCACCCCCCACACACCCCACCCCCACCACCCCACCCCCACAACCCCACCCCACACACCCCAACCCCACACACCCCCACCCACACACCCACCCCCACAACCCACCCCACACACCCACCCCCAACACACCCCACCCACACACCCCACCCCAACACCCCACCCACACACCCCACCACACACCCACCACCAACCCACCCACACACCCCACCCCACACCACCCACCCCACACACCCCAACCCCCACACACCACCCCACAACCCACCCACACACCCCACCCACACACCCACCCACAACCCCCACCCCCACACACCCCACCCCACACACCCACCCCACAACCCACCCCCACAACCCCACCCCACAACCCCCACCCACACACCCCACCCACACACCCACCCCCACACCCACCCCCACACACCCACCCCACACACCCACCCCCAACCCCACCCCCACACACCCCACCCCAAACACCCCACCCCCACAACCCACCCCCACAACCCACCCAACACACCCACCCCCCCCACCCCCCACACACCCCACCCCCACACACCCACCCACACACCCCACCCCCACACACCCACCCCCACACACCCCACACCACACACCCCCACCACCACACCCCCACACACACACCCCACCCCACACACCCAACCCACACACCCCACCCCCCACACAACCCCACCCCAAACCCCACCCCACACACCCACCCCCACCACACCCCAACCCAAACACCACCCCCACACACCCCCACCCACAACACCACACCCCCACACACCCCACCCCCCACACCCCACCCCCACCACACCCCCACCCACAAACCCCACCACACACACACCCCACCCACACACCCACCCCACCAAAACACCCACCCCCCACACACCCCCACCCACACACCCCACCACCACACCCCACCCCCCACAACCCCACCCAAACACCCCACCACCACAACACACCCAAACAAAACAACACCCTCACACAACAACCCCCCACAAACCACAACAACCACAAACCCACCCCCCCCACCCCCCACAACCCCCACCCCCCCACACACCCCACACCCCACCAACCCACCACCCCCACACACCCACAACCCAACACCAACACCCCCACACACCCACCCCACACACCCACCCCCACACACCCACCACCCCCACACACCCCAACACCCAAAACAACCAAACACACACACACCACACACCCACACAAAACAAACCCCAAAAAAACCCCACAAACCACCACAACAACCCACCACCCACCCCAAAACCCAACCCACAAACAACCCACTCCACCCCCCCACAAAAACCCCTTAAAACACCCCCACCCACCACCCAACCCCACCCCACACCCACACATACCCCCCACAACTCCCCCAACACCAATCTCCCATACAAACCAACCATCCCACCCCATCCTACCCCCCCCATAAACCCATACTATCAATCCTTACCCACACCACATCCACTCAAAAACATTACCCAACAACCCCACACCCCCCCACACACCACACCCCCCCCCCCACACCACAAACCCCTCCACCACCCAAAACAACACACACAACCCCAACCACACCACCCCACCACAAACCAACCCCCCATCAAAACCAACCCCAACCCAACACACACAACAAAACACACCCACACACCCACCACCCACACAACCCCACCCAACCAAAACCAAACACACACCACAACCCCACACACCCCAACACCCACCCCAACCACCCCCCAACCCAAACAAAACAACCCCCCAACCCACACACCCCACCCCCACCCCCCCACCCTCCCAACACACAACAAAAACAACACAACAACCCCCAACCCCCCCCCCCCACACCCCCCCCACCCCCAACCACCCCCAACAAACCCACAAACCCCCCCCCCCCCCCCACCCCACAAACACCCCCTCACCCCCCCACACCCACCACCACACCCAAAACCCAACCCACCCAACCCCACCCACCACCCCCCCCCCACCAACCCACACCCACACACCCCAAAACCCCACACCCCACACAACACCAAAACCCCAACACCCCCCCCCCCCACCCACCCAAACCCCAACCCCCCCACCCCCACACACCCCCCCCCCCCCAACACCCCCCCCCACACCAACCCCACACAACCCACAACCCCCCACAAACCACACACACACAACACAAAACCCAACCCCCCCCACACCCCCCCCCCCCACACACACACACAACCCCACACCCCAAACCAAAAAACCCCAACCACCCACCACCAACACACCCAAAACACCCACCCAACACCCCAACCAAAACACAAACCACCACAACCACCCCCCACCACCAAACAAACCACACCAACACCCCCCACCCCAACACCACACCCCCACACAAACACCCCCCCCCCCAACCCACCCCCCCCAACCCCAACCCCCCAAACAACCCAAACAAAACAAAACCCCCACACCCAAACAACACCACCACCCCACCACCCAAACCCCCATAACCACCACCAACCAACCAACCACAACACCACCCCCCCCCTCCCCCAACCACCACCCCACACACCACAAAAAACCAACCAAAACCTCAACCACACCACAAAAAAAACCCAAACCCACAACACCCAAACCCAACCACCAAAACACCAACCCAAAACACCAAACCCCCACCACCCCCCCACACCCCCCACCCCCCCCCACCCCAACCCCCCAAACACAACCACACACAAACACCCAAAAAACCCAACCAACCAACCCACACCCACAACAACCCCCAACCCTAAACAAAATCAAACCAAAATACAAAACAAAACACCCCACAAAACAAACCAACCCACAAACCAAACCCCCACCCACTCCCCATTTACAAAATTTTCCCAAACATCAAAAAAACACAAAAAAACCTAATCCACTATCTACACACACCCCCCTAACTATCCACACCCCAACTCAAAAACACATAAACCCTACCCACATCCCCACCCCCCCACTAAAACCCCACCATCCCCACCCCCAACTCCTCCCCTCCCCCCATTAACTCTTACTAACATCCAAACAAACCTAACTTATATCTTCTCCCCCCCCCATCACATCTTCCCCATAACTCCCCCCTCTTCTTAAAAACCTTCTACTCACCTAAAAACACACACATACTCAAAAACCAACAAAAAACCCCATCACACCCAACCCTCTCACCTCTCAATCTTCAACATACCCAACACCCCAACTTCATTACCCCCCACCACCACCCACCAACAACACACTACCCCAAACAATCCCTAACACCACCCCCCCAAAACAAAAAACCAACCAAAACCCCACACCACACAAAACCAACCCACCAAATATTATAAATCTACCCCCCACACACCCCCTACACCCAACACCCCACCCCCCCCACAACCACACACCCACAAACTCCAATACACACAAAATTATTAAACTACCCCCTATTTAAACCTAATACTCCCCACTCCCCATCCTCCCCCAATTTAACTATCCAACTACCTAATTAATTTCATCCCCTCAACACCTAAACCACCCCCCCCAACCCACCAAACACATACCATACCCCCCCCCAACAAAACACCTCCCACCACCAAAAACCCCAACCCCATCCTCCCCATCCATACCCCATAACCCATCCCCATTTACACCTAAAAACCCCTATACCCCCAACAACAAATAACTACCCCCCCATCCCAATAACCAAACCCATTAACACCACATCCACTACCCAATAACCCCTTACCCACCCCCCCCCAAACCCACCACAACAACCCCCACAACCAACAAACAACCCACAAAAAAACCCTAAACACCAACACAACCAACCCACCCCACCCCACACCCCACCCCCACACCCCCCCCCACCCCCCACACCCCACACCCCCAACCCACCAAACCATCCCCCACACCCCAACCCAACCACAATCCCCCCACCCAACCACCCCAAACCCCCACCAACACACCCCCAACCCAACACCACCCCCACCCAACACCAACCAACAACAATACCACCCACCCCCCCCACAACACCCCCCCCACCCCCACCCCCCCCACCCCCCACTCACACCCCCACAAACCCACCCACAACACACACCACCCAACCCCCCCCCCCCCCACCAACTCACCCACCACCAAAAAACCAACTAATAAACCCCACCATCCAACCAATCCAACCCCCCCAGAAACACCTCACCCAACCACAAAAACACAAACACCCCACAACAACACACCAACTAACAACACACCCCCCCCCCCACCCCACCCACCCCCCACCCACCCCTCCCTACAACCCACAACCCCCCCCACCCCCCCACAACCCCAAAACACCACCAAAACCACACACACCCCCCCCCTCCCCACAACCCCACACACCCCCCCCAACATACCCCATAACCAACCCACCCCCTCCACTACACAAACAATCCCCACCAAAAAATATCCCCAAAATCTACCCATCCAAAAAACAACAACCCACCCAACCACCCACACCTTTAATAACCACAAAACCCCACATAAACACCACAACAAAACATAAAAAAAAAACCAACACACCACCAAAACCAACCACCAAAACACCCCACAACAACACCACACAACCCAACAACAACACACAACCCACCCAACACTCTCCACTCAAACCCAAATACACTCACTCAACCCCCATATAACACACACTCAACCCCAAATACACACACAACAACCCAACCACAACACAAACATACACCACACCACACATACCCAACACTACACACAACATACCCCAAATAACTACTCACTCAACCCCCAACACACCTCATCCCACTATCCCAACACCACACCCAAACCCCCAACAACACAACACCAACCCATACCACACACACAACCCAAAACCACACACACACCCATAAACACACCACACAACACAACCAACACACCAAACCCAAACCACACCAAAACCAACACACCACACCCACAACCCAAAAACTCAAACACAAACCCAACAACACACCACAACCCCACCACCACACCCACAACCCCCAAAAACAAAACAAACCCCAACCACACCCACAACCCACAACACTCCACAACCCCCAAAAACACAAACACCACCCCAACACACACCAATCCCAACTCCACAAACACAACCACACCACACCCACCACCCACACCACACCACTACCCCCACAAACCACACCCACAACCCAACACCAACCACAACCCCAAAACCACACCCAAAACCCAACAACACCCACACCCACAAAAACCCCAACACCACACACACAACCCCACAAAACCACACCCAACAACCTAAAACACACCACACCCAAACACCAAACACACAAACCCAACAACACAACCCAAACCCAAAACACAACCCATACCAAAACCAACCCACACCCAAACACACACCCACAACCCAAAACCACACCCACAACCACACCACACCCACAACCCAACACACAACCACAACCAAAACCACAACCAAAAACCCAACACCACAACACAACCCAACACCACAACACACAACAACACCACTACCAAACCCAACACCACACCCACAACCAACACAACACCACAAACCACCCACACCACACCAAACCACAACCAAACACAACCACCAACCCCACACAAACAACCCACACCACAACCAAAACCACAACCACAACCCCAACACCAACCCAACAACCCAACACACAACCACAACCAACACCAACCCACAACCCCAACACACCCCACTACCCCAACAACACACACACAACCCAACACCACAACCACAACCCCCAACACACACCCACACACACAACACCAACAACCACAACCAAACACCACACCACAACCCAACACCAACCCACAACCCAACCACCACACCCACAACCCAAAACACAACGCCCACAAACAACACACAACCACAACCCAAACCACACCCAAACCAACACCACAACCACAAAACACAAACACCACAACCACAACCAACCACCACACCACAACCCCTACACCACACCACAACCCAACACCACAACACAACCAAAAAAACCAACAACCAAAACCACAAACACAACCAACACCACAACCACAACCCAACAACACAACCAAAACCAACACACACCCACAAAACCCCAAACACACACAACCCAACAACCACAACCCCACAACCAACCCACCACACCCACAACACAACAACCACACCCACAACCAACACCAAACCCACAACCCCAACACACACCCACAACCCAACAAACCACAAAAAACACCAACACACCACAACCAAACCAACAACCAACCAAACCCCAAAAACACAACACAACCAACACACACCCACAACCCAAAACCAACACCCACAACCCCAAAACCACAAAACCCACAACCCAACACAACACCCACACCCAAAACCCACAACCACAACCCACCACCACACCACAACCCAACCACCACACCCACACCCAACAACAAACCAACCAACACCACACCCCACAACCCACACCACACCCACAACCCAAAACAACCCACAACCCAACAACACACCTCAACCCAACACCACACCCACAACCAACACCACACCCACAACCCCAACACCACACCCAAAACCAACACCAACACCACAACCTCAACACCCACCACCCCACAACACAACAAAACCACACCCCCCACCCACACCCCCCACCACACCCCACCCCCAAAACACAAACCCCACCCCACCAACCCCCCACCCCACCCCCACCCACACCCCCCAACCACCACCCCCCACAACCTCCACCCCCCCACCACCCCCCCCAAAACCACAACAACCCAACCAAACAACCAAACCAAAACACACACCCACAAACCCACCCACACAACCACCACACCCACCACACCCACCACCCCCCCCCACACACACACCCCCCACAACCACCCCCCCCCCCCCCCCCCACCCCCCCCCCACAACAAAACCCCAAACCCCACCCACCCCACCCCCCCCCCCACCCCCACCCCCACCCCACCACCCCCCCAACCCCCCCCCCCACCCCAACAAATATACCCAACCCAACCACACCACAACAACCACACCAACCCCCCCCCACCCCCCCCCCCCCCACACCCCAAACAACCACACCCCCACACCCAACCCCCAACCCCCCCCCCCCCACCCAACCACCCACAAACCCACCCCCCCACCCACCCCCACCCCCCCCCCCACCCACAAAACACCCCCCCACCCCCACCCCACCCCCAAACCCCCCCCCCCCCCCCACCCCCCCACCCCCCCCCACAACCCACCACACACAACCCACCCCAAACCCCCCACCCCCCACCCCCCCCCCCCCACACCCCCCCCCCCCCCCCCCCCCCACCCCCACCACCAACACCCCACCACCCCCCCCCCCCACCCCCCACCAACCACACCACACCACCACCCCCACACCCCACCAACACACCCCCCCCCCCCCACAAACACCCCCCCCCCCCCCCCACACACCCACCCAACACCCCACCCACACAAAACCACAACACCCCCACCCACCCCCCCCCCCCCCCCCACCCCACCCCCCCACCCCCCCCCACCCCCCCACCCCCCACCCCCCCCCCCCCCCCCACCACCAACACCACAACAACCCCCCCCCAAACCCCCCCCCCCCACCACCCCAACCCCCCACCCCACCCCCCCACCCCCCCCCCAACCAACCCCCACAAAACCACACAAACAACACCAAACACCCACCACCACCCACAACCCCCCCCCACCCACCACCCACCCACACAACACCAACACCCCCCCCCCCACACCCCCCCACACCCACCCCAACCCCCCACCCCCCACCACCCAAACCCACCCCACACCACCCACAACCCACCACCCACCCACCCCCCCACACCAACCAAACACACAAAAACCCAAACACCCCCCACAACCAACCCCCCCAACACCCACCCCCACCCCCACCCCACCCCCCCCACCCCCCACACCACCACAAACCCCCCCAAACCCCCCCCCCCCACACACCCACCCCCACCCAACCACCCCAACCCCCCCACCCCCCCCCCCCCACCACACACCCACCCCACACACACCCCCACCCCCCCCCACCCCCACCCCCACCCCAACCCCACCCCCCCCCACAACACACACCCAACCCCACCCACCCACACCCCCACCCCCCACCACACAAACCAAACCCCCCAAACCCAACAACAACCACACACCCCCCCCACCCCACCCCACCACCACAACCCCCACCCACAACCCACCAACACCAACACCCCACACCAACCACACCCCAACCCAAACCCCCCCCCACCACCCACCCCCCCCCCCACCACCCCCCCCCCACCCCCCCCCCCCCAACACCCCCCCCCCCCCCCCCCCACCCCCACAACCCCCCCCACACCAACCCCCCAACACACCCACACACACCACACCACAAAAAACCCCCCCCCACACACACACCACACACCCCCACCCACACACCCCACCCCCACAACCCCCCCCACCACACCCACCCACCCACCCCACCCCCACACACCCCACCCACACACCCACCCCACAACCCCACCCACACACCCACCCCACACACCCCACCCCTCACACACCCAACCCCACAACACCCACCCCCACCACACCCCACCCCCACACACCCCACCCCCACACACCACCCCACAACCCACCCCACAACCCCACCCCCACACCCACCCCCACACACCCCACCCCCCCCACAACCCCACCCACACACCCCACCCCACCCACACCCACCCCCACACACCCCACCCACAACCCACCCCCCACACACCCCACCCACACACCCCACCCCCCCCCCCCCCCCCCCCCCCCCCCCCCCCCCCCCCCCCCCCCCCCCCCCCCCCCCCCCCCCCCCCCCCCCCCCCCCCCCCCCCCCCCCCCCCCCCCCCCCCCCCCCCCCCCCCCCCCCCCCCCCCCCCCCCCCCCCCCCCCCCCCCCCCCCCCCCCCCCCCCCCCCCCCCCCCCCCCCCCCCCCCCCCCCCCCCCCCCCCCCCCCCCCCCCCCCCCCACACACCCACCACCCCCACACACCCCACCCAACACCCCACCCACACACCCCACCCCACACACCCCACCCCCACACACCCACCCCACACACCCACCCCCAACACCCCACCACCAAAACACCCCACCCCACCAACCCACCCCAACACACCCCCACCCCCACACAACCCACCACAACCCCACCCCCAAAACACCCCACCCACACACCCCACCACACACCCCACCCCACAACCCCACCCAACAACCCCAACCCCCAACACCCCACCCCAACCACACCCCCCACCCCACACACCCCACCCCCCAACACCCCACCCCACACACCCCACCCCACACACCCACCCCACACACCCCACCCCCACACACCCCACCCCACAACCCACCCCCACAACCCACCCACACACCCCACCCCCCCCACCCCACACCCCACCCCCACACACCCACCCCACCCCCACCCCAAACAACCCACCCCACACACCCACCCACACACCCCACCCCAACACCCCACCCCACAACCCCACCCCACACACCCACCCACAACACCCACCCCCACACACCCCCCCCACACACCCCCCCCACACACCCACCCCCACAACCCCACCACCCCACACACCCCACCCCACACACCCACCCACACACCCACCCACACACCCCACCCCACACACCACCCCACACTCCCACCCCACCACCCACCCCCACACACCCCACCCCACACACCCCACCACACACCCCACCCCCACACACCCCCACCCCACACACCCCCACCCCCACCCACACCCCAAACCCCAACACCCCAACCCACCACACCCCCCACCCCACACACCCCCCCCACACACCCAACCCACACAACCCACCCACACACACCCACCCCCACAACCCCACCCCCACAACCCCAACCCCACACACCCCACCCCACACACCCCACCCCACACACCCCACCCCCCACCACACCCCCACCCCCAACACCCCACCCCCACACCCCCACCACCACACACCCACCCCACACACCCACCCCCACCCACACCCCACCCCCACAACCCCAACCCCACACACCACCCCCAACACCCACACCCCACACACCCCACCCCACCACACCCCACCCCCCACAAACCCCACACCCCCAACACCCCCAACCACAACCCCCCCCCCACCCCCCCCCACCCCACCCCACCCCCCCCACCACCCCCCCCCCACCCCCCCCCCCCCCACCCACCCCACCCACAACCCCCCCCCCCACCCACCCCAACCCCCAAACAACCAAACCCCAACCCCCACCCCAACACCACCACACCCAACCCCCCAAACCCCAAACCACCCCCACCCCCCCCCCCCCCCCCCACCCACCCCCCACCACCACCCCCCCCCACCCCCAAACACCCCCACACACCCCAACAACCCCACCCCACCCCACACCACACCCCCTACAAACACCCCACCCCACCCCCACAACCACCAACCACCACCCCCCCACCCCCCACACACACCCCCACCCACCACACCAAAACACACCACACCCCACCACCCCAAACACCACCCCCCCCACCCCCCCCCCCACACCAACCAAAAACACCCCAACCCCCCAACCCACACACCCACCCCCCACCCCACCCACCTCCCACACAACACCACAAACACCCCCCCCCACCCCCCCCCCCCACCCCCCCCCCACCCCCCCCCCCCCCACACACCCCCAACCACCCCCCCCCCCCACCACACACCCCCCCCAACCCCCCCCACACCCACCACCACCCCACCAACCCCCACCCCACCACCCCACCACCACCCCCCCCCACCAACCAAACCCACACAACCAAAACCCCAACCCCCACAAACACCAAAAAACCCCCCAACACCCCCCCCACACAAAACCCAACCCCCCACCCCACCACACCCCCCCCCCCAACACCCCCCCCCCACCCCACACCACACACACCACAACCCCCCAACACACACACAACAACAACACCACCCACCCCCCCCCCCCACCCCCCCCCCCAACACACACCAACCACACCCCAAACCACAAACCCCCAACCACCCACCACCCAACCCACCCCAAAACCCACCAACACCCCCCCACCAAACACCACAAACACCACCACACCCAACCCCCACCCACCAACAAACCCAACCCCACACACCCACACCCAAACACACCCACCCCCCACCCAAACCACCCCCCCCCCACCCCACCCCCCCCCAACCCAAAACCCCCCCACAACAACCAAAAAACAACACCACACCCACAAAACACCACCACACCACCACCCAAACCCCAAAACCACCACCAACAACAAACCACCAACACCAACCCCCACACACCAACACCACCACAAAACCCACAAAAAACCACCCCACCAACAACACCACACATCACCCCTAAAAATAATACAACAAACACACCACCCCACCCCACCAACACCCCCAACCACCCACACCAACCCCCACCACCCCCCACACACCCCCCACACCCCCCCCCACACCCCCCTAACCCCCCCATTCAATCCACCTCCATAAAAACCCCCACAAAAAAACCACCCCTACAAACCATCCCACTCTCATCTACTCCACCCCTACTCCCAACCCACCCACACCCCCAAAAACAACAACCAACCACCCCCCAACCCAACCAAACCACCACAAAACCCACCCCACCCAAAACCAAAAAAAACCCCCACAAACCCCCCCCCACCCCCCAACAACCACAACACACACACACCCCCCCCAAACAACCCACCCCCCACCCCCTAACACACAAACCCACCCACAAAACCCCAACCCCCCCCCCCAACCCCCCCCCCCCACACCACCCCCACAACACAAGCACCTCCATCCTCTACCAACCATTCACACACATACACCAGACTCATACTAGGCAATGTGGGTGAAGTATCATCCCACCAAACAACAAAAAAACAAACCACAACCCACCCCAACCACCACCCCCACAACCACACAACCCAACACAACCCACCAACAATAAAAAACAACACCCCCTAATAAAAATCATATTTAAGATAAGGCAACAGTAGCTCAGTTGCTAGAGCACTGGCCTTTGAGCCAGAGGGTCATGGGTTCGAGCCCGACTTTCACCATCGACTCCCACTGTCTGCTGTTGTTGTGTCCTTGGCAAGACACTTAACCTCTGGGAACACCAGGTGCCACAGGGGGGCGGCTGCGGCTGTAAAGTGCCAAACTGCTGTTGTGTCCTTAGGCAAGACACTTTACCCACAATGCCTATAGGCAAAAACGGCTGAGTAAAATTTCCAGAGTCATTATTTTTTTCCTCCAATTGAGTTCTTTTTAAACATTTTAGAGTAAAATAACCTCTAGCGGCCTCTAGAGTGCGAGTGATTTTTCAGAGATGATCAGAATCTCCTCGATTGGAGTAAATGAGGCCCCGCCCTATGTCCCGCCCCCAAAACTCAGGTCTTGAGCTTCTGAACCGCCGCCATGACAGTTTCTCGCTGGACACTAGCAGACGGAGTGTGGAAACCATGGATGTACTCATTTCTTTCTACGTCATGGATAGTCAAAAGGATACAAGGTGAGTCTAAATGCGTATTTAAAGTTTGTCACTTTTTTCAGTTTCATTTAGTCCATGCTGTTATCGCGGTGTACATTTGGAACACTGTTGTGTCTTGTGAAAGCTGCTAGCTTAGTGCTGTTACAAGTTACAAATACTGATATAAGTGTTACATCTTCTGACATACATTTGGTTGGAGTTGTACAGAGTTTATTAGTAATGGATTAATATACATTCAAAATGTAGAATTTGTTAAACTTATGTTAATTAGTTAATCAAATTTTGCGTTGCACTGTTACAACAGTGACCACATGTGTGTACTAAAATTGTTTTATATGTCTCCCCAGATGAATGCTGAAGTGATGTGCAGCGATCCGCATCTTTGTTTTGCGTCATCCCTCAAATGTAGTAAGTGGGAAATATGTAATTATCTTTAGCTTCAGGGGCATTATAAAGTAAATTGCTTTGATACAATTACATTGGACTCCACTCTGAAATGCCTTGATACCTTTTAAACAATCTTGTCGTCAGCATAACTAACATTTGTTTTTGCAGTTGCAAAATAAATGGATATTCTAACTTTCAAAGTCTATGATGAGACGAAGACTGAGGTTGATTAAGTATTTTAATTTCTCCTCAAGAAGGAGCGTTTGGGTGTGCTAGATGTTTGTTCACCAAAGGGTGTGTGTTTTTTAAATGAATTTTAATGCTGTATTTTCATATATTAAGGTTTTTATTTTGACAACTATGACTTTATGTTGCAGATGGGTTGAGCTCCCCAATTAACAGCTTCTTTACAAGCTACAGTGGAGATACCGAGGTTGACTCTGATGACACGATCATAACAGTTTAGTCCTGCTTCAGTCAATAGAACTGAGGAGGCTCGTCTCTCACATGTGAGTTTGATGGTTATATGTATGCACTACACTATGTATCTGATTAAGTTATTTTATCATACCATTGTAAACACTTTGTTTTATGTTTCCAGATTGAGAGCATCCCAAAGAACAAACCAGGACGAGATGGAATCTTAAGTGATTAGGCTCAAAAGCCTTACAGACAGCAGGAGACGTGATATGGTCAACATTTTGGTTGTGTATATGACAAATGAACATGGTAAAACATTGCTAATTTTGAAAGTTTCACTGTTTCATAACTAAAATATAACCTATTATTTTAAAGAAGTCCTTCAAGGCGTGTAAAAGACGAATATGCCAGAGGAATTATTTCCTTGTTATCGCTGTTTGGCAGATCCAAAGAGCTAACTTGGTATGATACTTAACTCCTCTTAAGATTTGTATCCGAGTCATTCACAGGGATGTTGTCAAACTATGTTTTTATTTCAGGAGCACTATTACCGTTTTTTTCTGGCTGTGTCCTATGGTCCCAAAAGGACACCATTACCAAAAGGTTAGTTAAAGACTGTTGAGTTATTCTGTTGGAAAAGGTCAATTATTTTTATGTTTATTTGTCTATAGGTAGTCCGCACGCTAACTGAGATACCTTCAAGAGGAAGATTGATCTGTGCTGGCAGAAAGTCAATTCTGTGAAGCAATTGCTCTCATGAAGCACACAATAGATGAAGCCATAGTCAAAGAGAAGATGAAGCAGACATGTCACTATTGTCAAAATATGGTCCTGAAAAATCTCTCAGCCTTCACAATGTTTCCAAGATTTCTGGATATATCAGGACTGGTAAGTCACCTTAAATATTGATATTGTTAATTTAATATCAACATTTCATTATGTCTTTTGTTATAAAACAGATCGAGCAGGACTTCAGACTTACAGTATGCTTGATGATGCTACTTCAACATAATTAGCCAATTGTCTGCAATCAAGAATTAATGAGTCCACCTCTAAAGTTGAAGGTGAGTTTTTTTATATTGGTGAAAATGGATAGTGTCACAAACACAGTAGATGACTTCCATTTGATCTTTGTCAGGCTGGGGCAATGGCATGTCATCTTCTTCTACTTCACCAGACATGTCTGTGACCATCTCACTGTTTCTCAAGGTAAGGTCACCTCGCTTTTTCTAACTTTTTGGAAGGGCTTCATTATTAACGTATGCTTGTTAATTTTCTAGACTGGGACCAGCATTCAAGATCATCTGCACGGAATCACAGAAAGGCATCAACCCTAATATTTGGATTTCTGTGGAGCTTAATAATGAATTGTGCAATTTCTAAAATGGACTCCCTGTGGAGAAACTACCACTCAAAATGGAGTTCTTTTTAGGGAGTAAATTACCATGGAGTAAATGTATAGTTCAAGTAAGAGTAAAAATAGAGTGAGTGTGAATTGAAATTTTCTCTATACAGAGTGAAATGTACTATTAAACAATTACTCAGAATTGAGGAATGTTAACTCTTTTTAGGGAGTAAAATACCATGGAGCAAATTTATAGTTCCTCTCGTAAGAGTAAAACTAGAGTAAGAGTCAACTGAAATTTTCTCTGCAGAGAGTGAATTTTACTATTAAAGAGTAGAATTTTTACTCTAAATTGAAGAGAAATTACTCCGTTTAAACGACTATCAAAAGAGTTAATTTGACTCTTTTTAGAGAGGAACCAAATGTTATCAAAAATAGTAAAATTTTCCTCAATTTGAGTAAATTTTACTCTAGCGTATTTACTTAGTGTAAGCTTACATTACAATGGCTGCTGCACGCGATCTGATGTGATTCATTGACTGATGGAGAACACAATCGACCCAACTTGTTTTTCAAATTGCTACAGCAAGCTAAATATGTTGTGGATTTGTTTTGTGATCACATGTGTATGTGATCAAAGAGAGGAATCTGTGAATATCTAAATATTATTGCTTGCTTATTAATATAGACACTGTTTCATGGAGTTTCAAATATACTAACACCTGTACTTTAAAACTGCTTACAGAGGCATCAAGTGCAGTACATAGATATACTCTCTCATACATTGGACTTTGGTCTGGCACAAACATACGGCTTTTTTGCATTCTAGGCCTACGTGTTCATTACATTGAAGCCATACGGTTCATTCTGTTGTGTCATGTTTCCAAAGTCTGTGTTTACGTCATCTTTTAAGGCCTATATAAGCGCCATCCTTCTCTGTGACAGACTTTGGCAGAGTTGCAGAGACTCAAGCAGAGTTGCTACACTTCTGCAGGAGCATCCATGGACCAGACTTTGGAGTTGTCTGGTACCTTTCTTAAAACTCCTAATAAATGCCAATTGAACAATGCAACCTTCTGATGTCTCATGTCTAAGCTTAAAATTAATTCACAGCTGCCACTGCTGCAGATTGCTTCACACAAACACAGTCTGCGAATACAGGCAAATATAAGTAATCATTATTTATATACCGCCTTTTCACTGCACATCGGAGTCTCAAAGCGGTTTACAATTGTTATTTTTTGTTTGTTTATTTATTTGTTTGAGCAGTTAACCTGCTCAAAGGGAGTGGGCTGAAGCCAAAGGCTTATAAGCGCCCACCCCAAAATAAAAATAATAACATTACATTTAATATTTACAAGGTAGCAAATCATAAACAAAAGGAACATAGGGCAAAGTAACAATAAATGATGAACCAGAACAAAATAAAAACAGCAAAAATAAAGAACAAAAGAATCTGCTACTTTTATGTTATAAAGGTACAATAATACATATACTCTGAGATCTTGCTACTTCCCAGTTGTCATTACCATCCTTAATATAATTTAATTTGGGTTTAATTATCATTATTATTATATTTGTTTAATTGAGTTATATGTGAAGTATGATGTAAGCCCTGCATAGTGTGGTGCATTAAAAAGCCAGGTGTAGAACGGGCCAGTTGAAGAGGGCAGTAACTCCCCCTCAACAAACCCCCACCCAGCTGCCCTAACTGCTGATTTTGTAGATGATGTTCCTATGCTGAGTGGTGCATTAAAAGACAAGGTTTGTAGCCCGTTGGGAGGGTCCCTCTCAACAGATTCATAACTTGCCTACCCTAATTCTCAATTTGTAAATTTATGCAATAGAATGACAACCGTTCCAAGCAGCAACACTCTTCCTTGATTATAGAGGAAACACACATAATTGATCCTACTGCGCCTCTAGTGGCAACACATTTCTTGTTCTCTGTATATTTCAAAAGTCTTTTGTTTGTATTTATATTTGAACAGGTTGATATTTGGACTTTGTTTCAACTCCATTTCCAGTTTATTCCACAATTGTACACCATTAACTGTTGGGCTAAAACTTTTCAAAGTTGAGCTATGTTTCTGAGTCCTAAAGTTTAATTCGTCACGTAATTCATAACAACCAGTACGTTCTTGGAACCTTCTTTGTATTTGGCCCGGTAACAGATTGTACCTTGCTTTGTATAACATCTGTACAGTTTGGAACTCAACAATGTCACAAAACTTCATGATCTTTGATTTTAAAAATAATGAGTTTGTGTGGTCCAAAAACCCAACTTTATGAATTACTCGGATAGCTCTTTTTTGCAACAATACTATTGGTTTTAATGTGTTTTTATAAGTACTACCCCAAACCACAGTACAATAATATAAATATGGCGAAATCAGAGAACAGTATAAGGTATGTAGAGCTTTGATGTATAAAATGTGCTTTGCTTTTGCCATTACTGAAATGCTTCTAGAAATTTTTGTAGATATATATTTAATGTGGGATTTCCAAGTAATTCGGTCATCTATAATAACACCAAGGAATTTGATTTCATGCACTCGCTCTATGACAACACCCTCTATCTGAATTGCTTCCTGAGCATTGGAATTACGGTAGCCAAATATCATTTTACTTTTACTCAGATTTAGAGATAATTTATTTTGTTTAAACCACTTATTGACACTTTTGAGTTCCAAGTTAACAATCCGACACAGTTGCTGTAAGTCGTCACCTGATGCAAAAATATTTGTATCGTCTGCAAACAAGATAAATTTAAGTACTTGAGACGTTTTAGAAATCTCGTTAATGTACATATTCAACAATTTTGGGCCCAGGAACCTTGAGGTAAACCACACACAATTTGTCGACAACTCGACTGATAATCACCTATTTTCACACATTGTTTTCTATTTTTTAAATAACTGGTAACCCACTGTAGAGCTACCCCCCTAATCCCATAATGTTCTAGTTTATTAATTAGTATATCATAGTTTATCGTATCAAACGCTTTACTCAGGTCAATAAATAACCCTATTGCATATTTCTTGTTATCTACAGCATTAGTTATTTCTTCAATTATATCAAAGAGCGCGTGTGAGGTTGAGTGATTATTCCTAAAACCAAACTGATTGTCCGAGAGTAAATTACATCTTTCAATAAAGCTGTCAAGTCTAGAGTTATAAACCTTCTCTAAGATTTTTGAGAATTGCGGTAAAAGGGAAACAGGCCTATAGTTTGTGAAGAGATGTTTATTTCCTGCCTTGAACAGAGGAATCACTTAAGCTACTTTCATACTTTCAGGAAATTGTCCAGTTTGCAGCGACAGGTTACAGATGTATGTTAACGGCTTAGAGATACTTCCAATAACAGTTTTTAAAGTTTTCATATCCATGTCATGTCATGCATATTCTCCAGAAATAGTGAGCACTTACATAGAAAGACTGCACTTAAGGTACACACATAACAAACTTGTCAAAAAGCCCTCACTAAAGTAAACTCCACACGAGGCAAAGCGCATTTACACCATAAACTGTATATATTAACGGACAGAGTCACGCCTATCTCCGCCGTTCAAAGGAGTGGGCCAAAAAATGTGCTCTCATGGAGCAATCCAAGATGGCCGCGAGTAGTCCCGCCCACAAGAACACTGAAAAAAACGCTTTCTGGGCGGAGACCAGGCGGAGACTCGGAGCGTACCGACTGATTTGCGCATGCGTCAGCTGGCGTACAACGGGCAGTGATCAGGCGGCCTTATTGGGCCCAAGCCCCGAACGGGGTAAGGGCCTATTGCTTTCACAATGGTGAAAACAAATGGTGGCGGTGCGTGACATAATCAAAATATTATTATGGCCCCGCCCTCTGACAAACAGGAAGCCCATAAATTTCACTGCAAAATGGAAAAATGAACAGCAAAAGTTTTTTATACATGTCGGTTGGAAAGCGACTCCTCCTCGGCCGTTTCACAGATTCGCCTCAAAATCGCTCCACATCATCTCAACACATCTACCTTCAAAACGACCTCAGGGATTTTTGATCAGTGAAACATTGTTTGAGCAGCAGAGCGGCAAAATGTGACCTTTTTTTGGCCGTTTTTGACATTAATTTTGCGCCCGTTTGCACAAAGTCTGATTTGCACAAAACTTGAATCCAATGTTCAACTCCAGGGTTTAGGTCATGTGAAAGTGAAATATTTGAAATTGGCCCATTAGTGCCCCCTACAGACTGAGTCAAAGTTTACATGTGGAGCCAAACCAGCTCTACTTATCATATTCATTACAATTTGACTAACGTTCTTCTATGGCAACAGCAACAAATCATCACACGGCGGCCCCACCTCCTTTGCGCGGTGCTGCGTGGTACGGTGTGGTGCGGCGTAGTGCGGGGGGTTGTGGAGCGGCGCGTTGCGGCTTGGTGCGGGGCGGCGTGGTGCAGATCCGCTTGGTGCAGGGCGGCGGCTTGATGCATGGCGGCTGGTTGCGGGGCGGCTTGGTGCAGATCCGCTTGGTGCTGGGCGGCTTGGTGCGGGGCGGCTTGGTGCATGGCGGCTGGGTGCGGGGCGGCTGGGTGCGGGGCGGCTTGGTGCATGGCGGCTGGGTGCGGGGCGGCTGGGTGCGGGGCGGCTTGGTGCGGGGCGGTGCGCGCGGTGCGGCGAGGGCCGTTCGACGCCGCTTGCGGCTTTTTTATATTTTTATTCATAACCTTTCACTTTGGGACCACAATAATAATAGTCGGAATAGATTAAAAAGACGTTTTGGATGTGTTTATTAAAAATAATAAAAAACATACTGTAGAAAGCTGCAGACGAACCGACCAGAGTTCTACAACAAGAAGCAGCTTTTCGCATTTTAATTCAAGCGCACATTAGACAGGGAGTTGGTTACTAAAGTAACCTATCCAAAAAGCGCCATTCCCACCTACCCTGTTTAACCAGTACCAGGTCGTTCTTCAGTCCCTCTTGGTCCTAAAGAGTTTGGCCGGAGTGCTACTGGAAGCCATGGTTAACAAGGAATTTCTACTTTGTTTGCTTGTTTATTTTTCTCGTGGGTAGGTTGCCAGGAGTAAAGAGACTTAAACTCCCTCCAATAAACATGGTTTTTCAAAATCTATGGACAAATATGATAATACTCAAGCTCCATTGGATAACACACATTCGGAGACACAAGGACAAAGCTACAGGTGAACCAGGGTCAAATGGAGGCAAAAAATAAGGGTAAAAAACACCATTCCAAGTCCAGAAACAGCCTTAAACGTCAACATCTTGACAGTCCAAGTTTTGTCTTGATTCAAATAAAATGAAAGCATCAAACACATAAATACAATGCATATATTAGAAATCAATGAATCCACCACTTTTTGGGTTAGAACATTATCTAGTTTAAAGTGCAGCTGTACAATTAAAACAATTAGGAATACTGTGATCGGAAGTCTTGTTTTCACCAGCTCTACTCCACTCCATTTGGGAATATTTCTACTGGCCTTGTTTAACCAGTACCAGGTCCCTCTTGGGCCTGGTTCTGTCCAGGCCGAGCAGTTACTAAACTGATTGGCCAGGTTACCAAGGAATTACCCCCGATTCCTGGTTTGTTGTGGGAAGGTTGCTAGAATCATAAAGAGTAATGGAAAAACAACCAGGTAGAATAGAGTAGAGCAAAGTTAGTGCTGGTGGAAACAGGGCTATACACTGAAAAGACCAGCCAGTCCATCCGGCTGTTTAATAGTTTCTTTGCACAAAAAACGGCTCCATCGTAAGATCATAATTAAGTCCTGGTGTTGGAACGCCGTTAGCGATGAAGGAGGAGGATGAGGAAGCATCTTCAGGCAGAAAGTTTCAATCGTCCTACGAAGAAAAGAAAATGGATGAAACCTTTGTATTAGGTGCAGCTTTTAGGGCGTTCACAGTGGACCGGGAAGTGGACTCGGATCAGAAGCAAAGTCCAGTCCCTGTCACCGGTCTTTTCAAATGTACCAGCCTTCACCAGCAGAGGGCGATGGGGAGCAGAGTTGGATACAGACCAGGAACTAATATACCATGTCATATTTAAAGCTGAGGTACCTATATTTTATTGCACAAACAATATTGACGATGTACCATTACAACTAGTTCCATGTTTTATCAACAGTCCCATTACTAGTTTTCAGGAGCATAGATTTTGGCCTTCTTCAGATAAGCTTTTTTCAGACAGAAAGTGTCTCTTTTGCGATCAACCCAAAGCTTCAAATAGTGACTCACAGGGCTCTTACGAGTATGCATAGAAAAAAAATGTGTTTCTCCAAATATGAAGGCATTGTTCGTTCTGTTGGGGACTGATTTACTGGTTTATTTATGAAAAACACTAATTCAAATTGGAAGGTGCGTTGTGTAGTCTACAAACGGTAAATAGTGTACCATTTGTAGTTGTACCAGTACAAGACTTAAGTAAAAGTATAGAAACTTGTGTAAAAGTACAAACTTAAAGTATATTTGATTATATCAACACAATGTTGTGTAAATAAAAGAACACACCTGTTATCCTATAGAACTTAGAAGCACATTAACCACAAAAACACTTTGTGAACCTAAAAGTGAGGTAATTACATTTAGGTCACATCATCAGCAACAGTCTTTAGTAATTTCTACTCTACTCTACTCTACTCTACTCTACTCTACTCTACTCTACTCTACTCTACTCTACTCTACTCTACTCTACTCTACTCTACTCTACTCTACTCTACTCTACTCTACTCTACTCTACTCTACTCTACTCTACTCTACTCTACTCTACTCTACTCTACTCTACTCAGAAATCAGAACTAACCATGTTTGTTCAACAGACAGTCTTGTATTTGTTCACAACACTTTACTTTTACAACGTGCCGTCTTCATCTCATTAGATCTTTGGCATACTACTAGTCTGGAAGAACCCTGTGAGCTGAGGGTGAGCCCCTAATTTTAACTTTTCTGTCTGGAAAAAACGATCAAACGTGACAGGCCAAAGATGCATGGATGAGAAAACTAGAGATAGAAGCAAACTGTTTTAGACCCAAGAACTAGTGTGGATTCATTACAAACTGTAAATCCATTATTTGTGTTTGAGAGTTGAGTGTACTTAAAGTTGGGGTACCTAAGTAAAAATACTTAGCTACATACCACCTCTGCCCATTAGTCTTTTGTTTGGTCTTTGTGCTCCACAGTGCCCCCTGCTGACGGTATTTGACATTTCCACAGAGGAATGGAAGTGCACCTGAGTCCACTTAAATCGGGCCCAGCGCGCACGCACCATAGACTGTATATAGATGGACAATGCCAACCGGCTAGCTCAATGAAGCACAATAGGGAAGTGCTCATAGGTGAAGTTTTGATGACTTGCATGTAAAAGTAAACTCCTTTAGCTCAGCAACCGTTTGTGTCACACTCACCATTTTGGAATAAAAGAAATCTGTAGTTTAGCCTTCTCTGTGATCTTTGTGTTGATATTATGATATTGTCTTTTGTCAATCCTGATATGGTTCATGTCTGGATTTACAATCAGATGCCTTAATTCACGGGAGAAACTCCAGCTTGTCTTAGCAATCGTCTTAGCAACAAGTGCCCATATAAGAAATTGGCTCCAGATAGCTTATGTTCAAATTAGATACTCCTTAGATACAGTCTACGGCACGCACCCTTAATGGAAATATTGAAACTGCTGCAGTTTGGGAATCAATATTAGTGTTTCTGGGTAAAAAAAAACAGGTAAGATTTAAGGAAACAACATGCCAACAAAAGATAAAAACTAAAGGTTGATCACTCTGCAACAGTCTCAAACATTTCCATATTCTGAGTTTTAGTGAATGACATCAAGAGTTCTCCAAAAGTTCTTTGCAGACAGAGCAGCAGACAGAGCAGCAGAAATGAGACTGAATGAGAAGAGTGAAAACATGAGACATTCATGCACTCACTCACTCACTCATTCACCCACCAACTGTTGCACATAAAAAGGGAAAGTTTGGTCAGAGCTTTGAGTCTTTGAGATGCACATAACAGAGTTCTGAATACCCTGGTCAGTTACTGATCTACATCTATAGGTTACGTTCATTTGACATCACCACATAAGCCTTTAGTTTCACATTATGGTGCAGGGCAGCTGAATAATCTGTCCTGGTAACTAAGGGTTACCAGAAGGCCCCAGTATACATTAAAAAATATGGTTATTTGTGTGAGATAAGAACCTACAGAAATAATTCAGACAAGTTTGAGCCTTGTTTTTCTTCATGCTTCAATTTTAACCCCGTAGCACCCTTCGTTACAAACATGCCACATAACGTTCAACGGTTAAAGGTGAAAGAAGTAAGACGTTTTAATGCAACTTAAACTGATGTATGTTAATGTGTGCTAAATGGCCAAATCTTGGTCATTGAACGCAGCTTTCCAAAAATTGCACAGATCATTTTTGTCAACAAACATTTCTGTCTGGGTTCTATGGGGTTAATTCCTTGTGTAATATGAACGTTTCTTTTCAGGACATTATCCTTTCCAACATTTCAAAAAGGACTTCCTTCTCATTGAGTTGAGGGGCTCCTGCTGAAATATTGAAATAGAACTCTAAATGAACGCAACCTATTTAATAACTGTTCCGAGTTCTCCTAAGCCTTGTCCTTCTGACCAGCTCCAGAACGCAACAAGAGCTTTTAGCCTTGTTCCATGATTCCGCCATATTGTACAGGCATTTTCGCACAACATTTAAAAGGCTCTGCAGCTCTGGCCTGCTGCTAAGTTGGCCAGATACTACTCAACATGAGTGATGAATTTACATTTACAACTTTGGTAGCTGGTTAGTAGTCGGAAAACGCTGATGTTTACATGTATAAAACTAAGACACAGGGAGAACATGCAAAGTGGGAGTTGACCCCACAACCTTCTTGCTGTGAAGCATGAGTGCTACACACGAGTAACTGAAGTAACAACATTGACCCACTGATCAAACACTACTGAAGCAGACTGAAGATGAGAAGACATAACACTACTGCTTCAAAGGTGTGTGTGTGTGTGTGTGTGTGTGTGTGTGTAGGTGTGTGTATATTACACAATTGTAACATGGTTAAAAGATACATTTCATATTGTGTCTCTCTGTGTGAGTTTGTCTCTGTGTATGTTACACAGTTGTAACATGGTTTAAAGCTCATGTTGCTTCCATGTTGTGTACTATCTCACAGTGGAGGAGGGGGGTTGTTGCTGGGGTTCACACTGACATCATGCACGAAGAGCACAAGATTCCATCAATCTGAGCCCACCTACCTGCCCACCGTGCACCAATGGGCTGGCTCGGTCTACCTGCCTGACTGAGCATCGACCAACCAGACCACAGAATGGAGAGAGAGAGGAACAGATGGGAAACACACCTGGATATGGAATCACACAAAAGCTTGTGTCTGAAATCACCGCACACAGAGTCACAACGATTTTCAAGAATTTGCAAACTTTACAAAAATGCAAAACAAAATACTGAATGTTAATCTGAGTATTATTAAAGTCTTATTCCCACCTGTGTCTGTCACTCTAGGACTCTGTATAAATCTTCATCTACAGTACCTAGTCCAGAAAGAACTCTATTTTGTATTGTTTATAACTGTATGTAGGGGTGGGTAATTTTTGGTATTAGCCAACGGAATAATTAGAGTATGACTAGTTTGTCTCTGTCTCTCTCTAGGCTCTGTCTCTCTGTCTCTGTCTCTCTCTAGGCTCTAGGCTCTGTCTCTCTGGCTCTGTCTCTCTGTCTCTCTGTCTCTCTGTCTCTCTGTCTCTCTGTCTCTCTGTCTCTCTGTCTCTCTGTCTCTCTGTCTCTTTTTTGGCAGAAGGGGTGGGGGAGGAGAGTTGGTTTTTGTGTTGTTTCTGTCATCAGTCTCTGACAGTGTTAAAGTGAATGAAGCTAAACAACCACAGGTCAGTTTCTGCGTGAACAATGTTGTAAAATGCTTAAAAGCTAGTTTTGTGTTCCTCCATAGTACGTCTCCTGGCCAAAAGTAAACGTTGTGTCAATCACATGTCTAAACCAGTGAGTGATTTCAGACACATCTAAGCTGGCCTACATTACCCACAATTCCTCTGGTTGGAGGCGTGTACCTGCGGACAGCTGTGACTGGGAGCGGCGGCGTGATCCGGTGGTGGTCCGGGACGCTGTGGAGAGTGTGGACAGAGTGGAGCCTGCACTGCTGGCTCTGGAGATGGGCAGAGGGCCAGGGGTGGAGGGCGGAGAGTCCAGCTGCAGCACACAGGGAACAGGACTTTGAGAGATTCCCCAAAATAAGAGTTAGAGGCCCTAGTATACATCAAAAATAGAGTTTGAAGCCATATTATTGATCATTACAGAGTTAGAGGCCCTAGCATATATCAAAATAGAGTTAGTTCACCTTATGCAGCTATACATCCTATACAATACAAAACCGCCAAAAAAAGGTAAACATGGCATTTACCTTTGTAATTTGTTACTGAGGCCCCTGTGTGTTTCTGTGTCTACCTCTGTCACTCTGTGTCTACCTCTGTCACTCTGTGTCTACCTCTGTCTCTCTGTGTCTACCTCTGTCTCTCTGTGTCTACCTCTGTCACTCTGTGTCTACCTCTGTCACTCTGTGTCTACCTCTGTCACTCTGTGTCTACCTCTGTCACTCTGTGTCTACCTCTGTCACTCTGTGTCTACCTCTGTCACTCTGTGTCTACCTCTGTCTCTCTATGTGCAACTCTCTATCTGCGACTCTCTATGTGCGACTCTCTATGTGCGACTCTCTATGTGCGACTCTCTATGTGCGACTCTCTATGTGCGACTCTCTATGTGCGACTCTCTATGTGCGACTCTCTATGTGCGACTCTGTATATCAAATAGGGTCAGGGGCTGACCCTGATTATAACAGCTTCCCTCCGTATCCCACTGTTGTCCCCAGGTCAAAAATTCCTAAACCGTGTCTGCAGTGTGAGGAGGTCTACAGCCCGCAGCGACAGCAGCATCACCTCTACACTGTCGTGGGTGGGCGAGGACGAGGTGGAGGAGTTCTCATGTCTCCGTGACGATGACGAGCTGAGTTCCACCGAACGGACTCTCTGGGCAAACTTCAGCGAGCACACCGACTCGCTCATGTTCGACGACAACGGAGAAACCTGCAACACACAAAACTGAACTGAAGAGAAAACTTTCTAGTCTGCCGTCCCTCTCTCTCTACCTGCCGTCCCTCTCTCTCTCTACCTGCCGTCCCTCTCTCTCTACCTGCCCGTCCCTCTCTCCCTCTACCTGCCGTCCCTCTCTCTCTCTACCTGCCGTCCCTCTCTCTCTCTACCTGCCGTCCCTCTCTCTCTCTACCTGCCGTCCCTCTCTCTCTCTACCTGCCGTCCCTCTCTCTCTCTCTCCTACCTGCCGTCCCTCTCTCTCTACCTGCCGTCCCTCTCTCTCTACCTGCCGTCCCTCTCTCTCTACCTGCCGTCCCTCTCTCTCTCTACCTGCCGTCCCTCTCTCTCTCTACCTGCCGTCCCTCTCTCTCTACCTGCCGTCCCTCTCTCTCTCTACCTGCCGTCCCTCTCTCTCTCTACCTGCCGTCCCTCTCTCTCTCTACCTGCCGTCCCTCTCTCTCTCTACCTGCCGTCCCTCTCTCTCTCTACCTGCCGTCCCTCTCTCTCTCTACCTGCCGTCCCTCTCTCTCTCTACCTGCCGTCCCTCTCTCTCTCTCTCTACCTGCCGTCCCTCTCTCTCTCTCTCTACCTGCCGTCCCTCTCTCTCTCTACCTGCCGTCCCTCTCTCTCTCTCTCTACCTGCCGTCCCTCTCTCTCTCTCTCTACCTGCCGTCCCTCTCTCTCTCTACCTGCCGTTTAGTGATCAACCAATATGCGTTGGTTACGATTCGCAATGCCAATAGTGATACAAAAAACAGGCCTGCAAGGTTTATTTTAACAAAGAGAAGGAGAAGAAAACTTAAAAGATGTCCAGTAATTATGTGTATTGTTACATTAGTGCAGGGGTTAAAGGAAAAAAAAAGATTTGACTGAACATTTTTGCATGGAAATTTATCACATGTAAATCACAGTAATATGCAGGACCAAGTTATATTTTTAATTACAATATATTATTGTATAATAGATTGTATATTGAATACAGCTCAAATGAATTCTTCAAAGATATACAGTGTATTTTGATATGAAATATAAGTGGATCAAGCAACGAGTCAACTTTTTGACAGAATATTAGTGAGAGTAGCTTTACTTGAGGCGATATGGAGCGTCAACACTTTGGCTCTGTCCTCGTCAAAATATCGCAAAAGGACGATACAATTCTGTCCACATTTGTTTGTGGACACGTCAATATTTAAGAAAAAGGTTTCCCTATCAAGTTTGAGTGCACAGTGCACTTCGATCAACTGCAAATGATTTAAATAAATCTACCAGCGGTAGTGATATTCTGAACGTTATTTTCTGCGATAAAGCCACAGACACGGTCCGCCAGAGCAAGCCTAGTGTCAGTTGTTGCTGATGCACCAGGTAAAGATGAAGTGTGGGAAAGTGCACAAACAGCTGCCTTGTGCGCAGTTTTGAGCTGGTGGCGAATCAAAACTTTTTTCTCATTACTCCCATATATGCAATTTTTTATGGCAAAGTACGCACAAGCACCGGCCACTTTCATCTTTTCGCACCATGACTCGTTGATTGGCTCTTTTACATCACGCTGAGTTTTGCAAGAAGATCGCAAACAAGACAATATCAAAAGCTCACCAAGACATGTTTGTCCCCATTCCCAGTCGCAGCAAAGTCCGTTTTGTACATTCCGTTAAGTAAAATAGCATTGCGTTTGGTAAACGTTAATTACCTTTAGTCTATTATGCGCCCAGCTTACCAGTCCGGATCTGCTGCTGTCATTGCTCCGTTCGAGATTCAATTTTCCTCCTCTTCTCCTTTTCAAAACCTCCGTGCAGTTTCCAGAAACTTTCACCTCCGTGTTACCAATGCTAACTTCATCGCGTCTTCATTTGCGCGTGAGCTCAGCTACGTCCCATTGCCTTGATTCATTTGCGGAGCGCTCATGTGGCCACGGCACGTTCAAGGCCCACTCGTGATTATATTACTTATTATTTCTATATACATATAAATACAATTATATTCAAATTATTATTATACATCGATATATATATATATATATATATATATATATAACAGATTCACACGTATATGTATTACTATATATTATTTTTATAATCAATCATTTCATTGTGTGTATTATTATCATTATATATATATATTTTTTTTTTCCAGACCAATTTCATTTGACGGAAATCCGTCACCTAGACGGAACTCTTTAATCCCTGCATTAGTACCATGGTGGCAGAGTGGTTAGCACTCTCAGGTTCAAATCCTGGTCTCAAGTATGTGGCAAAGATATTTTCTGGTCCCCTAGATAGCTAGTAGTTACCTGTCGTAAGCCCAGAACTGTTCTGCAGATAAACCATTGGAACATGATATTCCATAGCATTCTTCACCATTGCCAAACTACAACCAGCCCGTTCGACACAAACTCTTGACGTCACCCACAACTAACTACAACACCCACTTCTCACGCTCGCTGATTGGTCGGATGGAATTCAACCAATTGTAATCGCAAACACAGGACCCAGACCTAGATGTTACATCCAGGGAAATGATAATTGAGCGGAGTGTACAAATGGCTAAGGCCAGGCTAGATATTCCAGAGAGCAGCTTCTTGCAATAACAGAGTCTGTCCAGGAGGGGGCAGCAGTCATCTTTACACAGTGACTGGACTGCTCTGTTTTACAATCAAACCAAGCAGAGACACTACAGAAAACAGTCTCTCTCTGGTCCCTCTCTCTCTGGTCCCTCTCTCTCTCTCTCTGGTCCCTCTCTCTCTGGTCCCTCTCTCTCTGGTCCCTCTCTCTCTGGTCCCTCTCTCTCTGGTCCCTCTCTCTCTCTCTCTCTCTCTCTCTCTCTCTCTCTGGTCTCTCTAGTTATGATTAGTGCTTTCAGAACTAGTCATAAATAACCTAACTAATCTCACAATACAAGTTTTGTGGTGATTGAGGTGGACTGGACTCACCTGGACCATCATGAGCGTCTTGCTGTCCCTGCTTAGAGAGTCCTGCAGCAGGTATGTGAGGCGGGAGTTCCGGAAGGGAACGTGGGCGTGTTTCCCCCGCAGCGCGTTGATGACATCACCGAGCGCTGAAAGAGATTTGTTGATGCACTGGGCCTCGCGGAGCCGGGTCCCCTCCGCGCCGGACTTGCTTATGCGCTCCGAGCCGGCCAGGTCCACCAGGTTCAGCTTTCCTACGAGGGCACACACACAGAGGCTGTAGACAGAGACACAGAGAGAGACAGAAAGAGACGGAGAGAGAGAGAGACAGAGAGAGAGGCTATAGACAGAGACAGAGAGAGAGACTGTGTAGAAGAGAGACAAGAGAGAAACCAGAGAGTGAAACCAGAGAATGAGACACCAGAGGGTGAGAAACCAGAGAGCGAGAGACCAGAGAGCGAGATACCAGAGAATGAGAAACCAGAGGGAGAGAAACCAGAGAGCGAGAGACCAGAGAGTGAAAGACCAGAGAGAGAGAGCAGAGAAAGAGAGACCAGAAAGTGAGAGCCCAGCGAGTGAGAGCCCAGAGAGTGAGAGACCAGAGAGCGAGAGACCAGAGAGCGAGAGACCAGAGAGCGAGAGACCAGAGAGGGAGAGACCAGAGAGGGAGAGACCAGAGAGGGAGAGACCAGAGAGGGAGAGACCAGAGAGGGAGAGACCAGAGAGCGAGACCAGAGAAAGAGACCAGAGAAAGAGACCAGAGAAAGAGACCAAAGAGTGAGAGACCAGAGAATGACACCAGAGAGAGAGACCAGAGAGAGTGAGACCAGAGAGTGAGAGACCAGAGAGTGAGAGACCAGAGAGTGAGAGACCAGAGAGTGAGAGACCGGAGAGCGAGAGACCAGAGAGCGAGAGACTAGAGAGCGAGAGACTAGAGAGCGAGAGACTAGAGAGTGAGAGACCAGAGAGTGAGAGACCAGAGAGAGTGAGACCGGAGAGAGAGTTCCAAGCACATCTGCACTTTGCCCTGACCCTCTGGGAGGGGCACACCTTGAGTGTGTGTTGCGGTGGTGGAGTTGTGTCCGGACACGGTGATGATGAGCAGAGCGTGAGAGCGAGAGCTGTGTTCGTTCAGGTTGGTGCAGGCGGTGGCTCTGTTCATGTGGCCCAGCTCAAAAACCTGCAGAATAAAAACAACTAGTTACAAAAAACATTCATCAAACTTACCTCAAAATGCCTAAAACTGTTCATCATTGTTTGTTCTTCACCTAACTTTTGGTCTCAGATCCCTGCACTGGCTTCCTGAGGCTCTGAGAAAAGACTTTAAAGCAGCTCTACTTGTTACAATTCTCTCCATGGCCTCGCACTAAAATACATCTGTGACATGTTAGTGCCATTTGAACCAACTCTGACATTGAGAAGCACAGGGACTGGCCTCCTGCTGGTGCCCAGAGTCAGGACTAAATATGGGGAGGCAGCATTACAAATTTATGCAGCTATAATCTGGAACAGTCTACCTGAAAATGTGAGATAGGCTTTTACTCTGGACAATAGAAATGTTAAAAACTGGATTCGGACATTGTCAAACAGTTTTTGGACCTTGGAAAAGTATTCTTCTTCCAGGACCTGAACATGGCCCTTGTCTGTATTGAGTTGTCTTTTTTTAGGTTTGCCAAATTGAAAAAATAATGAGAAAAAAAATATTGTGAAGTGATTCATTTGTTAAAAATCTTATCTATTCTTGTTTTGTACAATAAAAATAAGTTTCTTTTCAGGGTTCTGTCACACTCCACCATAGTTAGTTTATGTTCTTTTCTGTATACATAACATTGCAAATAGATACAAATGAATACAAATACCCTGTTAATATCCTGAGGACTCCCCACAGTGACCTTCGTGAGTCCAGGGACGTAGAGCTGTCCGCTACCATCCGGGTGAAGCTTTATGTCCAGCTTCTCTGTGAGATGGTCCCCCAGCAGGTCCCTGAGCAGGACGGGAAGACCAGGGAGGAGTTAAAACCATTATAACTAATAACAATGAAAGACACAAGAGAGAGACCAGAGAGAGACCAGAGAGAGACCAGAGAGAGACCAGAGACAGACCAGAGAGAGACCAGAGACAGACCAGAAACAGAGTCCAGAGAGAGACCAGAGAGAGAGTCCAGAGAGAGACCAGAGAGAGAGTCCAGAGAGAGACCAGAGAGAGAGTCCAGAAACAGACCAGAGAGAGTCCAGAGAGAGAGTCCAGAGAGAGAGTCCAGAGAGAGTCCAGAGAGAGAGTCCAGAGAGAGAGAGTCCAGAGAGAGACCAGAGAGAGAGTCCAGAGAGAGAGTCCAGAGAGAGAGTCCAGAGAGAGAGTCCAGAGAGAGAGTCCAGAGAGAGACCAGAGAGAGACCAGAGAGAGTCCAGAGAGAGAGTCCAGAGAGAGAGTCCAGAGAGAGAGTCCAGAGAGAGACCAGAGAGAGAGACCAGAGAGAGACCAGAAACAGACCAGAAACAGACCAGAGAGAGACCAGAGAGAGACCAGAAGAGGTCCACCCTCACTCAGCCCTCAGCCAAAAGGCTTTATGGGGCACTTTCCTAGAGAAAATGTAACATATTTTTGCCTGAGAAATCATGTTATATTCACCACCTTTAAATGCCAAATAAATAGTAAATGTTTAAAGCTCGGGTATGAAACTTTCAAACCGCAATAATAGAATTCCTGGCTCTCAAAAGATTTACATCTGTCACTAGTTTTCACATGCACGTCATTTAGGCCTGTCACATCTTTGGATCAGGTTTTTCGGACTGAAAAGTTAAAAAATAGTGACTTTATTGTGAGCATAGTCTGTATAAAGATGGATAATGCAAACTCGCTAGCTCTATGAAGCTCAATAGGGAAGTGCTCATAGATACAGTGGAACAAATGGCCATATACGACAATTGGCTCTAGCTAGCGTAAGTTAAAATCTATCTAAAACTACAGTGACATCACACTCAGTCAGTCCACTCCTAAAATAGGTTCTATGCGTGAGAGTGGGAACATTAGCCTTGTGTTCTCGCTCTGCTGTTTCTGGCTCAGCTGGAACCTGCTTTCCAGAGGAGCGGTGATGTAATCGCTGGACAGATGTGGAACAGCCGAGAGCACCTTTACATAACGACAGCTTTGGCTCAAACTGTGGCCCGAGTCTTTTTGGAAAAGACGAGGTTTAAACAGAAGAAAACAGCTGTTCGCGTGTCGTCACAGTCGGTCACAGTGTAACAGTTTGGGTTGATTTGACAATTGACAAAACACATCTGTTCAGACTGGCCTCTTCACCGTGATCCTACCTCGTTCTCTCTGTCTGTCTCTATGCCTCTCTTCGTCTGTTTGGCTGTCTCTCTCCTTCCGTCTGTGTCTCTCTGCCTCTCTGTCTGTCTCTCTGCCCCTCTCTCTCTCTGTCTGTTTGCCTGTACCCCTCTCTGTATGTCTGTCCGTCTCTCTGTATGTGTCTTTCTCCATCTGTGACTCTCTCTGTCTGCCTCTGTCCGTCTTCCTCTGTGTCGCTCTGTCAATCTCTCTCTCCCCGTCTCTGTTTCTCTCCTTCCTACTCTCTCCCTCTCCGTTAGTGCAGGATTAAAATAAATCCTTAAACTATCTAACATCTGCTTTTTTGCCACTCATCCACAAAGGCCAGGTCTGTGTGGTGCTTGACAAATGTGCAGACTGACTGTAGACTGGGACAGGAGTGGTCCGACCAGTTTGAGGCCAAAGACAATCTGAGTCCGTGAAGTCTAGTCCCCGTTCTCTCCCTGTGTGACCCGAGTCTGTGTGCTGGTACCTGAGAGTCTCGTTGTAGATCTCCACCATGCTCACAGAGATGGTGTAGTCCCAGTCCGCCTCCTTCTCCGTCACCTCAGAGAACAGCAGCTGTAGCGCACGCTGGTTTATACCGGGGTTTTCTGCCACACCCTGAGAAAAAAAGCACATGGTATTGTAATATTACACAGAGAGAGAGACCAGAGAGAGGCCAGCGAGAGGCCAGCGAGAGGCCAGCGAGAGGCCAGCGAGAGGCCAGCGAGAGGCCAGCGAGAGGCCAGCGAGAGGCCAGCGAGAGCCCAGCGAGAGCCCAGCGAGAGCCCAGCGAGAGCCCAGAGAGAGCCCAGAGAGAGCCCAGAGAGAGCCCAGAGAGAGCCCAGAGAGAGCCCAGAGAGAGAGAGCGACAGACCAGAGCGAGAGAGAGCGAGAGCAAGAGAGAGCGAGAGAGAGAGAGAGAGAGAGAGAGAGCGAGAGAGCAAGAGAGAGCGAGAGACCAGAGAGAGAGAGCGAGAGACCCGAGAGAGAGAGCGAGAGACCAGAGAGAGAGAGCGAGAGACCAGAGAGAGAGAGCGGGAGACCAGAGAGAGAGCGAGACCAGAGAGAGAGAGCGAGAGACCAGAGAGAGAGAACGAGAGACCAGAGAGGTGTAGTGTGTGTGTATGCCTGTGGTAAGTGTGTATGTTTGTCTACCTGTAGTGTGTGTGTGCGTGTATGTCTGTAGCAAGTGAGTATGCGTATTGCGTACCTATACCTGTGTGTGTGTGCGTGTGTATGTCTATGTCTATGTGTATGTGTATGTGTGTGTACATGGAGTAGTGTGTGGTTACCTCCATAGTGTATGTTTTCCCGGACCCTGTTTGACCGTAGGCAAAGATACAAACGTTAAAGCCGTCGATGCAGGAAGTCACGAGGGACTGTACTTCCTGGAACACCTGCTCGGCCAATCAGAGGAGAGAAACAAGGCGTAAATAACAATTCAGTCAAAAATATGTGTCTCTGAATGTCCACACTGACATCGTATCAGGGTCACCATAGTTTGTGTATTAGGAGTGGACTGACCGAGTGTGACATCATCATAGTGTTAGCCTTAATGCAGAAAAGGCCAATTTGAACATCCATGGGAATTTGTTCTGCTGTGTTTTGCTTTGAAACAAATGCAGGGGCAGATGATTTGCTAAGTTGGTTGCTAAGGTAATGCTGAAGTTTCCTCCACAAATGAAGGCATCAGATTGGTCAATCCTTATATGGCTAATAGCTGGATTTATAAAGACACTGTAAACACCAGGATCACACAGAATGCCAAAACCACAGATTTTTTTAAGCCCAAAAGAACCTACAGGAGTTGGAGCAAAACCTCGTCCATGAGCACGTCTCTATGGGGCTTCATTGATCTAGCAGATTTGCATTGTCCCTCTGTATACCGTCTATTGTCATCACCCAATAGTTGACCCCCCGCTCTAGTGAAGAGCCAGACTGACAGAAATAAACACAAAAATAGAACCAGTTCCATGGATGTGATTCAGGGATTTTTGACAAGAATTGCAATTTTGATTTGCACTTTTATGTATTTTTCCTTAATATAATAAGTGGACAAACCAAACTGACAAAATTAACTGTCAAACAATGCTCCTGATCCATAAGACACAGAAAATGCAGAATACACATTATTTGCTCAAGCTCCCCCTGGTGGTACAGGAACAGGTTTAGACACAGCTCTTTCAGCTGTTGATCTCTGGAGCTGATGATGTCGCACACACTCCTGCTTTGGCTGTGGTTATGTGAACAGCAGAGGGACAATATTAGGAAATGTGTGGAAATACACAGGAGTTGTCAGTCCACTCCTATACTATGCTCTATGGTCTACATATTGATTACGCGTGACAGTGTGGACATTCTCCTGCAGTGGACTCTGTGCTCTGACCTCCTCCTGCGTGGACTTTGGAGGAAAGACTCGGTCCAGCTCAAAGGTCATGATCTTGCCCTTGTTGGAGAGGTAGAGGATGGAGTCGTCGTCCGAGTCGAAGCTTAGCATGGTCTTGGCGTCAGCGGAGTCCTGCTCCTCCTGACTGACAGGGCGCACGCGGCAGAACACCCGGATGTTTCCTGCAGTCACAGAGGAAGGTGTGACAGAGATTTACACGGCTTTTCAGACCAGGAACAGTCAGGGTAACTCATGCGCAAAAACGAGCATAACAAGACAGGGGTACCTGACTTTCATACTTTAATATGTAACTGAAATCATGATTTTGTGAGGTCTACACCAACTGGCCTCCTACACAGTGTCGTAAACCAGTCACCAGTCCTGGACAAACTAACACTGACTGTCCCTGACAGGACCCTCTGGCCAATATGGAGTGCAGCTTCAGTGACAGACTGATCCACTGTAGCTGTGTAAAGGAGAGTTTCCACAGGGGTTTCCTTCAGGTTTAAAAACAGTACTGTTTAGATATTTTCTAAAGCACTTTGAGATGCCTTGTGCATTAACTGTGTTACGCATATAAACTTGCCTAGTTTTGACATGTCCTCACCTTTGAGGCGGACCAGCTCGTTGTGGCACTTCTTCCTCAAGTTCATCTCTCGTTTGTATTTCCGCAGCAGCTCCTGGTTTGTGTTGCTCACTTCACTGATCACCTGACAAATCTGAAAAAGCCACACAGACATTGAATTTGGGTTAATCTGAACATTTTGAAATCACAAATGTCTGAAACGGTGAAATGAATGAGGTGAAGACAGAAACAGTGTGTATTCTCGCCCTCGTCTGTACCTCCTGCTTGGCCTCGGCGATGGCTGTGTCCAGCATGAACGGGAACTCCTGGACCTGCTTCTTGAGGCTGTTGTAGTCGCTGGTGAGAGTCCTGAGGGCCGGCTGCAGACTCAGCAGGTTCAGACGCACTCCTGCAGACACAACAACATACAAACACAAGTTTATATAATTAAATCTCTACTTGGAAAGAGTTGTTTAAAAAAGAAGGTAGAGAAAAGTCTGAATCTTAAGGTAATTATTGTTTCAAATGTTTTTTTAAAAATTATATAAATTTTTTGAAATTATAGAAATAAAGGGGTTGCGGTCTCTCCCTCTCTCCGGTCTGGTCTCCCTCTCTCCGGTCTGGTCTCCCTCTCTCCGGTCTGGTCTCCCTCTCTCCGGTCTGGTCCCCTCTCTCCGGTCTGGTCTCCCTCTCTGTCTGGTCTCCCTCTCTGGTCTGGTCTCCCTCTCTGGTCTGGTCTCCCTCTCTGGTCTGGTCTCCCTCTCTCTGGTCTGGTCTCCCTCTCTGGTCTGGTCTCCCTCTCTGGTCTGGTCTCCCTCTCTGGTCTGGTCTCCCTCTCTGGTCTGGTCTCCCTCTCTGGTCTGGTCTCCCTCTCTGGTCTGGTCTCCCTCTCTGGTCTGGTCTCCCTCTCTCTGGTCTGGTCTCCCTCTCTGGTCTGGTCTCCCTCTCTGGTCTGGTCTCCCTCTCTGGTCTGGTCTCCCTCTCTGGTCTGGTCTCCCTCTCTGGCGATAAACCAGGGACAACTGTGTACTATATGTGGACCCTTTTAAAGCAAAACCCCAAACCATCATACTGTATATCACAATCAACAAGCAGTGTAAAAAGGTACATTTGTACAACTTGCATGTACTCTCAAACAACATCAGGTTGTAGTGAGGATACAGCCCTAAACACGAGGGACCTTGTTAAACGGTCCTGAGAGTCACAGAGGGAGTAAACAGAACAACAGCAGGTCCCTTTAGGGCAGGGAACTTAAACCAGTCAAAGGCCTGGAGTGCCTTTATCTGCTTGGTTGTAATTCCTAACAAGCAGGAGCAGACCAGTGAGTCCAGTCTTAACCTGAGGAACGGGGTGGAGTCTATTCTGCTCTTGCTGGGGAAAAATCGCTCCAGCTAGCATATGTTCAAAACAGCCTCTTCTGCATTCACGCTAACACCACGGTGATGGTCAGTTCACTTGTAGTATATATAGACCATGGCTGCATCAAATGAAACTCTTAAGTTGTTATTATTTTGTTACTTTGGACATAAAACATTGAATAACATTTTCTCTGATAATGATCCACGTCGTTTAAGGACATTGATGGACCTGTAATATTTTACGGACATTGGTCATCTGCCCCATATGAAAAGGCTATATGTGTTCTTTATGTTTGCATTTTCTGTGCTTGAAATTTTTGATTCTCTGATCTGCAAATCGACAACTGTGTAAAGTCCTCCAAGATAAGTACTGTTGTGATTTAGGGCTGTACAAAAAAAAATGAATTGAAATCGGAAAATAGACATGTTTAAAAATACAGGGTATCAAACATTGTGAAACCGCCATAATGGACAGAAATATGATTTCATTTTCCACAGCGTTTCAGTCAATAGTAAATTATTGTGTTTCTTGTGTATCTTTTGACCTGCGAGGTTTTGGTGCACGGCTTTCATCTCGCTCTCTGCTCTGACGAAGGCCTCCTCGATCACACGGTTCTTCTCCTCCTCCAGACTCTGCATCTCTGCCTCCAGTCGACCCTGAGCTCGCGCCATCTCCCCCTCGTACACCAGGATCTATGGAGCAGACGCAACACATGCAGGTGAGCAGCTGAACATTTGTTAATACTAGGATTCTCATCATTCTGACAGCGCTAGAACTCCCAACCACGCAAATCAATTCTGAAAAAATCTTTTTTTCATCACTAGTTTTATTAAAAGTAACTTTTTTGTCTTTACTTTTAAGTGCTAAAAAATACAATACTAACGTGCTCATAAACCACAATATTACTGACTGTGCAGGGATTACCAGAGACCCGAGAGAGACCCGAGAGCCCGAGAGAGAGACCAGAGAGAGACCAGAGAGAGACAGAGAGAGACCAGAGAATGAACCAGAGAGTCCACAGAAAGATCAGAGAGAGGCCAGAGAGAAACCCAAAAGAGAAACACCAGAGAGACCCAAGAGAGACAAGAGACCAGGGAGAATGACCATAGACCAGGAAGAGAGAGACCAGAGAGAGCCCTGAGAAAGAAACCAGAGACCACCGAAATTTCAGAGAGGCAATAGAGAGGCAATAGAGAGACCCCAGAGAGACCCAAGAGAGACCAGAGAGAGTGACCATAGACCAGGAAGAGAGGGACCAGAGGGAGCCCAGAGAAAGAAACCAGAGAGACCACAGAAAGATCATAGAGAAAGAGGCCAGAGAGAGACCCCAAAGACAGAAACACCAGAGAGACCCAAGAGAGACCAAAGAGAGAGACCATAGACCAGGAAGAGAGTGATCAGGGAGAGAGAGACAAGAGGGAGACCAGAGAGACACCAAACTGAGACCGGAGACCACAGAGAGAGGGACCAGAGAGAGAGGGATGCCAGAAGAAGAGACCAGGGAGAGAGGCCAGAGAGAGACCCAGATAATCCAGACACTGTCTCAGTCTGGTCTCAGTCTGGTCAACAACAAAGCCGCTGAAGGCGAACCAGCGAGGGACCACTGTACGTCTAAAACAAATACATTGAACACATTCTCTGGACATCACTCTGCAGAAGGTTTGGGGCACATCACGGGTCGCACTGAAGGGTCACTCGGGACAGGACCGGGGTGTAACAAGGACCAGACCTTGGACAGCCTGTAAAGACGCTCTGAGCTGTCCACAGCTTTAGAGAGAGAGCTGTGCAGACACTGGAGCATGCAGGAGAGAGAAGAGGAACCATGACAACAGTCCTGTGTGGATAAAAACTGAATATTGAGCGGGGAATCATGTCTGTATGTTATTATTTACTTATCTATCCATTTGTTTCATATGGTTTATTTATGTGGAACTAACCTGCCCCTTTCTCATTCAATTATTATAGACAGAGACTGTATACAGATGGACAATGCTTACTGGCTAGCACAATGAAGGGAAAGTGCTCAGGCTGCTCTAGCCCAGTGACCGTTTGTGTCAGACTCCACATTTTGGGCTTAAAAATATGGGCTTTTTACGTCTATAAATTATAATGGTCGCAACTAGCAAATTGCAAAGACTGAAAGTTCTTTGCTTAAAAATAAACATTAATTACATTTGGGAAATCTTTTTGATTCAAGTATCTTTCAGATTTATCAATGGAACAAGTATTTTCAATTTTGTTGTCGGAAGAGGCACTATTTTATCATTGCAAATAGACATTTTATCTTTTTTTATCATTTATATTGTGGTGCCGCCTGCATGTGAAAGCCAGATCTGGTAAATACTATGATGGGAGACCTATGGGAACACCAAGTGCAACAGGGAGGTGGCTGCAGCTGTAAAGTGGCAATCTGTGGTTGTGTCCTTAGGCAAGACACTTCACCTACATTAGAATGAGACTGGTGTGCGTGGGAATGGTTGGTGGCGGTAGAAAGGGCCAATGGCAGATAGTGGATGCCTCATTTCTGCCAATGTACCCTAGGACAGCTGTGGCTACAGTAGTATTCACCACTACTGTACGGAGAGAAAGCATAATGCCCACAAGTGCCTTTTCCACAAGCCTTTTTAACAGGAAACAGGTCCTTCTTTAGTCCCTCTTGGTCCTGGTTCTATCCAGGCCGAGCTGGTACTAAAGTGTTCTTATGGACAGTGATTGGCCAGAGGGCTGCTGGAATGGTTACCAAGGATTTCCCCCCGGATAATGGTTTGTTGTGAGTAGGTTTCTAGGATACTGTACCAGATACTAAAGCCTAATGGAAACACAACCAGGTAAGGTAGAGTAGAGAAGGGCTTTTGGGTGTCCAGAAAAGCACTCTATAAAACCAATGCATTATTACTATTATAATTATCAAACTGTCTAAGAGCCAGGAACTAGTGACATGGATTTATTACATAGTTCAGTTGATGTGGCTCCATGTGTGTGTTTTGTCTCCAGTGTGGTCAGGACGTGGGTCTCACCTGGGTGCGCAGCTGGGTGCAGGTGCGCTGAGATTCGTGCAGCTGGGTCTCCAGCTCTCGCAGCAGCTGCCTCTGCACAGACACCTGCTCCTGCAGCGCAACATTCTTCCCCTGGAGCTCGGGTACAGAGTCTGTGGGCGCCACCTCCCCGACCGGGGGCACGAACTGAGGACGCATGTACAACACACCAGTCAGTTCTGTGGTTACGGCACTATCCTCTCTCTTTTATCTGTTATCATTATGACTTCATCTGTTGTCTGTGCATTGCTATTCACCCGCTGCCCCATTTCATACCGTTATCATGGAGCTGTGGCCTGTTCCCTCACCCTGACTCTAGGTGGAGCTGTGACTTGTGTGTTGTTCCCTCACCCTGACTCTAGGTGGAGCTATGGCCAGTGTGCTGTTCTCTCACCCTGATGCTAGGTGGAGCTGTGGTCTATGTGCTGTTCCCTCACCCTGACTCTAGCTGGAGCTATGGCCTGTGTGCTGTTCTCTCACCCTGAGGCTAGGTGGAGCTGTGGCCTGTGTGCTGTTCCCTCACCCTGACTCTAGGTGGAGCTGTGGCCTGTGTGCTGTTCCCTCACCCTGACTCTAGGTGGAGCTGTGGCCTGTGTGCTGTTCCCTCACCCTGACTCTAGGTGGAGCTGTGGCCTGTGTGCTGTTCCCTCACCCTGACTCTAGGTGGAGCTGTGGCCTGTGTGCTGTTCCCTCACCCTGACTCTAGGTGGAGCTGTGGTCTATGTGCTGTTCCCTCACCCTGACTCTAGGTGGAGCTGTGGTCTATGTGCTGTTCCCTCACCCTGACTCTAGGTGGAGCTGTGGCCTGTGTGCTGTTCTCTCACCCTGACTCTAGGTGGAGCTGTGGCCTGTGTGCTGTTCCCTCACCCTGACTCTAGGTGGAGCTGTGGCCTGTGTGCTGTTCTCTCACCCTGACTCTAGGTGGAGCTGTGGCCTGTGTGTTGTTCTCTCACCCTGACTCTAGGTGGAGCTGTGGCCTGTCTGTGCAGCTCCTCTTCGCACTCCTGTATCCTGAGGCTGAGTTGGCGCTCGGCTTGGGTCTGGGTGCGCTCAGACTGCTGCAGCTTCCTGGAGGTCTGGTCCAGCTCGCGGTGAAGCGTCTCCACTTTCAGGCTCTTCTCCTGGAGGTCCCGCTCCAGCTCGGCCAGCCGCCGCTCCCTCTGCTGTGCCTGGCTCTCCCAGCGGGACACCTCCCTCTGGAGAAAGTCTGCATTCTGGAAGCACACAGTCCAACGCTCAGATCTGTGCAAACTCTAGACTGTAGTCCAGCCCCAGGTCCACATTTCGAGGCTCAGCGTTTTGGTTAGAGTTTTTATCCAATCATTATTCAGCACCTTGGATTGCTAGTGTCCAAAATGTTCCTTTGGGTTTTCAGAAACAACTATGCTGGCCCATGCTAGCTTAAAGCAGATTAAACAAACCTGTGACATTAACCAATTAGCATCAAGTTGGCTTCACTGGGGCCAGTAATTTGTGAAGCGCAACAAGTTGTTTTAGTTTTTTCCACCCACTGAGGAAGATATCAATTTGGTAGATATAGTTTCAATTCCATTCTCAAAACAACTTATCAAGGGAAGGCGCTAACCAGCTTGACTCAGCAGAAGAAAGGATTTATCTGCCACCTCAAACCCTGGCTGGAACAGTTTGTATTATCATGTTTCTGTGACGCTGCTCTGGGTGCGACAGATTGATTTGATTTGATTTGACAGTGCACTCTGTTTTGTGAAAGAACTTGTTCAAGCTCATACTGTTGTAAGTAACTAACAATATTATGTTGTACTTGACTATACGTTAAGATGATGCATTTAGACCCATTTTGGTTTAAATGCACAATGTATAGCGCCATGGAATCAGAATTATGGTTTTAAGAGGTGGATTAAGTCAGGTGGCCATCACTGCAGGTGCAGGTCTGAAATGCAGGGCCCGCCCGCTGTTAAAGATGGACAATGCTAACCTGCTAGGTCAATGAACCCCAATAGAAAAGTGCTCATGGACAAAGTGTTCCAGAAAGATAAAATTTTATACTAGCAAAAAGCTTAGCATCAGTTGTTGTTGATCAAAAATTACACTCCCAAGGTGGCTTTTACAGTCTACACTCTGGACATACAGTATGTGTTTGACGGCAATGAAATCAAATATGGAACTCTCTTTGGTCCTGTTGACTTGCAGTACATGTAAGTCAAAAGCCATAAGAATAGAAAAAGTAGATGCCTTCCTTTGAGGGAGAAACTCCAGCTTACCTTAGCAACCGTCTTAGCAACACGTTCGTTTGTATCTGCAAAACTAACCCCATCAGAACAAATGCCCATATTAGGAATTTAGCTCCAGATTAGCCATGGCAGCTCTTTTAATCAGCTTCTCTGTGAGTCCAGTCTGAGTACAGTCTCTGGGAAAGACGGTACCTGACTGTGGGGGCAAATGGGGCAGTTGTTGGAGGTGGGCTCGGAGCTCCTGCATGATTTCAGCTCCTGCTTAAGACGCTGGTTCTCAACAACCAGGCGCTCCAACTGCTTCTCCAGGTCTGTCGCCCCCTGCAGGGCAAACACATACCACAAAGATTCATATTGGAAGCACGGTACCTTTTCCTAATTTTCCCACTTTGACTAAACATTTACAGTTGTCTCCTTCATGAGAGCCTTGGCAACAGAAAATGTCAATAGAGAATAGTCAGAGACACTAGACACAGAGAGAGAGAGCGAGACGAGAGAGACCAGAGGGAGACCAGAGGGAGACCAGAGAGTGAGATCAGGGAGATCACCCGCCCGCATCATGCTCACTTTGTAAACACACAACTATATAGCTTTTACCGGTACATAGTCATTTCAGATGTGTGTGTGTAGATAAAGATAGGAGATAGAGATAGAGATAGAGATAGAGAGACAACAATGACAATTCGTCACATGCAGGCCTATGTCCTCAATCCAGAATCAGATTATATAGTTAACAGAAGTATATGGCAAGTTAGTAGCACTGTACTTGCAGATCTATGCTCCTCGTTAGAGTCTTTTATCGAGTGAATAACACAGCTTTTGAGTAAAACCAGTTTCACGGTGACATAGAGAGACACAGAGACAGAAAGGGAAACATAGTGTCAACCTTTTGAGTTGTGTTGCAGTTATGTATGTATCAGTTTTATGATGAAATCCAAAGCCAACTAATTGTAGAGACGTGTTTCCTGCTTTGTTAGACCCAGATACAAATACATTTTCTCCAAGTTGACATGATGCGAACACTTGAGTCGCTGTCAATAGCAGAAGAACAGCGTAGAAGCACCGACTGTGGTAGACATGAGGCGAGACCATAGACTGGGAAAGACTGGGCATGCTGATTCGCTGTTTTGGTTTTTCTCCTGTCAATCACCCCCTAGAGGCGGGGCTTCTGAACCTCGAGCCACATAAGAAAGTGTGCTACATAACAAAGGGAAGTGACTATTTGCATCCTTTCAACAATGAAAGGGAAAGATTGCTCTCCAACTAAAGCTCAAATCAAAAAGCGAAATATGGGACCTTTAAATCAAGCATGTAACATTGTACACCCAGAGAACAGTGCCACTAATACGCAACACACTCTTTACTACAGATCAATACAGAACACAGCAGCAGTATCGATCGGTCCCTCTCCAGCAGCTTTTGACACTAGCGAGAACATTAGGACTACATCACACATTGGATTTTTTAGCCGACAGAAAAATCTACAGTTTACTTCTCAGTGCTTTTATGATGCACAGTCATCGGCCAGGATAGACAGGACGAGAGAAAGAGACAGACACAAAGAGAGAGAGCGACACACAGACAGACAGAGAGATAGAACCATTCACTTGTGTTGGTGGAACTTGGCTTCAGTTTTCTTTGTTTGACGAGTACATTTTTATTTTGTTTATGTTGTGTATGTGTGTGTGTGTGCCTGCCTTTCTGCTCCACAGGGGTCACAGACACTATAGCCACCTCCAGAGCCACATCATGAGTCTGTTTGGTGAAACTGTCTTTAAACGTGTCGTCACTTTCACTGCGTTTATAGTTCACAGAAAAGAATGTGGATCGTACCCTTTCAGAACGCAGTCTCTCCACCTCCTGCGTCTGGTCCAGCAGCTTCTCCTCCAGCTCCACCACCTACAACACAGAGAGACAGAGAGACAGAGAGAGAGACAGACATAGAGAGACAGAGACAGAGACAGAGAGACAGAGATACAGAGAGAGAGAGCCAGAAAGATACAGTAACAGAGAGACAGAATGAGGCAGAAAGAGATACATAATGTCAACCTTTTGGGTTTGAGTTGTGTTCCAGTTATGTATGTATCAGCTTTTTTATAAAATCAAAGCCGACAAACTGTAGAGAAGTGTTTCCTGTTTTAATAGACCCAGAACTCAGCTGCTGAAGCCTGGATATAAATACACATTCCCTTTCACTACAGAATCAGCCTGACGTTTCCAGGTGGAGACAGAGCTGACTGATTTAATTGTTCAGGCATGAAATTGGCCAGAGTGCTGCTGGAAGCCATGGTTACCAAGGAATTTCCCCAGATACTTAAAATTCAAATAAACAATTACAACAACAGGGTGGTAGAAGAGGGCTTTCGGATCAGGGATGTTGACCATGAACCAGGAACATGTAGAGCAGGAGTCACCAACGCGGTGCCCGCGGGCACCAGGTCGCCTGTAAGGACCAGATGAGTTGCCCGCTGGCCTGTTCTAAAAATAGCTCAATTAGAAGCTCTCAGCCCAGTGTAAAATCGCGCCGCGTGGAGCTTACGGTGGTGACGTGACGTCACTTGCGCAACGCGTGGATCACCGCAAGACCCTTACGTAGCCTGCCCGTTATTATTATAGATCCGCTCCGCTGTGATTGGTCCATGTGTGACTACTTTCTGGGAAGCATGAAGCGGCTGAAGGAGCATAGACGAGGCACAGAGCAGACTGCTTTGCGCTTTGAAAGAACAGTTTGGGCTCATGGCAGAGCCTGATATACGCGGACACTGTGGACTAGAGTTCTGTTGCATATCTAACTTATATATAACTTATATCTAACATATATATGTCCAGTCGTTTCTTTTGCACTGTTTGTCTTGTTTGAATCGTAGCTTATCGCGTCTGTTCCATTCCTCCTGCACTTATAAATTGTTCATGTTTGCCTCAGATATGTACCACTTATTGTTGTGCTGTTTGTGCTGAATAAACTTTAATAATAACTATGTTTCCAACAAGAACTGTTTCTTTATTCACAGCATCACAGTTAAATGAGTTGAAACGATGAGTTTAATTAAACATTTGAGAGTTGACTTTTGTATTTTACATGAGTTATTATTTGTACAAACATGGTACAAAGTAATTCATGATTTGATAAAAAAAAAAATTTAGTGGCTAGCTAGTTAAAATGGGATTTTGTGATTTCACAAGACGCACAAAATGTGAAAAATAAAGTGCTGCATATTGATATTTATCTGTTTCTATATATATTTATTGTGAGAAATTATTGAGATGATCAGTGTTTTCACAAAGATAAATATCATCAATTATTAATAATAACAGAGTTAAAGGTAAATTGAGCAAATTGGCTATTTCTGGCAATGTATGTAAGTATGTAACAAACTTGTAGCTCTTCGCTTTAATCAGCACCAGAGAAGTAACACTTGGTTTCAAAAAGGTTGGTGACCCCTGATGTAGAGAATCAGGAAAAGAACACTCATAATGAGTTATCTGGTTTACCTGGCCCTGTGTACCCCCCTCACCGGCATCGAGAGACCACGAGTAGGAGAAATTAAAATAAAAAGCCTGGTAGGTCAGGGCCACGTCCTATAACATTCATTGGAGGCGACTACTTGCTTTAAATTCTTTATCTCAATAGAAAGTTTTGTTTACAGCTCACAATTTTAATTTTTTTTTTCTCCACTATTTCAATATGTAGGAATTTATCTCTTGCTTTTATCCACCTTTAGTTTTTCATTTAGAGGAGTCAGAATTCCAGCGTCGGCGGTGTGAAAGCACCTTTAGCATTAACTCGTTACCTGAGTGTGCAGCCGTGTCACCAGCTGCTCCTCTCCTGCACTGGAACAGTCCGCTTCACTGAGCTCAGAGATCGAGACCAAGACCCCTGCAGGACCAGCCGAGACCCCTGCAGGACCAGCCGAGACCCCTGCAGGAACAGAAGGTCAGCATTAGCCCCGTTTCCACCAGCTCCACGTTCTCTGTGGCTTTGAGGAGTTTGGGTGCGGTTTGGTCTGGGTCTGGTCTAGTTTTCACATCATGTATTTTTATCCTCAGTCGCATCTTCAGATCAGCTTTTTCCGACAGAAAAGTGTAGTTTGATTTGTTAACAACGTCTTAGTTTTGCAAAATCATCGAAACTATACATTGTTTATTAAATCAGCTCTTTTTGCAGCAATTATTGAAGCATGGTTATTGAAGCAGACGAGGGAGCCAGATGTGGCTCTTTGAAAGATTGTGTCTGGCTCTCAGACAAAAACTAGTTGTAAGAAAATTATTATTAGCAAGAATGGAGTAAAAAAATGTTGATAAACAAAACTATACACTCACAATAAAGGTGTTGGTTGGAAGTTAAATAAAACACTTTTACCTTTTTAACCTACTTTCATTTGAATGTCAAACTCCTCATATTTCAAAAATATAAAAGATAATTAAATTCATAGAAATCAACTACACATAGAAACAGACTAAAGTTTCGAAGATCACAAATGGACATACCCTTCCAAAACAAAAAGCCATCAAATTGACTGATCTGGGAGTTCTAGTGTAAAACTATAGGCTCTTTGGAATGTGGTGATGTCACATGTTACATGGCACATTTACAGAAACTTTCCTGGATGATAAAACTGAACTACATTGTCCCAGACGTGTGAGACTGGCTCTCACCGTTACAGTGAGATACTGGGGGGAAGTCCACGGTCGTGTTCCCTTCGGAGTTCTGCTGATGCAGCTGCTGCAGCAGCAGGTGCCGTGTGACCTCCTCAGTACGAAGACGAGCCTGGAACTCGCACACCTTCTCCTGCAGAGTCTGTGGGAAACAAACTCTAATCACACAACTATCGCAATGTGAAATGTGTGTTCTACCAGAGAATCCCAAATAGCGCTACAGTGAGAAAAGCTACGGCAGCACCGAGGGAATAAAAGCAGAACTATGGAGGGACAAGTCTATGAAGCGTGAAGGTTTGTGTTTTTACATTGGCTGAAGTCCAGAGACAGGACCAGGAGACCTTCTGTGAGTGAGGACAGGAGGACAGAGACATGAAGGTTACATAAGGAAAGACAGATATGTTTTAATGCTAACTTGCTGAAAAAACAAGTCGAAATGGACAGTGAATGACAGTGAAACATCTCATGCCCCCTTGGCTCATTTGTGTGTTTTTTGTTTTGTTTCAGGAAAAGTGACACCGCCGTAAATCTGCATGAGACACATAAAAGAAAAATGGTGAACGAGGTAAAAACACTGGACGAGTCGTCGAGGGGATGTGAGAGGAGCCAGAGAGGATAAATGGGCAGTAATATAGTCTGTATATAGACGGACAATTGCTCTGGCTCCTGTCGGCTTACAACTTGATTTGTGTCACACTCACCATTTTGGGCTTAAATCTGTGGGTTAGCTCCCTGTTATCCTGTTATCCTGGTGTTTGTATTGCTGGGTTGCAGCCACGTGACCAAAAGGGTGCGTGACAGGGGGCCGTAGAACGAAAGTACTTTTCTCCTTTTAAATAGAATGGGCGATGCAGGAAAACGCAAACAGGAGCTTTTTTGGCTTAATATCACTCTTATTTTGAGTGAAATCTATTTTCAATGCAGTTCATGTCTTATAGAGTTTGAATGAGTCCAAGTTTTTATAATGGGGAGATTTATTTCCTGTCCCTCGGAACACTTTTGCGCCGCTGTGTGACGCCAGTGGCAACCCGGCAATTGTGATATTGTCTTATCTAAATCCAGATACAAGCCATATAAGGATTGACCAGTCAGATACCTCTGCTTGCAGGGTATAACACACAGACCAGAGAGACCAGAGAGAGAGTGTGAGTGAGAGAGAGAGAGAGAGAGAGAGCCCGCAGTGAATAAAGGGATCCAATTGGATCCTTATTTGACAATATCACAATATAAACACCAGGATCACAGAGAGCGCACACACCATGGACACTTGGTGTTAGTTGACGTGCCTGTATGAGCAGGTGCTGGGGGGGCCGCGGGGGGGCTCCGGACTCGCTCAGCTCTGCCCTGGGAGAGAATGCCGTCGAGGGTAAAGACAGGAACGAGCCGTCCTCCTCACCATCACTCATCAGGAAGTCCACCGAGCTCGCTGCCACACACAAATACAACATCACACAAAGTCCTGTCTGTACAGCAACACTAAGACAAGACAAGTTAAACCACAACAATGCAATTTAGTACGAAAACCCATCCAACTCGTACCTCGCTCTCAAAACGGTTCTATTGGTAGTTTTCACATGCATGTATAATAGGTCTCTGGTCTGGATCTGGTCTAAGTCAAGTCTTGTTTTCACATGCATGTGTTTTAGTCTCGGTCACATCTTTAGATCAGACAGAAAAGTGAAAAATAGAGGACCACCCTCACTGAGGCTGAGTCTGAGGCTGTGGATCCAGGATGGATGAATAATGGTAATTTGGCAGATTTTCCAATTGGTGACTTTAATAAATTGCAAATTGCATTTTGTGTATTTTGTGTCCGTCTGTGTCGTACTGCTGAGTGAGCAGTTCACTGCACAACACTGGATTTCTGCAGCTTTTTTATTCTCGATGAATCATTGGCTTGAGCAGAAAGTGTTACAATGATTACATTTTCTCCCATAGTACATGATAAACACATACATAAATACACACATATACATAAAATATGTATATGAAAAAAAAATATCTACAACTTTAATTACGAAATGGAAGAAGCGGGAAGAAGAAAAACAAACAAAATTGATTGCTTCTTGTGTAGAGCATTTGACCCGGTGTAAAAATCCCCAAGTGTGAAATGAGGCCACAGGTTTAGACCGTGTTCCTGAGCCCGAATCGCCAAATCAGACCAACAACAAGTGCATTGTGGGAGAGATTTGGGCATTAGACTGAAAACATGACGTGAGAGTACATATCCATTTTGATTTGAAAAAGCGCAACGTAAATTGAATCCTAGTAGACACACAATATACTACTGGGGTGTGCTGAAAATATATGGATTTTTTGATAAATATATTTGGAGAAATATACAAGGATGTTTATTACCATTTATTAACCTATGGACCAATGGCTCCGATATGTATGTCTGACATTTATTACTATCATTATTATGAGTGGGTACACAGCCTCAGCCGTGGGCCTAGAGCCTCAGCCGTGGGCCTACAGCCTCAGCCGTGGGCCTACAGCCTCAGCCGTGGGCCTACAGCCTCAGCCGTGGGCCTACAGCCTCAGCCGTGGGCCTAGAGCTTCAGCCGTGGGCCTACAGCCTCAGCCGTGGGCCTACAGCCTCAGCCGTGGGCCTACAGCCTCAGCCGTGGGCCTACAGCCTCAGCCGTGGGCCTAGAGCTTCAGCCGTGGGCCTACAGCCTCAGCCGTGGGCCTACAGCCTCAGCCGTGGGCCTACAGCCTCAGCCGTGGGCCTAGAGCCTCAGCCGTGGGCCTACAGCCTCAGCCGTGGGCCTAGAGCCTCAGCCGTGGGCCTAGAGCTTCAGCCGTGGGCCTACAGTGTGTTCGTCCATGGGAGCGGGTCCCTCTCTCAATGTGGACCTCTCCCCCTAATAACTTCCTATTGACAAGTATAGAAAATGATAATGGTCTTGCTGTAACACCAAAGGCAATGCATCTGGTGTGTCCAATTTAAATGTGTCCATATCAAATATATAAATAAAAAAATAATACAATTTAGAACCATCACTATACATTTATACTTAAAAAAAAAAAGCAACTAAAGCTGATCATTTGAAACCCTATGTTGACATGAATAGTCACTGAGAGCCAAACGACTACTTCTGTACATCTTGGCTTCAGTACAAGCCGGAGCTGAATCACTTTCTGAACTCCGCCTCATGTCGGTTTCTGTTTGCGCAATGACACAACTTCATATTAATAATAATAGAATATGACTTTGGCTCTTGTCAGAACAAACTCTGAAACTCTGAGAACTGAGCCACAATAGCTGCTGTGTTGTAACCCTGATCCTTCGGCCTCCTGGGACCAAGAGTGTAAGCCGATCAGCGTTTATGCCACAAAATGATAAACACACGCACACTTTCACATATATTCCAGTTAAGGGTTTGCTTGTTCTCTTACCTGCCGGCTGCATGGACAGTGACAGATCTGCCCAGGGCTCATTCATTAGAATAAAAGGAAAGAGTCTTGGTCCCTCCCTCACCTCACAGCAGTCATGTCAAAAATGCAGCCAGCTGAGTTCTCCTTGTCCCGCCCCCTTTCCCCCCTCACCATCCAATGAGAGGTCGTTCTTCCAGAGCTCCTGCAGGCAGGGGGCGTGGCCGAGGTCCCAGGTTTTTCTTGTGCCAAACATGACCGCAGGGCTGAGCAGAGCACTGGACCGCGGCACCGGCTGTGGAGGGGCAGAGACCCGGTTAGATTAGATATTAGATTTGACTATTTATTTTGAACCTGTATAACATAAATCTTCACACACATCAATATAACAGAACTACAATAACGTAGTTCGAAACGGGGATGAAGCCACATGCCACACATAACACTGCTATAATAATGAGACAGTAGAACTCCAAAAGAACTAACACACACGGGTCCAAACACTCTCTGACCCAGCAACACCTCATGACCAGAAGTGAAGGAGCGGGAAGTAGAGCTCTGACTGTAGACGCTGCTCCCCCTTCACCACAACAGTCCGACACAGCGGCCCCATCACAGCACTCGCTCCATCCATCTCTCACAGTGAATAAGACCTGAGAGACCGTAACTCCTCCACTTGAGTAAGGACTACTCCGACCATAGTGAGAATTTACAATATTTATTCTCAACGCTGTGACAGATTCTCTCTCAGTCCTACCGCTTCATGTCGCCACGGTCTTCTCTGCTCAGGTCCACATCCATCTCTGTCCTGCCAGCTTTTGTGGAGAAGAGCCCCCACCCAGCACAGCATACTGTCCAACTGTTACTTATCTCATCTTGAACGTCTCCACAGAGTAAAGGCAGACAGAGCAGGTGGACGGTCCAGCCTAACGCAGACTGAGAAGGAGGACCGACCCACATCCTGCCTCCAAACCTGATCCAGAGTCTGAGTCGGACAGTCCACAATCCAAACAAAGGTTTAAAAGCAGACTGTTGAACCGATCTGAGGTCTGTGGACAAACAGAGGCTGTAATCTGTGCTAATCCAGGGCAGATTAACCCCTCAATGCTCTCTGCACCACTGTCCGCAGGTTGGGCTCGTGAAAGGGTTAATGAACCAGAGACGTTCACTTTCATTAACACTATTATCATGGCCTTACTGAGATAATTAGCTTTAATATGTATAACAAGTGCATAGATTGACAATGCTAACCCGCTAGCTCAGTGCATCCAAAGTTGCAAGTTCCAAAGCAAGTTCTTGTGGACAAAGTTTTGCTCCGACTATAATCTTAAAGAGTGTGACGTCACCATAGTATTAGCCTTAATGCAAAACCGATGTGAACATAAGATAGCTGGAGCCAATTTCCTAATATGGGCATTTGTTTCGATGGTGTTACAGTAGCTTCTTGCGGTAACCCGGGCAGGCGTGACGCTCAGACTGTTGCAGGCTGGAAATGCCCATAAACTGATTCGTAGATCGTTATATGGTTCATGTCTGGAGTTACAAAGACAGTATCAAAATTTAACACCAGGATCCTGGCATTTTCTAAAGTTCCAAAATGGTGAATGTGACATAAACGGTTGAAGAGGAGTTTACTTTTACATGTACAGTAAGTCAATAAGAGCCAGAGCGAGTTGGAGCCATGGACTGTATATAGATGGACAATAGATAGACTGTATGTTAGCATTTTGAAGACTTGTCTACTGTATTTACTTTGCAGAACAAACTAGTTCCAAAAACAAATGCATTCTCTCCATTACACACTGATTGCATTATTTCAGATGTTTAGGATAAAGAAAGTGCTGGACTTTGCATTTCTCCACATTAGAAGCCGCAGTGTAAGGAGGGATTACGCTGCTGCTGACAAACGAACTGTACAAGAGTTTAAGCTCAGAGGAAAATGTGGTTTATCAAGTGCGAGGAGCTAAAGCTTAAGACAAGTTAAAACCCCCTGAGCTTCACCAAACCAAAACTCAAGAAACTGCAAATATGAAAGCAACAGAAATAAAACACCATCCACCTGAACCAGGCGATAACTGTGTTCACTCGTTCACTTAAGGCAGGTTGAAATACACTTCACCTCAAAATTAAATTGTTTTACTATAGATTTGACCATTTATCCGTTTATATTTATACGTTTTTTAAGATTAAAAACTCAACTGTCCTGGTCGAGGGCCTACTTTGTTGCTTGGCTTCATATAAATGTTTATATAAAATGTTTCAGTCAACGTCCCTTTTTGCAAGTCACTATTTGGCTCTTTTGGCTAAAGGCTGATTGGCTGAGTGAGGGTGGTCCTCTTTGTTTTCTGTCTGAAAAAGCTGTAACAGAGGCCAAAAATACACAAGAACGAGTTGGAACTATATATAAAAAAAAAAATTGTGAAATGTAGGTACCCCAGCTCTAAACCTCTAAATGCTGACTCAAATTCACGGTGGCTGAGTTGTTAGCACTCTCGCTTCTCAGCAGGGGTTTGAATCCCGTACGGAATGGGGTCCTTATAAGTGGAATTTGCATGTTCTCCCCGTGTCTGCATAGGTTTCCTCCGGGTACTCCAGTTTCCCCTACCACTGACCACATAGAAAGGAGATGGGCCTCTGTACTACAGCGAGCCTACAGGGACAATAAACTGAATATACCCTTTTGTTTTTAGTTTTAACAAATGATTATATATAAATAATAAAAGTAACTTTGTTAAGTGTTATGAATTAGTATTACTGAGTTGTATAAAATTGAGAGGAGCCAGTTGAGGGGGTTCGGGCATCTGTTTGGGATGCCTCCTGGACGCCTCCCTGGGCATGTCTCACTGAGAGGAGACCAGAGGAAGACCCATCGCAGGATGAGCTGGAGGAAGAGGGTGTGGAGAGTGACCCGGCAACGGATAAAGCGGAAGTGTAGTACTGTAGTCAGAATCAGTCTAGTGTGATTTACTTGCTGGTTTTTCTTCCTATAATTTTGACCTTTTTCTCTAACTTTTCCACAAACTGCCACTTGATTAATGATTAATACAGCCGCAAAGGATCAAACAAGTCAATGTGATGTGATAGAAAAGGTGGAAAAGAGATCCACTTGACATCAGGGGTTTCCATCTTCACTTGTGAGAGTTTGGGAGGTCCACTTCAAGTAACAGTGGAAACAAGAGATATGCCACAGACTGAGGCCGGGATTAAAGACGGCAGCTGCTGACACAACGTCTCTGTCTAAACCACACTCCACTTCTGGCACTGCAGACACCGACAAAACTATAAGGTTTTGGATTCTTGAAAATCACTGAAGGCACTGAGGATTTTTGAAAAAGAACACTGAGGAGCACAATGACTGTCCTCGTGCTGGTACCCAGAGTCAGGACTAAACATGGGGAGGCAGTGTTTGCAAAAGTCTTCCTGAAAATGTCAAACGGGCTTCTACTGTCAGTGTTCAAATCCAGGTTAAAACAATTCTGTTTCGCTGCAACAACTGAAAGGCTGTATGGTCACTCATTTTAATGCAGTGTGATTTTTGATAATATCAATACATTGGGAAATTCTAATGTTTCTTTTGTTTTGTTCGACACTTTAAGTTGCCCGGTGTATTCACTGTGCTATACAAATAAACATGCATAGCCATTATTATGTCAAGTGTAAAACAGCTTTAGCATAAAAAACTACTACTACAACTTTCAGGGGCTTAAGTAAATCAGTGATGGATTTGGACAGATTTTAGAAGCAGTGTTCAGGCACTTTAGTCCAATTTTTATACATTTCTCTACAAACTATTTAGACTTATCAGCCCTCAGCCTCGATCTAAAAAAAAGGTAAAAATATTTACATCTCCATTGTTTTTTGTCAATTGTTTTTGGTATATTTATAATGGTGCATAATGTATACATGTTTATACATATTTATTTTCTATATAGTTTTTTTAGGGCTGATGTTTGCCATGTCAACTACCATCTGCCACGGGCAAAAATAAAAATGACATGACTGATTTCACTGAATGTAAACTAAAACAGCTCGACCTCAGCAGAACCTACAGTTTTCATAAAAGGTTGGATTTGAATGAGCCCAGTCATATTTTTTCTTGTTAAATCCTTCGGTTTTCTTAAAATCCACACTTTAGTGCCACAGAAGCTTGTTTTCTTCCCGCCCTAAGTTTGAGTTCCTGATCTTTTGGTGCCCATGGTGGCATGTGTGCCACAGAGTACAATCCAATGATTTGAATAGGGCATATGGGACATTGCACGTGAAGCATGGACATTTTTTTTATAAAATGCACAAAGAAATGGTGACTTCTAAAGAATTCTATTTCACTGAGGCAATAGTAGCGCACACACTACTGCTCCTTAACTCACAACTGGGGTGAGAGAAGGCAAATGGAAACATCACCAGACCTGGCCTGAGATGCAAGGAGATGAATCAAGACTTATAAAGATTGGGTTGCACTCATTCTTGGTGCACTGTCTGTAGAATCCATACAACTACAGCCCATCCTGTTCTCAGAGTAGCAGGTCTATTTCAGCCTGATGAACATTAAGACATTTCCCCAAACATGCAGCTGACTCAGAGCAGGGGCCGAGGGAGACGTGGCCTGTTATAATGAGTCCATCCTCAGACGGAGCAGATCCCTCAGGACTTTTCTTCACCCGTAACTGGGTCAAAGAGAGCTATAACAGGCTTCCTCCATGTGCTGCTTAAAACCAGCGACCACAACCAGAAACACACACAGACTGCAGCACGTGCAGGGAGAGAGTAATGATGCTCAAGGCTAAATACTGTGAATAATGATGGAAATGGAAGAGGAAGGTAGTTCTCAGGTGAGAGCTTAAAATTGTTCAGCTATCCATCCATCCATCCATTTTCTTCCCCTTAATCCATTTCTGGGTCGGGGAGGGGGGGGGGGGGGGGGGGGGGGGGGGGGCTTGATTATTCAGTGGGGGCTTCAGGCAAAGTGGGGTTAAGTGTCTTGCCCAAGGACACACCGACAGCAGACATCAGTGGGAGTCGTAAAGTAGGTCTTGAGGTGGGCTCAAACCCACGACCTTCAGGCTCTAAGGCCAATGCTCTACCAACTGAGCCACTGTTGCCCCTTATTTTCTACAAAACAAGAAAAATTCCCGAGTATAAATGTTAAATTCAGGTTACAAACAAACTATTAAAGCTGTTAATTACTATAGGATATAAATTATTGATCTTTATTACTATGCTCCAAAACTTTTGACGACCAAAAAGATCGTGGGCACCTGAAGCAATAGCAGAACTTTGTATTTTATCTTCCAACCACAAGATTTGTCCAGAACTTTTACAGGGCACTTTTACAATCCATCCAACAATTGTCTTCAGCTTTACCTGTTGCCAGGTCAGGGCAGCAGTCTGAGCAAACATGCCCAGACTTCCCTCTCCACACACACTTCCTCCAGCTCATCTGAGGGTATCCTCCAGCGTGTCCTGGGTCCCACCGAGGCATCCAGGAGGCATCCCAAACAGATGCCAGAGCCTCCTCAACTCCCTGCCTCTCCACGTGGAGAAGCAGCGGCTCTACTTCGAGCTCCTGTATGACTGTGATCCTCCCCGTATCTCCAAGGGAGCTCCAGTTTGCAGAGGAAATTCATCTCGTCCCTTCAGTCATTACCAAAAGCTGAGTGGTAAACCAAGAACTCTGACTTCAGACGCTGCTCCCTCTTTGCCACAACAGTCCGATACAGCAAACACATCACCGCACTGATCCATCTCCAAGTCTCACATCCATCCTTCACTCATGAGAACAAGATCTGAGAGCCTTGAACTCTCAGATCTTGTTCTGAGAGTTCAAGAGAACTCCGTCGCCCCGGCAACAGGACCCCTATCTGAGTCCCATTAGATAATTAAAGGCAGGAGTAATAGAATTAAAAGCCATTGTGCGAAACTTTAAAATGGACTAAGATTCAAAAGGGGACATTTTGTTTTGTCATCGCACTGAAAACGCATGAAACCACTATTTTTTCAGCTTGCAGCCCCATAAACCTGACTCGGACTCCTCCTTCCAATATCATTCATTATCCGTATATATTATTGTATTAGAAGAAGAATAGAGAAATCAGACATCTTAAAGGCTTTCACACCCGTATGTTCTGACCTGGGTTTTAATGGCCCGTCACTGGGAAACACACACACACACACACACGTACGTAGCAAACATGGAAATAAAAGGCTTTGTTGTATAAATTGGCAATTACTTTGAAATGACCTACAGTCTATGACTCATACACAGATGCAACCTCCTCCCCAAATGACAAGGGCAGAAGAGTAAACCATGTCTACAGTGATGATGAATTGTATTAGTAAGTAAGTAAGTAAGTTTTTATTTATATACCGCCTTTTCACTGCAGATCTGAGTCTCAAAGCGGTTTACAATTGTTAATTTTGGGCATTTGTCTCTCACTCCACACAGAGATGGGAGCGGGGTCGCCAGTACAGGAGGCGCATGCCAGAACTATTGGACATATTTTTAGTGGTAGGGGAAACCGGAGTGCCCGGAGGAAACCTACGCAGACACGGGGAGAACATGCAAACTCCACTCAGAAAGGCCCTGGTCCGACCGGGATTCGAACCCAGGACCTTCTTGCTGAGAGGCGAGAGTGCTATCCACTCAGCCACCGTGCCGCCATTTGAATGCAGCTCCAGGGGGTCCCGTTTGCTCCGGATTCCCCTTCCACTAAAACCAAGTAGTTCAGGGTAAACAGCCCCGAGTTTCATTAGTACACACTCTCCCAACCAACTATATAGTGGTATCTAAAATCGCAACAAAATATGTCTTTAACAAACAAGACACACACATGAGTTTCTGGATGGGACCCTCGAGTGCTGTTGTCGATACAGACTGGTGGGTCTGTAGGAGCTTAACGGCAGGATAAAACGTGGGCTTTAACTGCAGAGAAGTCTATAGTTTGGCGATTTCAAAAAGCAAGCCTCCTCTCCTCTTCAAAAATAAAAAAACAAAACAATTCCCCATCTCCCTTATTTTTTTAACCTTCATGTATATTTCCCACTAAAAGATATTATTTCACATTTTAAAACGTGAAATAAAGTAAAATGGCTCATTACAATTTGAAATGGCCAAAACTAATGCATAATATTTCTTCTTTAAAACAAGCCAGTGTATTACATTACATTACATTACATTACCAGTATTCAACTATGGACAAGATAGGCTCTTTGCTGGGCTAGATCTGGCGCCCCATCAGCATTGTGTCTGGCCTTCTGCAAAATGATACATTCATTTTAAGTATATTGCTAGGTCGATGGGATGCCAGATAATGTGAATTCTAGTTTTCAGCTACCAGAAATCATTCACTACACAACAAATCTACTACTCTATGCTCTACTATTCATACAGTATATGATGATCCAATGACATGAGAAAGTAATGTAATGAATAAGATCAAATACAAATCTCCAAGCTGGTCTTCAGGCTCCCAAATAAAACGATACTAACAAAACATTTTATAACCCGACTAATTGACTAATCGTCTGCCTAATTATGAAAATGGATTAACTAAAACTATGCAGACATATTGTGTTGTGCCTGTATCTTGCAAGGGCATGCTAACATATTGGACTCAGATACAAGGCAAGAGATGGTTGCAATTTGCAGCATTTTTGAGCAATGACAGATAAATGAAAAACACACACAGACGAAACCCATCGCTAATGACACAACCTCAGACGTTTGAGTTACATCATCAGCCCTCGTTTCCCACAATCAACATGTCTCTGCTGTGTGTGGCGGATAGCAATGGAACATAAAGAGGGATTATGCTGATGCACTGGAGCGCGAGGGGAGCTAACGCGGGAGCTCGTACTGTCAGACGTGTAGGCCCAAACACAAGCGTCTGCATCAGGTTACGTCCTCCCCTCCCTCTCCTCTCATTCAACACGTTCCGTCCTGTATTTATCCAGCCATTTTTCAGATCAATTTCCCTCCCTCTCCCCCATGGTCTTACCTCAGTCCCCGCGGTCTGCCCTAGGATCATCCACACATGGTTAGACCGGCTCTTCCGCTACGCTTTCAAATATCAGAGCTGTGTTTTTATAATGCAAGAAAATGCTGTACGGCGCTGCTTCCTTCTCTGGTCCCTCTCTCTCTCTCCTCTCCCCTCCGGAACGGTTCCCATGGCAACTGCTGCGATCCCCACGCCCCTCCCTTCCCATCACAGGCTACTCCTCCCCCTCCAATGTAAAAAAGATGAAATATTTATCAGCGGAAGTGAGACTCGCCGGGTCTGTGTGTGTGTGGGTGTGTGTGTGTGAGAGAGGCGACGCAGGAAGGGGGTTCATGTGACATCACAACATGACAAAGTGCTTATAGTTTAACATTGTAGATGAAGCCAGCTGAAAAAAAAAAAAAACAATCCTGGTAACTTTCTAGTCTTAGTGCCAATTTTACTAAAGTTCCTGAGCGAATGTACATGAAAGAAAAGCAGCAGATAACTAAAAAACATGTACATGATGTTGGCCACAATAACATGGCAGGTTTGTGAATCTGATCTCTCTTAATTATCAGCGAAAACATTTGGACATTTTTTCAAGTTCACAAGTTAAAAAACAAATTTCTAAATAGGAAAGATGCAGGAACGCCTTTAGCTGCCATAGTTGGAATTAACTTTAATTACCAAAAAGAAGCCTGCTCTCTGCACATTTACTAAAAGAATTACGATTCATTATGTCATATTGTGGACCAGACGGCTTTAATCAGAATCTGGTGAGTAAAACGTGGATAAGCCAAGCCAAACATAGGTGCTACAAAGGGGCGGGGCTATGTGGGACAAGAGGACTGAGAGCTACTCAACTTGTACCTTCCATAACAGCTCCATTTAAACATTTCAAAAGGAACTAAATGTTTAGTGATCACAGAACAGAATCAGGTTATGTCTCTCTTTTGAAGCATTTACAGTTACACGGCAAAAAAAAGATAAAATACCAAGTAATAAATGCTTGAATCAAGTGGTTTTTTTTTAAAAACGATGTAGCTGGTCCTATTGGCAGATCTTGCTGTAAAGGAAGAAAGATGGTGCTCAAATTAATATACATTTGATACATTTTGCCAAATTTGAGCAATGTTTTACTTATTTTTCATCACTTTTTGCTGTGTACTTAAGATGGATTTGATCTCACATAGGAGAAACTTACATGTCAAAATTTGGCATAGATAGAATCACTATGAGACAAAAGTGTGCAAACATGATAAAGGCAAAAAATATAGTCTGTTCAGGATATATTGTGTACAATATAAATGGCAATTAAAAAAAGAGTGGCAGTGCGAGTGTGTGCTGCAACATTGAAATTTCCCCACTGTGAGACGAATAAAAGTCCTCTTATTTTAATTATCTTAACTACTGTAGAATCAAATGTTGCTTTAGGCTGAGAGCATCAATCTGTACGGAAAGGTGAGTGGGTTTGATGTGGATTAAGACGCCAAGAGAAGGTCAGAATCCTGTGTCATGATTACAGTTATATAATACATGACATGACCATCGGATTAATGATGACCTTCATATTTATCTGAGAGGAGCAGACTCTGGGCACAGGACACAGGACACAGATCCAGACACACAGCAGTCATGTCTGCACACAGAACAGGGGACTGAGGGCCATAGCTGCGGGCGGTCATTCAGTTACATGTTTGAAGATTGAATTTTGGAAATCTAAAGATCAGAAAATATCAACTTTTACTAAATCTCGGTTAAATTTTCTCCAAATTTCACTTTTTGAGGTGTGCGCGTGTGCGTGCGTGCCAACTGCACACACTATGGCAGTAGGAACACACTTGAGTTTAGTATATAAATATATTTCAGTTGCATGGATCTCAGAAAGTAGCTCACAGTAAAAATACTTTTCTAATAAAGTCAGTCCCAGTTTCTGCTGCAGCAGTCACTTCAGACACGTGTGGGACACGAGGCCTGGTTAATCACTGTGCTCAGGGATTCTTCAAGGGTTAGGACAGAGTTACAGAAAGTTGAGTTACTCTTACTTCAGAGTGAAGAACATGCCCAGAATCACAGCTCCCTGCTCTACTGTAAAACGGCTGCAGCAGTTCATTCAAAACACAGCAGCTCGATTCCTTACTAGAACCAGGTACCATCACATTACTCCTGGTCTCAGGTCTCTGCACTGGCTTCCTGTGGCTCAGAGAATATACTTTGAGTGAGCCCCGCAGGCACTTTTCTATTCTTATGGCGAATTGTTGTTCAGATACTCTTAGCCCTTACCTGTCCAGCTCTTTGATTATTCCGGCCTCTGTTGGCTTCTTTTCTTCTCTTCACTCTTTGTTTATATTGGGCCGTGTCTTTCCCTGGTGCCAAACCCCAGACCACCCTCCCATCTTTGAGCCCTCGTCCACTATGTCCAGCCTTCTCCTGCGCCTCCTCTGGTCCAGACTCTGCAGACTTCTCGAGCCGCCTCCTCAACAGGCTGTGGATGGTCAGAGCGGCCACGGTGCACAGGACGTACATCACTCCGTCGGAAAACGCCAGTTCAACTCGAGAGAGTATCCGTCCGAGTGAGAAAAACGTGTGTCCTCTATGTTCAAAGCTACATCTACATTTTGAGCGTGTTTAAAAAAAAATAACTCTGCTTGTAAAATACAAAACCTTACTCACACTAAAGGGATATAAACTATAGGCGACAGGCTTGAACCAGGACTAAAGCAATAACAAGACAAGACCAGACAACAACCTAAAAATACATCCACATGAACATTTCTAAAGTCTTAAGTTTTAGTTTAAATTCTTGATATTTTGACAAGCAGACAACTTGAGCCAATGCCACAAACTTACAATGAACTAGGGCTGAATCAGATAAACAACTAGGTAGGGCTAGAGTTGTACCTTAGCCCTTTGAATTTCAGTGCTTACCAACAAGACATTTTCCATTGATACCAGGTCTATCATGTTAATACATCCAGGCTTAGTAAAAGAGCAAAGTTGACTAAATCCAAAAGTAAAGACCAAAGACCTAGACAAATTAGGACTCACAACTGGTGAGAAGCAAGACAAAAACAATCATGTATATTTATCATTTCAGGAGCCTGGCCTTTGCGCAGACTTACCCCTTTCATAACCGACTCAACTTGGATCAATCCACCATCAAAAACCAGAGAGATCGTACCTACACTATGTCTAGACACCAACCCAAATTCAAGTCAAACTCTTCCTATTTTTTTTCTTTGATATTACTGCTCTGCTCACCCTTTGTGCCCTGGTCATCCAAGCAAACCAAATAATCCATGCAGAGATACAAGTGACTGGACTTTGCCCATTTGAGCGGTTGTATAAGTGGCGTTTCTCACGGGGCAGTAACCGGAGTCCCTGGGGAGGTGTCAACTTTGATCCAAGTGAAACAAAAGCTCGAGTTGGGATAGCCCTGACAAAAAGCAAGCCCGGGTCGGCCTATGATGAGTGTGGGTTGGGTAAGGAACTAAAAAATAGATAAGATTTAGAAAGAGTTTTAATGATTGGATTGTTACCAAATATATCTATAGCAGAGGACTAGACTTCCAAAAAGGTCAAATTGTTAAAGAGACACCATTCTAATCTACACAAGGTTTTTGAAGACAATAGCAGTTTTTTACAAGTGAACTTTGACAGCATAGAAATAAGTGCTGGGACTTGTGTAGTACGTCAAGTCCTGTCTAGTCGCCGATAAAGTCTCATTAGGAGCCAGCACAAAAGCTATATTTGAAAAAAACCAGGACTATCAAACCAATACCAGTAAGACTAAAACAAAATATTCAAGATCTAGAAGTCTAGACAAAACTTGGTGTAATCCAATTCCCGATCGCCAAACAGTTCGACAAATCAGACCAGTTCGACAAAGACAGGAGGAGCCAGCAACTATGATACCTTTTAAAGAAACAGAAATTGAGACGTCCAACTGAGAATGTGATAGAAAAACCTCAATAACCGATCATATCTCTCCATAAACAATTAAAGATCAAATATAGGTCCTAAAAAGCAGCTTGCATGTGTTAAAAAAACCATTGCAAAAGCTTTTGATCAATTCAAACAAACAGAGTAGCTTTAAAATGCTTGTTGCCATTCGCTCATATCCAGTAAAAAAGTCCAAATTTGAAGAAAAAGTCTTCAAAAAGCAAGTGAAACTCCAACGATATTGTCAGTCCATTTTTTGCACGATCCAAAATTCGGTTGTTGCAGAGAAGTTGCCGCTGTCCCATTAGCGCTGATGAGTGAGGAGAGAGTGAGTGAGTAGACTGAGGACTTGCCCCCATGCCCCCCTCCTGCTGCCTCCTCCTGCCTCCACCTCTTTGCCCCTGTGTCCCGGGACCATCTGCCTCACCGCGGGATCATCTCTGACAGTCATTGCTGATGTAACGCATGACGGAGCAGAGAAATGCATTTCAATAATCTCCCATTAACGGGGGTCGAGCTGTAGATTATGGGCAGGAAGAACACCAGGGTTGCGTTGGATTTGAAAAGTGGCACTCAGCAAAGACTGATTATATAAGTGCCTTTAAGACTGCTGACCTCACATGTCAAACATCTGTGCAATAATTTGAAACAACGTTGAAGTGTGCAATATAGAAACACATGTGTCCATTGTCACTTTTTTAGCTACTTTGTCCCATATCCTCCTGCTGCAAACATGCACAGTACATACCATACGTGCAACTAGTTTCTCACAGTCATAACAGAATCTATCACTAGTTTACTCCTTCCAGCACAGCGAGTTGAGTTACAACCAAAAAGTTATAATTTGGTTTATTCTGACCATAGTATGTTCTCCCAATCTTCTTCTGAAGCGCTCTATAAAACTCCAGATATGTGCTGGACATTTACTGGCTTAAGCAGGGGACAAGTCTGACACTGCATGCTTCGGGACCAGGACAATTGATTCGTATAAAACAACGAATGAATGGGGCCAACCATCGCAAGATTGAGTGAAAACCTCATAGAAGAATGGGCCAAAATACCGGCAACAGTGAATATCTAGTGAAGACTTGCAGAACACGTTTGATATCTGTCATTGCCAACAAAGGTAGTAATGAGATGGACTTTTGTTTTTGACTAAATACTTATCATGGGTACAGTATATGTGTAGTGGGTGCTCCAGTTTCACCTGGCACTAAAAACAAGTAGCACAGGTCTGGTATGCCCCACCCTCCTGAAGAGTGGACCCCGCTCCCATCTCTGGAGTGAGAGGACAAATGCCCACAACAATGGAAAAAAAATTTCTGACTCTGGTCTGTGAAAGGCGCTGTATAAATGAAGATTACTTACATCTATGATGAACATTAGAAACATCTCATCTTGTTAAGTGGGAGGACTTGCTGCACAACTGGTAGCTGATTAAATACTTTTTTGCCCATTGTATATAAAATACATATCGTGTGCAGTAATTGCTTATCAATTTGTGTGCGTCATAGCGTGCACCGTTTGATCTAATGTTCATATATACGTATGTTGCACACACACACAAACACGTGATAAACATACTGTAGCCCTGCAGCCCCCAGATGAACGAGTGAGGCCCCTGCTTTACAGACTGTGTGTGAATGTTGGACCAGAGAGCTGCGATGGGAAGATGCGTGTGTGGCTTTGGCCTTTAGCACAAACAGAACAGAGCAGTGATGTCACACACCGCAGAGCGGATAATGTGGAGGAGGAGCTAGTTACACACTAATGAGGAGGAGATTGAGCCAGATGCAGATTGGAATCATTACACATTTTCTTCATTTCAACACCTTTCAAAATAAACTATCTAATATAATCTAAATATAGTTACACCCCAATGAGGAGGAGGAGAAGGAGGAGCCAGTTTCCCACGTTAGTGCTGGAAATTTGGGATTGTTAAGAGAATCAAAGAATATATTTAAAAAATAGGTTTAAACTAAGATTTAAACATTTTTGCAGTACACATTTTGAAAAACACATTTGAGTGTGTAACTTTAATTTTAGACTCTCACTCTCAAAACCAGAGAGTCCAGAGAGGGACACCAGAGAGGGACTCCAGAGAGGGACTCCAGAGAGGGACTCCAGAGAGGGACTCCAGAGAGGGACTCCAGAGAGGGACTCCAGAGAGGGACTCCAGAGAGGGACTCCAGAGAGGGACTCCAGAGATGTTGTATCATTATGCTCGATCACATGCATTTTGCCTCTGTCACTTTTCTGTCTGAACAATATGATCTAAAGATGTTACTACATCTACTTTCTCAACAGCACACTGTCTTTCCACGCTCACATTAATAACATCACCCGCTCTGCCAACTTTATAAAGTCCTCAGAGACAACTGCTGTTGTGACTAAGCTTTCCACAAATACATTGAATTGGGTAGTTGCTATACATTACGTTTTTGGGGTAGCAACAACATAGCAACCAAGCAGCAAATCAGGAGCAATGCTGGTAGGTTCATACTTGTGGCAAGCCAAAATCAAGGACAGAAGGACATTTAAAAATATAAAACATCACACAGAGCATCAGAGAAGACTTTTGACCTAAGAAACGACTGCTGTTGTGATCTAGGGCTGTACACAATTTGGGGTCTTCTGCAGAGACCCCAGACCTTTGCACCCTTTGTCATTTTCTTCATACTGAAAGAAAAGCTGGTGCAGACAATGAACAAGGAAACTCTCAAAGACTTCATTGACTTTGGCTCGGACAGGAAGTGATGTCACAGAGGGGTTGTTATCAAGAATGTAAACATGAGAAGAGAGGAATGAGGCATTTCAACGGCCTCTGATTCAGACTTTTTGTGCAGCTGCAGGGTTTGAATGCAGGTTAATACAAGAGCTTACAAAAACAAAACAAAACAAAAGATAAAACAGCAGTGTAACAGTAGCCAAACAAAGAGGTCCTTAACAACTAACTGGACGACAGACACTAGTTAACTTGTTGGAGTCAGAGCTGATTGGCTGAGTGAGAAGTGGTCCTCTCAATCTCACTTTTCTGTCTGGAAGTTTATCTAACTTTGGGACAGAGACACACATGTTTTACTTTCTATTGATTAAAGAGGAATTATTTAGGTCTTTGAGTCCATGACTTATGCCTCAGTCTTTTGCCTGGAGTCTGTGAAATTCCTCTGTTTTGTTTTTTAGCACAGGAAATGAGGTTCAGAGCATGAAGCCTGCAGCAGTGACACAGCTCAGAGTTCCCAACATACGTGGCCCTCTAGTGGTGGGACCTGGGACTGACGCAGGTCTGTGATAAACAAACAATGCCATCTCTTCCAGCCTGACGTGACAGAGACCGGCGTTTGGCGATGGAGTGAGTTTATCAATACATGATCAAAAACAAGATCATCAGAGTGACAGAGAGTAACTAGAGAGAGAAAGAGACAGATGAAGACAGACGGAGATACAGAGAGAAACATTTGAGAAAATTTGGTAATTATTAGTGCTACTCTTCTCATATACAACAGAGGCTTTAAACCTCCCTTTGATACCCGCACTTATTCAATGCATTTGTGTTTTTCCCTAAATCACTACAGCGGTTGTCA